CCAAGCCACATGGGGGCCTCCAAAATTTAGGGTACCTTATTGGGGTCCTTACTACAAAAGGAATCCTACTATTTGGGGTCTGCTTTCGGGGGCCTCCTAGTATTTGCGTAAACCCCCACATGGCAGCGTCGCCTTTGCAGGTTTTTCAGAATCACGCTTCCTTATTGGGCGCGTTGGGACCACGCGACTCATAGCATAGGGATCATAAGCCCTTGTGGCCTACAGGCTGTATACTACATCAGTTTGAGGTTTCTGGACCGTAGACCCCTCTGGGCTTCATTGGGTCCCCCAAGAGGGGCCAAGGTTGGGCTTGTTAGAGCCGGATTGCAGCTGGCTGTTGAGATTTGTGGAGACAGGGCGTTGTGACATCAACCTCTCCTCCCCCTCCCCCAGTAAACCCTAAACCCTAAACCCTAAGCCCTAAGCCCTAAGCCCTAAGCCCTCAACATCCAAACCCCCAAGCTGGCGAGGCAGCTGAACAAAAGACTCCAGCCAGCCTGTAATCTGAAACTGAATTGACTCACGTCTTTTGAGGAGCCCTGAAAGAATTTCCAGAAGACCCGCAAAAAGAGCCTAAACCCTAAACCCTAAACCCTAATAAGACCCACAAAAAGGAGGCCCCGAAGCCCTGACCTCGTGAGATGCCTCCAAGGCACCTGCGTCATTCGCGGCTGCGTTCCCAAGAAGTGCCTCGGCCGTGCAGGGGATGGAGGGGTTTGGGGTTTAGGGTTTAGGGTTTAGGGCTCCCAGCTGATGAGGACAAAAAGGGTTTCGGGATCCCAATTCTTTTGCGGGTCAGGGATCACATTCCCTCCCAGGCTTGTAGTAGCATCTGGTGGCCTATTTCCATCTTGCAGCGGCTGGGTCAGGCAGAAGTAAGTGTACACGTGTGTGCCTGCTCTCTTCCCGCATCGGGACCTGGAAGATGTTAGGGGGGGGGTAGAAGAGCTCAGGAGATTTGGTCCCCCGAGAAACCATCCATTCTCAGCTGAACATTGCCGCCCCCACCCGATCCTTAATGATGCCTTAATGTTCAGGACACCCCCCCCCCCCCCCACCCCATTTTGTGACGGTTTGTGCTCAGAGTTGGGAAATCCTTGGAGCCCGGTTTGATAGGCATGGCTTCGTTGACGTGCGACTGAGGCTCCTGATCTATGGCAGCCATTTGCTCGAGGACATTCCGTGGTGTCTACCCAGTCGGCTCAAATGCTTCTAAGCGGGAAGGGTTGCTTGAAAGAGAGTCTATTACTCAAAATACCTGCAACTTGTCTAGTTAGACTGGATGCCAGAGGATGGAATGAATCCTTAAACCTCAACCCCGCCCCCCCTCCCCCCCCCCCCATAAGACAATCCGTCGCTGGACCTGACCTCATGAATGCTCTCAGCTGCTCCGACCCTCAGCTCATCCGACCTTGCGGGTTATGAATACCATGAGGGCTTGACAGTACTCCTTCGCGCCGGCCTCAACCTACCCCAATTTAAGACGATGCTTCTTGGCTAAATGAACCACAGGTTCAGGGTTGGACAGGGAAGATGTACCACTATCAGCACGTGTGGAGCTCAGGCAAAAAGGTTGTAGTAGGGCGAGAAACGAATCTCGACCCCAGGCGCTATGGTTCTGATGCGAGACCCTAAACCCGAAACCCTTGACGAACCAGAAGTCCTCAGTTCCAACACCAAGCCTCGAGATCGTGACTTCAATTCATCAGCCCTTCCGCCATGGATTCCGCGCGCGGCGCGGCTCGGGCTGTGGGTGCTGCGCTGGCACTCACCGGGGCAGGCGGGCATGTGAAAGGGTGTAGGGTTCAGTGGGGGAAGTTTTTTGTGCATTGTGATGCTGTATACGAACAAAGTATGCATGGAAACTTGCAGAAGATATTTACACACGCAGCGTGCATTACATACCTCTCCTCTCTCTGTCTCTGTGTGTTCTTCTCGGCGCTGTACAGATTTTGCAGACACTATATAGCTGTTAGCAGAGCTGGTGTAGACTTCAATCCAGAGCTTGGGCTGCGACAAAGCAAGGCTTTCCTTTGATCCCCGAACTTAGCAAAGCGCCACCATACTCAAGCCCTTAGTAGAGCACAAAGCCTTATGCACCCTCCCCGAAGCCAGAGCGAGCTGAGCGCAGATAGGCGAATAGGCGGCTGCCGGAAAGTCAGCGGTGAGCGTCCTTTTTCATATATGCACAGAGTCACCATACAATCGAAGACCAAGCAGCAGTTCATCATAGTTCGTCTGCCTTCGCTAGCTGCCCAGTCTGCGCACGGAGAACTGCAAAACTCAGACATGGGGGTTTGCCAAAATTAAGGGGGTCACCTTTTTTGGGCTTTCCTAGAATCGACATTATTCTCGCATTCATGGGGGCACAAGTATTCGGGGTAACGTCGTTTGGGGACATGCCCACATAGTCCGAGTAGCACGGAAAACATCCTCGGCCATGCCTCGCAGGTCTTGGCCTTCTGATTTGGAGCCGGTGGAGCGTCCCCACGCGCCTGCGTGTGCGGAATGCGAAACAGAGGCACTGGATGTCCCGCACCATTTTGTCATCTTGCTTGGTCCTCTCGGAAGTTTCAAGCTTGGCAGTGCGCACGATGAAGCCTCGTGCGGAGCTCCTTGCGTCAGCCGGAGCTGTGTTTGCAATCTGTTGTCATGCGTAGGAGTCATCAAAACTAGATAGATTGAGAAGTTCTTGCCCTTGAAAATCATCGTGCGGCTGCATGATGTGGATGTGCTACTGTGGTATGGCTGCGCCAGCCTGCAACCGTTACTACGATGCGCCTACCCTCAAAAACTTAATATCTACGGCGCGGCACGTCGGCTGCAAAAATTTTGCAAAGCAGCGCGCATAGTCAGTGATCAAGCGACCGGAGGGCTTTGTAATCTGGAGTTTTGCAGGCGCTGGCTCCGTCGGATGAAGTGCTTCATCTTCGACTCTTTGCGGCTTGTAGTGCTGCGAGGCGATGTGAGGTTTCTTGTTGGGGTGTTGTGGCACCGGGCTTGGTTTCAGCGCCTGCAGCCTCTTCGAATTTCAGGGCTTCACTTGCGACCCGCAACGCCAATATTGGTGTTATGTCGCTTTGGGCTTTGGGGGTCTCCTGCGCAAGCGCGCGTGCCTGGATGCCAAGCCTAGAATGCAATGTGGCGAAGTGACAAGAAGTATGGCCCTGACAGTCATAAGGACATCGATGGCGTCATCCACAATGCTGGCACGCCTGTGGCAGGTGCTGGAGAGGCTGTGGAGGCGAGAGAGAATGAGAGGGAGAGAGAGAGAGAAAGGACCTCCATCCGGCACGTCGACTTGTCTCACAAATAGACCGAACCGCCGGAGCACGCCCTCTCGGGCAGTCCCCTGGGGGGACTATGTGCAGAGGAAGTAAGGAAGGCGAGAGAGAGAGAGCTGATTCAGGAACCTTCGAGGAATGCAGCTCTGACTAGTCAGGCAAGCGTGTGCAATCGAAGCAAACAGTTGACCATCAGGAGCCGCATCCGCAAGCAACAGTCGAGTTTGACATTTTCCGGCGGTATACTGGGAAACATATTCAAGGAATCTTTTGTGAGGGTTTCGAAGGCCAACCCAGGATAGGAAGTGGATGTGGTGATGTCCGACCTGTAGCGACACTGGGGGATAACCTCGGCCGCATAGGGCTTCGCAGGGCTATGGAAGCCGTACTGAAGGGCATATGACGCAGGGTTCATATTTCTGTTTTTGGTGAGTGTATATAAGGTTCCTTTTAAATATTGGGGAGTGTATATACTTGGTGACCTTGTTGGGGGGTACAAGAAATATTTACCCTACTTCATATAAACCCTACTGCCTGGAGAGGCCTTGCGCGCTGCTGGGAAGAAAGCGGCTGGGAACTTCTGATTCTCTGATGTTCTCGGTCTGCGCGTGGGTTTAAGGTTTACTTGTGTCTGGGATAGTGACTTCAGATTCACGACATGTTATGTGGCTTTGTTACTATGCGTGGTAGTATCGCACACCGGGCGCACTCCTACGGCCACGGAGCAGGAATAGAGTTTGCACTCTCGCATTGGACGGAAATCTCTTGAACACCAACCCGAAATGGCCAAGCAGCTGCTGAGCTCAGGTGCTTTTCATGACGAACAACGCAACCAAAAGTCCTGAGGACACAAGCGTTGGTTGCTGTGCCATCTTACAATAGCTACTACTGCGACTAACGGGGTATGACTTAGAAGGTCTAACATCAGTACAGTCACCTACCTTGGCAAGTGCTCATAGTCCAGAATTCGATCATTGCATCCAGGACCTAATGCAGCTGTTCGGCAAGCTGGGGGTTCCAGCTCACAAAGATGAGATAATGACATCGCCGATTGCCGCCGGCGATTACCTCTGCAGCAAAGGCAGCATTCTGACCTGTCCGCAGTTGACCGTCACCTGGACACCCGCAGCTCTCACCCTAAACCCTAAACCCTAAACTCCAAATATACCATTCCCGGCAGGTCTGCAGGGAAGAAAGGTTTACGATGCTCGGCGGCATCACTCAAAGTAGTCACCCAGAGTCTCCAAAGAGCCGAGCTCTGTGGCCGAATGTCCCGACAACGCAGATCTACACACACGACAGAAACCCTAAACAAGCTCCCACACCCCCCTCCCAACACATACCACTGAAAAAACCCAACACCGGACTTAGGGTTTGGGGGCATGTTCTGGGCTTGGGAATTAGGGCGAGGCAGGCCGTGGTGATGAGACCTGCTGCCAAAAGTGTTCGCAGGAAATCGAAAACGCTTCGGCCGATGCATTCATGCCGGCTCAGACGCACTCTGGCCGGCCATTGCCGGCCCTAGCTCCACCCTTCAGATGAGAAGTCGATTACCTAAACCTCAAAAAACTGCAGATCTTTTTTGGGGGGGTGCACATCTTCCCATGGTCACCTAAAGAGCCCAGAACCTGCATTTTGTAGGTTAAAACGGCTCTAGCCCTTATAGCTTTTGGGTTCTGGTGGTAGCCACAGCTGAGAGTCGGTCTAGGATATGCCATGGCGTACAGGGTGCGTGTTCTGCAGCTGTCTGGCCAGCTGCTGGGCGAAGTGGAGTTAATGGAGACGGCCAGCGTCGTGGACATCCTTGCGGCGATCCAACGCGATCCTTGGGGGGCACGAAACTCTCGAAGCCTAGGAGGGTAGCTGGCCCGTAAGCCTTCTAATGCGAAGTAGTCTTGTGCTGCTAAGAAAGATCATGGTAGTGTTATGCTCGCTCTAGTGTCCAGGCCCCCCCCCCCCAAACAATTTTGGGGATTTTGGGTAGGGTGGGTGGGGGAGGTTTGAGGGAAGTTTGAGGGTCTAAGCTTTCCAGGGTTTTTGGCTCCCTGGGGACTAATGCGGATGACCGAAACAATTTACAGAAAGCGAATGAGGGCAGCTCGTGGGCTGCTATGCTCCCTTGGAAATGGTTTTCGGGGCCTGTTTCGCAATGAAATTTGAAAAGGAATTTAGACAAAGCCGGGCTCCAACAAAAACCCGGAGTTTCTTGTTCGAAGCTATTTTTAGTTTTTGGCTCTCCGGCCCCCCCCCCCCCCCCCCCCCCCCTTACTTATCCCGGCCCGCGAACTTCGCATAATTGCGGATTACCCCTGTCAATAGGGGGGCCGAAAAAAGCTTCATAGCGGCCAACGATACTAAAGCGCGTGCAACATTTCTAGGGTATACGATCCCATTTTTAAGGTTCAGCTGGCTCCCAAGGAAGGGGATCCAGATCCCATGCTGAAGAGGACCCTCGTCTTCGAAGGCAGAGCCCTGGAGGCGTCTGAGCGACTGAGGGAGCTGCACTTGCCAAGTCTACCACTCTTGGCCCACATGCACGAGATCCTGCAGGCACAGCATGCAGAACGCGTGACCTCGCTGCCGGATCCCTGCCACCTCGTGCAGTTTGCACTGGTGGGTGGGAGGGGAGTTGGGAAGACCAGCCTGGCATGTAGCTACGCCAAACAGGCGCGAGACCCAACCATGGTGCAGATCCCCTTTGTTCGGGTGATGGCTGATGACACCCCCATGCGGGTCCTTCTCCGGGACACTTCTTGGCCAGCCGGGCTGCCCACCTCCCTTTTCCTCTTTGGGAAGGACGCGCTGCTCCTGGTGATCGACCTCACCGATCCGAAGTCTTTGCAAGATGTTTCCGAATGGGTTCAGAGTGAGAGTGCGCAAGTGATGCCCGCCAAGCTCTTGCTCGGGAACAAGGCCGACATGGCGGCCCAGCGCAAGGTTTCGCGCAAAGAAGCGGAGCAGTGTGCCCTTGCACATGGCCTGGCCTACTTTGAGACCTCGGCGGAAGATGGGACCGGTGTGGATGCAGCCATGGACTACGCGATTTTCCACGCTCTTTCAAAGCTGAAGAGCCTCCCACCACAGCAGCCCTCCTTCGAGAATTTGCGAAGGGTTCAGGGATGCAGCGTGCAGTGAGCCCGATTCTGAGAGTAGGAAAACAGGCGTTCCCGCGTCCCAAGGCCTGTTCAAGCGGCCATCATGTGAAGAAGGGTGGTGTTTTGGGTTTATACTGGCCTTTGCGACGGTATATCGGGCTCCTTGCGGATATTGATGATGCTAGGAGCAAAGCCTTGCTTCATATCTCCGAGGCAACACTGACGGAACATGGCACCTGTAGTATTGTGGAGCTTGGTTTCCCTTTTTTCCCTTTTTAGAGATTTTCGGGGTTCAACGTGTTGTCAAGGCCTAAACCTAAAACCAAACTAAAGGCGTCCATGTCCCAACATGTGGGGTTGCTGTAAGCACACTTTCCGATCAAACCTGAATTCCGCAGTGCTTGGCTAGGTGGGTGGGAAAGACCCTGACGCTAGGTGACCAAAAACATACCCTTCAAGCTAACCCAAAACAAACCTACAAACCAAAACGCCCAACACAAACCTACGTAAACCAAAACACCAAAAACGAGCCCAGGGTCTGCACCATGACCCACGCCGCGTGAGAACTGAGGTGGTGGGCATGAAGGCCTTGTGCGAGGCCCTGAAGGCCCCCGGATGATTCTTGACAGATCACATAGGGGTCGGCATATTTTGTAATAATAGCCCCTTATGGGCCCCTTTCATAAATGTAACTAGAATATCCCCCAAAACCCTATTCTCTCAGAAACTGGGTAAAGCTGAACATTATCCCTCAACCCCTCGTCTGGAAGGAGCGCGCCGGCGTTGTGATTGCTGGTGGCGAGGAGGATGCCGGCAAGACGAGGGAGGTGCCTCAGCTACTTTATAAGGGCCTCAATCATGTGTGGATGATCTGGCTCTTGGTCGTTTGTTTTCGCTTTCTCTCCTTTTTTTGCTCGCTCCCTCGCTCCCGCTCCATCTCTCTATCTTGAGAGGGTTCGTATGGGGGAGGGGTTCAGGGGGGTACTGTAGGTTTCCGTTATCCTCCGCACTACTCCCTAGGGCTCGCTACGCTTCCTTAAGATTCCTAGGTACCAACCTCCCAGGAACTGCCCTCCCTGAAGAACCCAGTAGTATCCCTGGCTAGACCGGCTAGACCCTCATTTCTTGATAGTGTGTTGTCTTCATGTCCAAAAGTCTTCCGTATTTGCTGCAGTCACTCCTGCGCCCCTTGCGTGGATCAACCCTGGCTCTCCTGGTGTCTTTGACCTGACTTTAGGGGTTCAAGGGTATGACTGCGGTTGTAGCTGTCTGTAGGCTAGTGGATGCTTACAACCGTAGTTACACCGGTCCGTGCAAGCCTTCAAGCAGCCAGGGTTTAGAGTTTAGTGTTTAAAGGGGCGTCCATATTCCGCGCAGGACTTCCTTCCGCAGCTGGATCCACCTTCAAAGGAGGTCGCCGCGGTGGTGTGTGGGGCCGACTATGCCGCCGAGACTCCAATGGAGTTGGGTTCGGGCTCTTAAAGGGGGTGCCTCAACCCTAAGCCCAAAAACTCCTGTGTGCGATCAGGGGTTGGCAAAATTGAAGAATAAAAACAAGCCTGAACTCGTGGACTGTGGACTCTCCCCTTCCAAGGCTCTCAAGCACAGGGTGTGTTTAAAGTTCGCTCTCAGGCCTTCAACTACTACAAGCTGGCCAAGGCCGTGGCAAGCCGTGTCTCCTGTACGCCCGAACCCCGAAACCCTGGAAAGACCTGTGTGCTCCTTCGTCTCACCTAATAGTAGCACTAGGACCCAGTGGGACCCAGACTGGGCCCTTATTCCCATTTTTGGGGTTTAGGGTTTTAGGGCTGTGGCTTGGCGGTCCCAGCTGGGCTCAAGAGGGTTCTGGCCACTCAAGAGGGCTGTTCGGGAGCCGAGTACCCGGCAGAGCTCGCGGGGTTAAAAGGGTCGGGGTTGAGGGAGTAGGTTCCCAGGTTGAGAGCAGATCCCAAAAAAAGGTTCCCATATATATATATATATATTAATTAAAGACCCTCCAACAAAGGCTACCCGGCTACCCTTGTTATCCGAAGCGCAGGCTGCCAACTACCTCCGACAGAATCCCGACGCTTTGCGCCTTCGGCTGCAAAGCTCATCTTGCTGTTGTCGTCCTCCGGAGCGGTCGTGCTGCGACAACTCAAGGGCTGTGATGTTGGCACGCCCCCATTAGTGCGATCCGATGTGCCGACGAAAGTATGAAAGCAAGCTGTGAGGTTTGTAGCCACGAATCCTGATCCTCGAGCGGCTTTCGCCCACGGAGCAATCTTCCCTGCAGCAGGACCTCAGTGGACAAGCGTGCTCTATGTTCCAGATACCCCAAAAGAGAGTAGGGAAGACAATCCCAATCGCAGGATTTCGTATTGAGTGGCAGGTCGAGCATAGCCGTGACACCCAGAGCCTGATGCCAAAAGTGTCAGGCTGCCTGTGCTCCTGTAGAGGTTGGGTGGTGTTGTGTCATGGCAGGATCGATGTGGAGCGCAATTGCTGTGTCCCGGATGCATCCAGCCTCTGCAGGATATCTCGATGAAAGCTCGGATAAGTCTGACAAAGTATTCTCAATACCGGTCCCTAATTATAATTACCCCAGCCCCACTCGTGATGCGCAACTTGAGTTCAGGTGGCGTCTGGGAGGCAGCCAGACATTGTCAGGGCCCTGGAGCTCTCAGTATGGTTCTAGGGTCCGGGCAGTTTAGCATGCTGTGTTTGTATGGCCTTGGCGCATATTCGTGTAAATTAGAGAGGTTTGTCTGCAGACAGACCTCATGCGCTGGCGAACTCCCAGTTGGCTTCTGTCCCAGGTCTGTGGGAAGCCGAGTGCTGCTCGGCTGCCAATATTCAAAAGATGCCGACCGGCGTAGATCCATCCGGTTGTATTAAGATAGGTGATCAGTGCTCTGAGCATTGCCCCTTGATCCAAGAGGTAGGGCTCTTTGGGGGTTCTTGAGGCCTACTTAAGCCCAGAACCCCAACCCCTGCTTCTGCCCAACGAAGGAGACGCTGGCCCGACACCTTCTGTCGTCTAAACACTTATCGGCGGAGACAACGTGCAACTCATGCGGCACATGTGGTGTTCTTGGGGGCTGGGTGAACCCTAGATTATAATAAACTCTTCGGGTTTCAGTACCTGTAATGGTGATTTTGTGCAATGCAGAGTGGACTCATCTTGACTTGGGGGTCAAATTGACTTGTTGTTCCTTTTATCAAGGGACTAAAGGAGGGACCCTTATGAAAGACCTTGGGGGTTATGTAGAGGTTATGTAGGGGCTACCTCGGTATATGGGGCCATATAAGGTGTATATATAGGGGTTGTATAGGGGAGTAAGATTAAGGGTCCCTTCTAGGGGTCCCTCCTTATACCCCCTAATTCTTGCTCATCGAAGTATACGTACGAAACCCTGAGCCAGGTATGGTGGGTGACCGCACGGACACGGACATTGCCTTCGGCCGAAGTGTGGGAATGCAAACCCTCTTCGTTGAGAGTGGGAGCATGACGGAGCAGGCCGCGGATTGTAGGGTTCAGGGCTTGACAGGTTAGGGGCTAAGGTTTAGGGAACAGGAATCCTGATAATTAGAGAATTCGAATGCAAACCGGCCGCCACAAACAAGACAGCTCACAGGTAAACTGAACATACACAACGTGGATACGATGATGCAAAACAAGGAATAATCTGTATATGACATATAGTACATCGAACACCGCCACCATAATTCGGCATTCTCATCTCTGTGTGATAGATCAGCATCGGCACATTTCTGGAAACATGTTCCAGCAGGGTGTGTGTGTGTGTGTGTGTTTTTTTTTGGCGATGCCGTTGGAAGGAAATGATGCAAACAAGCCGCATCCTGGCTGCGATATTCTGTGTTTTGCGGCATTGTTCCGGCCAGCATATGGCAAGTTCTTTGAAGGTTGAGGATTCCTATTTTGATAGGTAGCCTCTCTTTTGAGTACCCCGAAAGGGACCATCATGTCCGATTTGCTGCAGTGCATCTTTTCTCGGTTGCAAGAAGCCCCCTTATAAACCCGAAGCCCAAACCCTGAATCTTGAACTACCACATGGCCCCGCCCCGGTAGGAGAGGGGGGGGAGTCGTCGGCAGGCACCATGTTCAATAACGGCAGGAGGGGAATGTCTAGTTTGAGCCCTAAACCCTACATCCTCAACCCTAAACCCTGTCCCCAATAAATCCCTCGACTGCTCGCCTGCACTTTTTTCCATCCAGGCCTCTTTGATCCCTAAGCCCTGAAACCCTAAAGCCGAAACCCCAAGCGAGAAGTGTACCAAGGCAAAAAAACTCCTAAACCCTAAACCCTAAACCCTAAACCCTAAACCCTAAACCCTAAACCCTAAACCGAGCGTAGCTGCCTGCTTCCAGAGCCACCCAGGCTGGGAGCGGCCGCACTATGTGGCCGAGTCCATCGCCATCCTTGCTCCGCTGCTGAAGTCGTAGGGTTTAGGGTTTAGGGTTTAGGGTTTAGGGTTTAGGGTTTAGGGTTTAGGGGTTACCAGAGCTGCAGGCTTTAGGGTCCACAGATCAACAACAAAGAAGAAGTTGAGGTCTGGGGTCTGGGGGGAAAAGAAGCTTTCTGAGCCTGAGCCCTGAAACCCTGTAGCCGCCAAACTCTGGTAAACCCCAAGCCGCCCAACCCAAGAGCTCTGAACCCCAAACGCCCTTTCAACCCCAAACCCTACACAAACCGCCGAAAGTTCCTGCTTTGGCGGGGCTGCTCGTGCCTGGGGGAGGGGATTACGTAATTCAGAGCGCGACTTCTCCAAAAGGAGGGTGATTGGTTCACGACGGCTGCCTCGAGGGAAAATGCGCACCTGCCGCGCGAGCTCAAAGTGGTGCGGCTTTTCATCATTGAAGGATGATGGTTTTTATGGTTGAATCAGTTTCATGCGAGTACGATGCTTTTAATGAATAGAACGTTTCTTCACGATATTTGTGTAACACCTGTTTTGACCCTGCTTCGTTGCTGTCAGTTCTCGTGTCGAAACACTGCAGCAGGACCCATACCCTGAAGCTGTGTGTGTGCGCCCCAATACCCACTGAAATCTACTTAGCCAATGTTTGGACTTGAAACTTTTTGGGTGTCCTTATTAGTAGAAGAACACCGTTTAACCTTCTTTATTCCTTAGCTATTGGAGAGCAACCCTAGCCTCTACTTACTGTTGGTGAGGGGAATTAGGTCCCTATATACTTGAAGATTATATGGGGTACCTGATTCCCCCATTCCCTGCTAAGCAACAGTAAGTTTAGAGTGGTGCAGGAGATCCAGGATGGAAAGGGATACGGCTGGTCGCTGCCGGATGGTTTACCAAGCGGCATTTGACCCTGGGAGCTTGGGGGAGCTCGGTTTAGGGTTTAGGGTTCAGGGTTTAGGGTTTAGGTTTTTTGGCGCCTGTTGTTCAGGATTCAGGGTTCGGGGCTTAGGGGCCCCCTGCAAGGGAGGCGGGGTTCCAAAAAGGAAGGGTTGTACACGTTCAGCAGCGAGTTTGGGACGTCAGGTCGCAAAGGGTGAAAGAAAAGGTAGTTGAGTTGTCTTGTTATGAATGGAAGTTCGGTTGACCATACCCGTAATTTGCCAGTTTGGGAAACCGATGTGGGGATTGCTACGGGGTTCAGAAGGTCGGGTTTGGTTTTAGGGCTGTTGGGGTTTTTTTCGGGTGTTACTTGGTTCAGGGTTCGGGGCCGAGGGGAAAAAGGTGGACTGTTTTGCCAGGTGTGTCGCCCAACCTAGACTGGGACAAGCTCATCGAAGCCAAGAATGCGGAGGCTGGGTCAGAGACGTGCTTGGTGGCGGTTGCAAGGTCTGCAGGCACCTGGCGCGCGACCATGCATCTTGCCTTTGTCTTTGTGTAGATGCAAAGTCCCACCGCCGCATTCCCGGAACATATGAAGCTTTCCTTAAACCATACAAAAACTGGGACTGGGTTCCAAAACACTTGGTTGATGCAGGTCACCCGCGGGGGGCTCAAGAATGCATCGCAGCGAGCTGTTGCGCGATTCACCACCATTTGGTCAGGCGAGAAGTGAGATGTCGTATATGCCGGAAGCCGTAAGAAGACGAGGGCCATAATCAGGGGGGAAGTACTCGGAGGGTCGCAATGCCCTATCGAATACACATCTGCGTGTGGCCTGCTCAACCCGCTGTTTCATCACAGCTCTGAGGCCTAAATAGCATCTACACGAAGCTTCTCGCAAACTCCTCAGCTTTCTGGCTTCTCCTGAGGCTGACTGTGAGAGAGGGAGGGGCACGCAGGCTGGCAGGCAGAAACATCGAAAAGCAGGCAGAATCAGACACCTTCTGGCCAATGCGGCTCACCAGTGAAAAAAAGCAGTGGCAGAAGACAGAGCGCGCTTGCAAAAGCACGGTTTGGGCACTCCCTTGGTGTGGACATGTCAGCGTACTGGGTCCCAATTAGCAAAAGCTACACATCGTCTTGAAGGCAATTATAGACTCTGAGAGACGAAGCCCTGCAGCAGCCAAGTGCCAGCTACACATTGCTGTTGGCGTCCGGTGTAAGCCAGGCCCTCCTTTTAGCCCTTCAGCATGTCAGGCCTCAGGCCTCTCATCCCTCCCGCTACTAGTGCTGAAGATGCCACGCCATGTGCGACGAAGAGGCTGCGGCGGAGTGCAGGCATCTTCGGGGGTGCCGGGGCATCCTGTGCTCGGGCTGCTCTTGGGGGAGAATGTCCCATCGTCCTCATGCACCGTCTCCCATTTTCAGTCGCTAAGACCTAAGAAGTACCAAATAAGATGAGCTAATTACCCAGACACCTACGGCCCGAGGCCTCGGTAGATCACAGGGCTTCGCGTTTAAGTCTGGGTCAGTTGCGTCGGGGTAGGCGGGGCTAGTGGCCGACGCATACGGCGAACCCTGAGGCCCTAAGCCAGAACATGTCTTGAGCTTGCTTGTTTCAGCCTGGCTGGCTTCAGGAACAGCACAGCATCTTATTGTGTCGGGTTAGGGTGTAGGTTTAGGGTTCGCATGGTGATTAGGGTTAGATCCTATATACCCCACATCCTATACCCTTGATCACCCGAAGCAGCGCACAGCGTCGGAAGGTTATTCGATTTCGATGCCCTCCCGCCGCCCAACTCCCAGGCAAATTTGCTCACGCATCATAAGGAGGGGTTTGGGGCTGAGGTTAGCAAGGGTTGCTCCAGAGGGTTTCCATCAACATTTTTTCAGCTCCCCTTGATCAAAAGGATCCCCGATCTTGGCCTACAGGCTCTTGTGTTTGGAATGAATTGCCGAAGTCAAACCCCAAACCCTAGGAGTTGCTTGGAATCAGCGTGGCCTTAGGGAGCTTAGGCTTGAAGATCGGACTTGGACTGGGGCGCAAGAAGTCCGAATCCCAAGCGAGATGATGCCAGAGATGCTACGCTGAGCAGAGACAAGTTGCGTGTCGTTGTATGGTGCTGAGGAGGCCCATAGCCACCATAGCCGCGTGAAAAGCATGCGAGAGAGATTTTGAGCTGGGGCCCCGAAGGTGCCTGTTACAAGAACACGACCATGTAGAAAGCCACAGGTTGAGATGCAACATGATGCAACGACAAGCAAGTTTGGAAACCCAACCAGAACCGCCAGAAAAGGCCCCAAGCTAGCTTTGTGGCAGCAGCCGCAGGGAAGCGCGTCCCGCGCGGGCAAGGGCCACTTTCTGACGTTTGGGAACGGCCGCTTCGAAGGCATCTCTTGGAAAACCGGTTTGGGGGGGGGGGGGGATTTCAACGAGGGGCTGCTCTAATTGGGATCCCTTTTTTGCATACATTCGAGTTTTCTGTTCGCGGCCTGGATCCAAGAGGCTCTAGGGTAGAAAGAGCGGATGCAGATTTGAATAGTACCTAGTGATGCCAGGACGATGCAACAGCATGGAACTCGCTTACTGACTGACCAGTGAGGATGGACAAGCCTATTTTGCTGTTTTCCTTTCGTTGGTTACCTTGGGTGCTGCGGCCATCTTGCAGCCTAGTACCGCAGATTGGCCGGACTGGCGCCAGACATTGTAGATGCGTATAGAGAGGTTTGAAGCGGGTCGTGCTGTTTCGTGTTTGTCCATGATGGCTCTCTGCATGTTCTGTTTTCGTGCCCCCAGATGTAGGAGCTTGGCACGTTTCTTGAATTCAGTTGCAGATTTCTAGGCTGAAGGGCCTTCAGGGTTTCGGTCCTCCCTTGGTTTCACCCGAATCAATGCAGTTGGGCTCCGTCGCGTTGTCCTGCGCAGGCTCCGCGCGTCAGCTCGCTGAGGAGGTACATACTGTGAAGGGTTTGATTGAGAGCACTACAAGACCCAAGGGGACTCGTTGCTAGCCCGAACCCCGAAACCGCATGGATTGTTCCCTGCAATGCGGCCCGAGTGTCACAGAACAAAAACCCTAAGCCCTAAAAGCTTTTGGGGACGATAAATGAACACGACATGGGTTTCTGGTCCGCAAACGTTCAGACGGATGCAGCAGCGTAGGGTACGCGAAAGGAGTTTTGGGTTCATTTGGCCCCGACGGTGGAGCCCTCCCTCAGCCCTAAACACGAAGCTACCTTGAGAAGTGGGACGTTTGCAGTTCTAAGGGGACATGTACATGTACCTATATAGTATATACTTGCATGGGCCTTGGAGGGGTGGCAAGAGAGAAGCTTTGAGCACAAGTATACATGCTTTGGCCCCCTAGGGCTATACGCCAAACCCAGCCCTCCCTCAAGCCAACCGAAGTCGAAGAATCCCCGGAATTAAGCGGAGTAATGAGAAAGTACGTTGACTTTCATGATGCATTCTCCTAACCTTGTGTTCTGGGTTCTTGAGGTCTTTGTCCCTATCAAGACATCAGCCTGTTGTAGGTGGAAGCCCTGAGCCTGTTCGAGGCGTGGTTTCGAGTGTTCGTGGTTGAAGAATGTGGAAGAGGACGCACGAGCGTTGCCCCAAATTGTGTGTCCCTTTTTTTTGGGGGAGTCTCCGCTTTCAAAAACTGTGGGGTTCGGTGTCCACGGTGCGTCTGTGCTGGAGCTGGGGATCTTTTTTGGCACGGTCGCCGTTTCCATTGGCCGGTGCAAACTTTTTTTTGTCGTCTCGGGCCTCGATTTTCGAGCTTTGCGGCACGTGCCAGACCGCTTACGTCCTGTGCGCATTCCGCGGTATGAAACACGCTCCCGCTTCGGTTTTGCGCACATTCTGCTTGTGTCGCTTGTGGGTCTTGATATTGCATTGGCATTGGGCATGCTTCTTGGCATTTTCCTGGGTGTGTCGGAGTGGTCTTGGCGATCCTCAAGTGCTTATGGGGTGCACTTGCAACGCTCTTCGTGGTTTTACGCACTCACCTTCGGGATGCAACTGTTTGGGGCTGACGGTTGCATGATGTGCATGTATGTGGTACCCGGCTCATATGGTGTCGGGTACCATCCAGGCCTCACTACGCATGCGAGGGCAATATCAGGCAAGGCAGGAAAGCTGTTACTTCCAGAATGTCACGCGCTTGGTGCAACTGCTTTTCTGCCAACAACGCGTGGTCTTGTGTCGTCCCATTTTTGTGGCCTGCAAGAAGTTCCAGGGACTAAGCCCGGCTGCGACTTGCCCGTATGGAAGGCTCAAGCGTTTGTCGCCAATCGGTCGCGAAGGCTTTCTAATTTGAAAGTGCAGGATGGGAGCCGTTTTTTTTTTGTGTGCTTGGGGATGAGAACCAGGATTTCAGGGGCTTCTCTAAGGGCGTCCATGGCTACAGCTTGCTGTGTGCTCCATTTCTGCTGGGCTCTACACATTCCCGTTTGTGTCTCGGTCCGGCTTTCGATAGGAATAGGAAGGGTTAGCGCGCTGCCCCAAGCGCTGATAATCGAGTTTGGGATTTGGCGAGATGTTCCCGTCTTCGGCCGCCTTCGGCCCTCAGGAAATCCATTGTTTCACGGCCTTGCCGGCCGAAGTCGCCAACCAAAGATGTTGGGAAGAGCACTTGGCAAGGCCCACGATTTTGTGAGTTTGTGTCCTGGACCTTGGGAATTGGGAACCAAAGGAACCCTGGAGTTGAAATCATGGGCCCTTATGCTACGAACCGCACATGTAGTAATTCGGGGCCAACCCTATCTAGGGCGCAGTTTTCAGAGGGCAGGGCTGTGGTATAGTAGCTCTAGTTGTGACTAGACACTTCTGAGATGAGCGCTCTGATCTGTGTTTGCTGGTGTCGTCAGATATCATCAGATTCCCCCTTGATCACCAACCCTTCCCCAGATAGCCAAATCCCCCCCCTGCTTTTCTTGGGAAGCCCGGAAAAATCCTAAGCACCCTAAGCCCCTAATCCTGTCAACCCACCCAGAAAAGGTTTGATGCGTGAAAGTCTGACGCTGCAACCGTTGCTGGTGCAAACCCTGCACACCCCATCTTGTGCCCTGAGGTCCATGACATTGTGCCTATAAAGTAATAATTTAGTAATCTGTTTTCTGTATTAGTACATGGGCCCTGGGGGGTTGGCCAGGGGACGCAGCCACGGCTTCGGGTGGTGGTTCTGGAAGCCGGCGTTGGTGAATCACCTTCTACGGACAGGACCGGCAGAGCCGAGTTGGGGGAGGGGCGAACACTGAAGATAACCTGCAACAGGTACAGTAGAGCTCTTCGGATCAGGGTTTCGGGCAGTTAGGGGGAGCTAAGACTCACAATGAAGCATTCAGTTGCCGAGTGGACTGCGTGCACTGCACGAAACCTGGAACGCCTGTCTCCCTCCCTCCCCTGCCTCCACATAACGTGACGTCTTGGCTGTGTATTTTGTTTTGTTTTTTCTGGGGATTCTTGGGGGTCACTGTACGTCTGTTCTATTTCTGGCGCTGGTTCCGGGCTTGTTTCCGCGGAGTTGGGGGACTTGTGTTGGGAAGGTAGCTTGTACGGGGTCGTGGGTCCCCCTCCTGAAACACCCTTGAGCTACTCCTGATCCGACCCTGCGGAGTGACATGTGAGGTGTTTAGGTTTAGGGTTCAGGGTTTAGGGCTACGGGGCGGCAAAAGAAATCTAGACCGCACTGCTGCAGAATGGGTTTGCATGGTCGCCTTCCAGCCAGGACTCGGGAGTTTTCGCGAATTGGGGGGCTTTCTTTGGGTATCCGTTGAAGGGTGATTCTGCTACACTTGGGGGCAAAAGGGGGGGTCCTGACCTGACATGTTTGGACGAGAGTAAGTCCACGTGACACACAGGGCCAAAGAGGGTTTAGACACCGGACGCCCCCCAAACGGAATCCAAGGGAGTAAAGGAGGGACCCTTATCAGGGAATTAGGGGTGATTTAGGGGCTACTTGGGCGTATAGGGATTACACAAGGAAAATATAGGGGTGCTATAGGGGAAACAGATTAAGGGTCCCTTCTAGGGGTGCTTCCCTTATGCCCCTTAAGGAATCCTGGGTTCTTGAAGCCTAAACCCTAAACTCTAAACCCTAAACCCTAGGCGGGTGGCAAAAACCCTATAGACCCTAAACCCTAAACCCTAAACCCTAAACCCTAAAGCCTAAAGCCTAAACCCTAACAACCCCCCCTTTAACCCTTGAAGCCTGGAACAGGGGCCCTCCGTGATGGTGACACCTTGGTCTACTGCGACGCAGGGTGCGTGATCGATCCAAGGTCCTTGCTTGGTTGGCCGGGTTCCTTCCTTTCCGGGTTAGGGTGTAGGGTGTAGGGTGTAGGGTTTAGGGTTTAGGGTTTAGGGTTTAGGGTTTAGGGTTTAGGGTTTAGTGTTGCAAAAGGGCAGGAATCCCAGCAAGCTTGTCTCAGTCTGGGTTCAAAAAGTGTTGCAAAAGGGCACCTTTCTTTTAGGGCTTCGGATGCTGGACAGTGCTTTTGCAAAAAAATCGGTGCATGGGGCTGGTCTAAATTTTGAAGGACGATCCTGCTTGAGCATCCTTAAGAACATCTTCAAGAATGCCCAGGGACCGAGTTTTGAAACTTACCGCATTGAACTGTAGTTCTGCCAGTCCCCATAGTTTCAGGGTTTAGCTGATGCCAGGTCAGGCCAAAGCTGGGAATCCTTGTTGGAACGAGTGCAGCCGGAGGACTTGTGAAACTGAAAGCTGCTAGTTGCGTTATACTCATCCTACACCCTGCGAGTGCTGCTGGCAAAATGTCGAGTGCAGGAACAAGCTGAAGCTGCCAACATTTCTTTCCCAAATTGCTCACCAGGAAGGACTGCTCGACATCGTGGCTTTCCACCACCAACATCTGGAGCATCGCTGGAAGCCTAGATGTTGTAGTTCCCGGAAGAGTTTGCACGGTCGCGAATGCCCCATCATTGCATGTCCGCCTGTCAATGCTCGAAAGGACACGCTGCTAGCAACAGGTTCCACTGCACTGCAGTTTGGTTTGCACGATGCATGGCGACATCAATCGTGCTTCATGGTGTCTTTCATGATGCCACCATATTCTAGCTGACATGTCATGCTTCTTTGTGCCACACCTTGTCAGCAGAGGCTACACAAAGGGTGACACCTTTGCACACTTTGGTGCGCGGTGGGACGAGGACTCCCATGCCTCTGTCTGCAGCTACAGATATAAAAATGCTCTCCAAGCAAAAGTCGTCGAGGTAGAGCACCACAAGGCGGCATGTAGTCCCCAAGGTAGCGCTTCCTGGGCGTTTGCTAGCTTCCGGAGATTCCGAGTCGGATTCAGACAGAAGTCGCGAAGCCTTGAATCAGACCCCATGCTGTTATGACCCTGTGACCCCAACAGGTTCATCATGCTGTCTTACGTCAAGATAACGTTGGGCTTTTCCAATCTGTTCCAGACTTGCGTTGCTGGAGTCCGGGATCTAGCGCGGGAGCCTCTTGGCAGTATTCCGGGGCGTCGCTCCCAGTCCGGCTGCCAGAAAAACAAGGGAGCTCAAAGCCCTAAATTAAATCTTGTCGTCCGCAGGACTTCGGTTTGAGCTGTCAGTTGGTTGGCGGCTACTGGCTGGCAAAGATCAATGCCAGGAGGGCGGAGTCATGTGGAGTCTGCGTTCAAGTTGAAGGCGAAAATAGGGTGTAGGGCAAGGCCCCTGAATTTCCGACCCCAAAATGCCCAAACTCATTTGGCATCATCGAGAACCTTGGGAGAAGAATCCGTGTTTATGGTCCGTACACATGAGATAGTTCTCGTAACACCCGTCGCCTTTCGGCGCTTCAATTGGAGGCGACAACGGCTCTCACGTGTGCCCGAAGTGCTGGAGAGCTCCGAAGCCCTGATGATCAGAAACCTTGCCAGGACCAGAGACCTTTTCGCACGCTGGGAGGACCTTGCCAAGGCCTTCCAAGTAAGATGGGGGGAGCATACAAAAGGCTTCGGAGTCCAGAACTCGTTGAGTATCGCTTCGGGTGAACCCCACCAAATGGTATACGGAATGGGAGGACCCCAAGGAGAAATGACTTGGTGGACAGGCTTTGGCGAGTTGGCTCAAAGGATGATGAGAATTAGCATGGGAACAGCACTCGCCCATGAGGGAGGTGTTCTGCACAAAGGGTGCCGCCGTGTGCAAAGCCCAGCTTTATTTATACGATCCTTTCCACCCGCGTCGCACCAATACGGTAGTGCAGCACCCTTCGGCTTCCGCTGACAGCTGACACTGAATCACGGATTGTGCAGGAAGTGTCGTTGATCTCCGATGATGAACCTCGCGTGCCAAACCCTCAGTATGCTCCTCGGCAGGATAAGAGGGTTGCAGTTGCACATCCCACCCTAGACCCAACAAACCCTAAACCCGCTTCTTTGAGTCCAAAGGGCTCTCACAAGTTTTTCCCTTCGGCCTCTTCCCCTTTACAACGGCCTTCTGCCTTGGGGGGAGAGCCCTTGTGACGGTTCCTTGTGGCAACGACATGAGCCCTAGGAGGGTGCATGAGCCCAAGGAGGGTTCATGGTCAAAATATCTTTATGTGGATTATGCTAGTAAACTAGTATAGGGTCTAGCGTTTCTGGGCTCAGAAGGGCAAGAGCAGTGTACCAGGAATATGACCCATGAGAGTATCATGAGAGGCTTTCAAGCGCAGTTGGAAGAGAGAGAGAGAGAGAGAGAAAAAAAAACAAAACAAAAACCTTGGATTTTGGGCTCAGGGGTCCAGACACATATTCTGGTCGAAGGTGTGCGCACAACTGTTTCTTGCGGTCAGCATTGGAAGCCAGCAGCAAGCATAGTGCGTTGTATCCGTGGCCTTATGCTTGGGGTTCGGGTTAAGGAGTTCGGTTGTGTTGATCGAGTACCCTGCGTCTCTGCCCAGGTGGAGAATCGTCATGACCAAAGTCTCTTCTCTATGCTTGCCAAATCCTTGGTGCTCGTCACATCCCAATGCGCGGCCTTGCAAATATTGAATCCTGAGCTTTCTTGTTGCGTTTGATTGAGAGTTTTGGGATGTATGCGCGACGTGGAGCAGAAAGGTTTTTGGACTTTACTACACCCCAAAACCCAACAGACATTCTAAATTTGGGGGCAGAATCAACGATGATGAGCTAAGAAACGGTGAACAAGTACTGAATTGCTCCCTTAAAGACTCAACCCGACACCCAGATCCCCAGATGAAGAGCAGCGGCGCCGTCTTCGAGCGAAAGAACGATGAGCCTGGGCCCCTGAGCCGCCTGGGATGGCCCCTTGTGCAGCCCTAAGCCCTGGGAACTCTCAACCTCGAATATTCGACCTCGAATTCTGTTTGTTCCACACTTGAATGTACTTTTCATGTTGGTTTCCGGAAGTTTTGGGCGGCCGGGCAGCGCCGGGACTCACTGTGGGTTCTGTTCAGGGTCCGGGGTTTGCTGTTCTAAGTCTGAGATTCCTGCTTGCTGACCTGGAGCCTGTGGTGTTGCAGGCATTTCAATGCCGCCGGCGCGCCGGGCAGAGGGCGGCGCCCTTACCCTGCGCAGTGCGCAGCCTGCGCGTGCTTGGCTGGAACATCGGTTGAGATTCCCAGACAGCTCCGGCCGACGCCCACCTCCATGCTTGCGCGTTTATGTCTGTTTATGACAGCGAAAGTTGACTTCAACAGAAAATGGTATGCATATACATGAGAAGAAAAATAGGTGTATATAACTGATGTGTACACATACGACATGTGAATGGACTCTCGTCATAGCTTCGGCCATGGCCACTGAATCTACAGGGCGTCACGGACGTCTTACTTCTAAATAAGAATGACATTGAAAGCCTTCTCCTACAGTGAAGATAGTGGCGTAGCTTTCAACATAGCATATGATATTGGCTGAAGAAATGCCATTAAGGTCAGGTACTATATGTAAAGGAGTAAGTGATCCGCATGCTTCTCTTGCATTCATTATTTGGATGTGAGAAAGAAGAGAAGACGAAATGACATTGAATAAAATGTAGATCGGAATCAAAACCTTTCCATAGAAAGTCTGAGGTCAAACGCTGTCGATTTCTCTGGCTCATGATTCGCGTACGTCACTGACACAATGAACACACGCATGTATTCATAAGTGGATGGACTATAGAAAATTATATCTAAGAGGCCTACATAGACCTACACAAGGTGCACAACCTTCCAGTCCACTGTGGGCACGATGCATCCGCAGTCTGACCCTCAAGCTTGGGTGGGGGGTGGCGGGGGCTTCTAAATTAAAGCCACTGCTTGGGTTGAGAAATGGGTTTCGACGATTTCGACTTCATGGTTTGGGGTAGCTTCACATCGGCTACAGGGGCCAAGCGCACGGTTGGCAGGCGCGTTCTTTCGGAAGTTCCCACGGTCAGTATGAGAGGCAAGCCAAGTTGCGTGGGAGGCTTTGATAGTGGCAGAGCATCTTGACGTTCCTTCAAGAGATGCATGCTTTTGACTTCAGGGGGGAGGTGGGCCATGTTTCTTTGATGCAAAACCTGCAGCTTTAGTTCCTTGCAGATCGCCGAAATTTCGCTGCATTCTGCCAATTGGACTTGGATTGCGAAGCCCTCAGCCTTCGCCTTTGAGGCTGGGCGTCTCCGGTACAGCGCTTAGCTGGGTCGGAGGGGTTTCCACCGAGATGATTGCCGGTATAGTTCACGCGTCAAAAGCTGAATGCCAACACTGTGATCAGACATAGCTCAAAAGAGTCAAAAAGGTCTGAAGGCCGTCGTCCTTCAAGATGTAGGCGCAGCTGGGTGAGGGGATGTTACGGGGTCATGTGCAGAATGTGCAGGGCCTTTTTTCTTGGGGCCCAGGGCCGTCTGAGTCTAGGCCGGCATTTGATCCGATGGTCGGCTATTGCATACGCTTTTTCTACCCAAGTCATGACCTAGGACCCAGAGTAGGCCCTTATTGCATTTCTTCAGGGTTTGGGGTACCTTATAGTTCCCTTTAAACCCAAAAAGGGCACCCTTTATTATTCCTAGGTTATGCTTCGGGTCTAGTGACCTGTGCAGGTTGGCCCATCTCTGGCGATCCTCTTCAGCCGATAAAGGCAGCGCGGCGCGCAGAAGGCGGCTGGGAGGAGTCTCTTCCGGAGGGTATTGGCTCTGATTGTCTGAGTTGGTTTATTTATGGATAGTTAAGCCTAATTAAGGCTATTTAAAGGGGTAGTAGGGAAAACCATGAGGTTTGGGTAGAAAGTTGCTGCTTGAGCCACACCTTCTTCCTGCGTGCCCTCCGTGGGAACATCCACAAACCGCCTCTGCCGACAGCGGAGGTCAACTGCCCAAGGACATGGACCTCGGTGGTGAGGGCTGCTATTGAACTGGCCCCTCTCGCGGAAAAAAGTGGTGCTTTCGTGCTTCTTGGGCCCATGCCCTTGACCTCTGATCTTTTGTCACCACCTTTCGCCGCCACGCTCAACCCCACGCCCCAACAGTCAAGACTGCTACCTCTTTAGATGCTCGTCTTGCTTCTTGCTGGGCATGCTGGCAAAGGAGCTGAGCTGAGCTATCGACCTTGAAGTCCCCGAAGTCCTCAAAGCAGCTCCCGAGGATGGTGCCGGTGTGAAGCACTTCGAGGGCTACGCGCGCATCGTGGACCCCCACACGGTGGAGGCGCCGCGATACACACGGTGGGGGTTCATCGGATAGTGTGAAGATGTCAAAGTGTAGGCTGAACAGTTCCCCCTGCATGAACGTAACTGGCTAAAGCTGCCGTTCTCCGACTTAAGACCCTGCCGATTACATATCCCGGTGAACAGGACACCTAGAGGGTTCTAGGCATCTCTTAAGTACGCGCCCAGAAAAATCAACGAAGAACGCCACACAAGTATGTGGAGGTGTCCCAACTCGGCCTTTTCCAACGAACGCAGCGTGACTTCGCCACCGGTGACTCTAACCACGGCCCCAAACCCTGCCTAAACCCTAGCCCCTTCAAATGTGAAACCCGATGGCTTGAAGAGAACCCATGTCTTTGACAATTCCTCGGCATGCGACTTTCCCCGGGCCTATGGGTAAAGGCCTTTCGCCGATGCACATTCTGTAGGGCTCAGGGTCAAACCTTCTCCCACATTCGGCAGGTCAATGGTGAGAAGCACACTGCCAAATACATTTGTGTCGCCACCGGTGGTCGAGCGCAACGGCTGTTCGGGGGCACAGTGAGATGACAGTGAAACTGACAGGTGCAGTGTGAGCAGAGCAGGCGGCGCGTTTTCCTCGTCGTAAGCAAAATAGACTCAAATAACCCAATCAGGAAATATCAAGTGGGAGTTTTACGAAAGTAAGGGACCCCTAACATAGTCACCCCCTTATCATAAGGACCCCAATAGGGCACCCCTAATGTCGGAGAGCCCCCCATGTCGTCCCTGCCATCCCGACGCCCTCAAGGCCCATTCCAGGCAGCGACCTCGACGGTGCCCGATACCCAGTGCTTTGGGCTTCCGGGCTCTGGGCTGTGGTTCGCAGTTGTTCTTCTAGATTCTAGGCCACTCTGCTACAGTTTTTTGCAGCTTTCCATGACATCATGGTCAGGTCGCCGTGGGTGATTTTTTGACACAACTCGGCCTGAAACTGTGATCTTGGGCAAGCCAGACCTCTGAACCTCTGTCCTCAACTATCGAGAACTACAAGTATCCTACCGACCCATGTCTTCGTGCGAGGTTCTCACAAGCGACGAAGCCTTGGCTTTGCCAAAGAAGTGGGGGTCTTTGTATCAACTTGCGGCGTTTAGGGATTGGAGTAAAGGGTTCAGGGATTCACGAGCACAGCTACGAAGAAGAAGTTCGTATCCGAAAGACGTTGCGACTAGACTCAGCCGCTGTCAGCAGCTCACGGTAATTAGGGCGGTTGCTGGTCGTCCAGCGGCCACCTGTTGTCGTGGTTCCTCGATCTTCGCGACAAGTCATAGACAAGCTTGTTGCAAAAAGGGGTTACAGGGGTTGTCAGTCCTGGCATGAAGCAGTTTCCGGGTTCAGAAGAGTTTAGGAAGTATAGAGTTTAGGGTCAGTCACCCCTTCCTTGGCCAAGCATGAAGAACAATGCAGGGGCTTACACAATTCTCCTCATTATCGCCCGTATCGTCCCCATACTCAGTGAACTGCCTCCCTGACAGTTCTGTGTGACAGTGTCTGCTATCATCGGAAGTAGGAGGGGTTACGGGTTGGGCAGGAAGCTCGTTGTAAAAGGGGGTTCTAACCTTAAGGACCAGATGAACCCTAACACACACACTGGAGTCATACCACTATCATTCCTGTGAACCATAAACCCCTTTCCAAGTAAATAGGCCCCCATGTGATCAAAAGTTGCGAACAAGAAAGCCCAAATGAACCCCCCCTAGTTCCCCTTGGAACAAGACAATGGACGGCCACCCAAACCCTGCTTACGGTAAGTCAAGAGTCCTACAAACCCTATGGGCCCGACACGGCGACACGGCCTATAACTAGTGGCAAAACGCAGAAATGACTTTAAATGTCACCATGGTTTATAGTGTCTAGACCTCTGGTGATTAAGCCTCAGATCAAGGCGGACACTTAGGGTGGGTTCCCTAAGTTAGCGTCACTTTTGGGTTTTTTTACTCGAAGTAAATCATGAGTTCCTTCCCGAGACGCCCCCAAAGGGCTATCATTTAGCTAATTCCTCAAGTTCTTGCAGAATAATTCCTCAAGTTCTGCAGAAAGACAGCTGGAGGCCAGATAAGTTGGTGGTCATCGGCGGTGGCTACATTGCACGGGCCTCAATGCTGTTGGGGGGTGGCCCTCTCTTCAAAGGAGAACCCTATAACTACGAGCCAGAGTAGGCCCTCATTGCCTTTTTCACGGGGTTCGGTTCCCTTAGTAGCCCCTTTGAACCAACAAGGGTACGTGCCCTTTGTATATTCCTAAGGTTACTCTTGGGTTTAGATAAGCAATGAGCCTCACCGCACAAATTTCCTTCCTTCCCTCCCCCACTCTTGGAACCCTCACCACCCCAAGATACTTGTTCCCGTCATGGCCTAATGTCCCTAAACTCCTAAACCCTGCACCCCTTTGGTCGGGACAGATCTTGGGTACAGGGGTTGTGGTTTAGGGTTTAGGGTGGTGTGAGGTTGGTTTTCAGTTCTTACTGGTCACTGAAGCGCTGAATCATGAATCATGGAAAGGGTGTTCAGGTGTCCCTATCGTAGCCATTCGAGCTCGTCGGGTGGGGTGGCAAGGAAAGCCTACAGTGAGAGTCTTCTCTGGCTTCACTTGCCCGCAGTTTTTTTTGCATAAGGACGGCACGTACTCAACACATCATTGATATGAATCTCATCTAAAGGAGAGTCAAGAGCCGTCCGACTTCGGCTGCGAACCCTTGACCCCCCCAGAAAGAAAGATTCAAGAAGAGGAGGCATAGCGGCAAAATTCAGGAGAGTTTAGGGTAGAAGGGTTTGCTTCGTGCTGTCCTCTACCGGGGAGCGGAGCGCTTCGAGGCCTGATGTGCTTCCGTTCCCCAGCTCTGCCGTGATGTTGAATGAAGTTCCGCAGTTGAAGGTTTAGGGTTTCCATAGGGTTCTGAACCTGTCCAGGCGTACCCTTCCAAGCCTGCTGCAAACAGGGGTAGCCCTAAGCCCCCTTAATAATATAATACTCTAAACCCTAAGCCCTAAACCCTAAACGCTCTGCAATGGGGCTCAGTCAGCCCTGGAAAATGCACACAGAGCCGACCGAAGGCTGTAGAGTTTGCCGGCTACTTCCATGGTCCGGCAGCCCAGGTAGGTTTAGGTTTAGGGGGTTTAGGGTTTAGGAATATGGAGGACGGAGTAATTACGCCCTTACGGTCCCTTTGTAATAAAACTAACATAACCCCCCAAAACCCTTTCTAATTGTTCAGGCCCCTATATTAGGCTTGGGTGGTTGGGCGCTTGGGGTTGCCTAGTCACCCGCCCAGGTGCCCGAGGGATGTACTCAAAACCTTGTGGACTGAACATTTTTTTGCACCGTTTACAGTTTAGGGTGTAGGGTTTGGGGTATACCCTAAACCCTAAAGCCGTAGTCTTGATTTCGGGCCTTAGTCCTCCCATTTTCTGCCGGTCGCGGCGCATGGCGCAGTAGTGCTTCGCCAGGAGAGTTGGGGGCTGCGTGGAGTGATCGATATTTGGTGGGTCAGGTGGCACACTGCAGACACCCTGCACTACCATTAGTGACAGAAACCTTGTTGGGTGCATGCACAAATATGTGGACCACGAAATTCATCTACTCCCCAAGGTTGGTGCAGGATGAGGGTCAGATTGAAGCCCCCGTATCTGTCCTCGTGCTCCACGCCAGTAGTTTGTTGTTTCGACCAAGTACTCCGATTTACTTTCTTTTGGAGCTATATCGGCACAGTTTGCAAGGCTATTGCAGGCAGGAGGCCAGCAGTCAGAGCCATCAACCATCCTCCGGCGAGGCTACGGCACTGAAGTACACTTGGTGTTCCGACAGGACAGAGCTTCTTGGCTGTGCACAAGCCTTCCTCTCTAACGAAGCCTCCCAAACCCTGAAATCGGCTGCGGTTCAGGCCGGAGCCACACGTGCAGGTTGAGACGATTGACTGGGCGGCTTTTCCCTAAATCAGTGATAGTCAGTGCCTTTCTCCATTGGCGTCCTATTGCAGAGAGTGTTGCTCGGTACAAGGCATTCCTGGGTTCCCTGAGCACGACCTGTAGCGGCAAGATGCGGTCAGCCGAAACGAAAGATTGCACAACTCATTGGTATCGCGTAAGTGTTCAGCCCGAAGCCCTAAAAACCCTATAAGCACGCAATCCCAAATTTCGGGAACGTGGCAGGACTTGCCGCTGCGAGGTTTCGACGAGGTCTGTGGATTCAGTGCACACGGAGCAGCCACGGCTCATGTACCTGTACATCTCGTGCTTTTCTAGTTCAAGATGACTTCAGATATGTGTGCCGCAATCTTTGTCTCAAGCCATCGACGCATCTTATACTACTAATCCCCGATACGCGCGATACAACCCTCCGCTTTGCGCAACCATGGGCCAGAGTGAGCAGATGCAGATCGTAGTGGCGAGCTCTTGCTACTGCTTCGCGTCTGTGGGCATGCTTCTCTTCAACAAGTTTGCCGTGCAAGACTTCCCCTTGGAGTGCATCCTGGTTTGGTTGCAGCTGTGCTTTGCAGCTACGTGCCTCGCTGTCTTTGCCTTCCCATACATCCACGTGGGCTCATTTCGTGACTTGCTGCGGTGGTGCATGGTGGTGCCGTTCTACTGCGGCATGCTCTTGACCTCCATTCTGGCATTGAAGACGGCGCCGATGTCGCTGGTGATCGTGCTTCGGAACACATCGCCGTTGGGAACGCTGGTCATCGAGCGCTTTTACCCGGAGCCGCTGCGCATCAGCACGGGCATGTTGGCCTCCATCTTCTTAATGATCATGGGAGGCCTGATGTACGTCTCTCAGCTGCCCAATGAGAACTGGCAAGGAATTGGCTGGGTCTTCTTGAACAGCGCCATCGCGGTCGTCGACCGCCTGTTGCAGAGGCTCCTCTTGTCCAAGGACCAGCACCCCGTCGACATCTCCAAAACCGGTATCACACTCATCAACAACTTTGTGGGCATGCTTCCTGTGGGATTGGCTGCGTACATGAAGGGTGAGATGGAGCAGCTCCCCGCCGTGTATGCCAAGCTGAGCAGCTCGGATAAGTTCTACATCGGAATGACATGTATCATTGGGCTCACCATCAGCTACACGAGCATTTGGGCTCAGAGCTTGATCAGTGCCACGAGTTTCCTGGTCATGATCAACGCCAACAAGTTTGTGATCATTGGCATTGAGGCTTTTGGCATGCACTCCAAGGCACTGAACACGATTCAGGTCGCTGGTGCAAGCCTCACCGTCCTTGGTGGCGTGTGCTACGGCAAGTCGCGTCAGGCCATCGAACAAGAGGTGGAGGAGCGAAAAACCTTGCTCCCCAAGGCCTAGATGGCCCGAGACGGGCTGCGCCCGACCAGCATTGCACCGGAAAAGCCGGAAGACGACTCGTTCGGGGAGTCACGAGACATGGCATGTGCAGAGAGTAGGGTCTAAGCAGTCTAGGCTGTAGAGCGAGACGTCTGGCCGCGACATTCAGGGAGAGGCATGTACCATGGCGCACACATACCCTGTCAACTGCCGCAACATTTGCTTCAAGCCATCGACGCATCTTATACTACTAATCCCCGATACGCGCGATACAACCCTCCGCTTTGCGCAACCATGGGCCAGAGTGAGCAGATGCAGATCGTAGTGGCGAGCTCTTGCTACTGCTTCGCGTCTGTGGGCATGCTTCTCTTCAACAAGTTTGCCGTGCAAGACTTCCCCTTGGAGTGCATCCTGGTTTGGTTGCAGCTGTGCTTTGCAGCTACGTGCCTCGCTGTCTTTGCCTTCCCATACATCCACGTGGGCTCATTTCGTGACTTGCTGCGGTGGTGCATGGTGGTGCCGTTCTACTGCGGCATGCTCTTGACCTCCATTCTGGCATTGAAGACGGCGCCGATGTCGCTGGTGATCGTGCTTCGGAACACATCGCCGTTGGGAACGCTGGTCATCGAGCGCTTTTACCCGGAGCCGCTGCGCATCAGCACGGGCATGTTGGCCTCCATCTTCTTAATGATCATGGGAGGCCTGATGTACGTCTCTCAGCTGCCCAATGAGAACTGGCAAGGAATTGGCTGGGTCTTCTTGAACAGCGCCATCGCGGTCGTCGACCGCCTGTTGCAGAGGCTCCTCTTGTCCAAGGACCAGCACCCCGTCGATATCTCCAAAACGGGCATCACACTCATCAACAACTTTGTGGGCATGCTTCCTGTGGGATTGGCTGCGTACATGAAGGGTGAGATGGAGCAGCTCCCCGCCGTGTATGCCAAGCTGAGCAGCTCGGATAAGTTCTACATCGGAATGACATGTATCATTGGGCTGACCATCAGCTACACGAGCATTTGGGCTCAGAGCTTGATCAGTGCCACGAGTTTCCTGGTCATGATCAACGCCAACAAGTTTGTGATCATTGGCATTGAGGCTTTTGGCATGCACTCCAAGGCACTGAACACGATTCAGGTCGCTGGTGCAAGCCTCACCGTCCTTGGTGGCGTGTGCTACGGCAAGTCGCGTCAGGCCATCGAACAAGAGGTGGAGGAGCGAAAAACCTTGCTCCCCAAGGCCTAGATGGCCCGAGACGGGCTGCGCCCGACCAGCATTGCACCGGAAAAGCCGGAAGACGACTCGTTCGGGGAGTCACGAGACATGGCATGTGCAGAGAGTAGGGTCTAAGCAGTCTAGGCTGTAGAGCGAGACGTCTGGCCGCGACATTCAGGGAGAGGCATGTACCATGGCGCACACATACCCTGTCAACTGCCGCAACATTTGCTTCAAGCCATCGACGCATCTTATACTACTAATCCCCGATACGCGCGATACAACCCTCCGCTTTGCGCAACCATGGGCCAGAGTGAGCAGATGCAGATCGTAGTGGCGAGCTCTTGCTACTGCTTCGCGTCTGTGGGCATGCTTCTCTTCAACAAGTTTGCCGTGCAAGACTTCCCCTTGGAGTGCATCCTGGTTTGGTTGCAGCTGTGCTTTGCAGCTACGTGCCTCGCTGTCTTTGCCTTCCCATACATCCACGTGGGCTCATTTCGTGACTTGCTGCGGTGGTGCATGGTGGTGCCGTTCTACTGCGGCATGCTCTTGACCTCCATTCTGGCATTGAAGACGGCGCCGATGTCGCTGGTGATCGTGCTTCGGAACACATCGCCGTTGGGAACGCTGGTCATCGAGCGCTTTTACCCGGAGCCGCTGCGCATCAGCACGGGCATGTTGGCCTCCATCTTCTTAATGATCATGGGAGGCCTGATGTACGTCTCTCAGCTGCCCAATGAGAACTGGCAAGGAATTGGCTGGGTCTTCTTGAACAGCGCCATCGCGGTCGTCGACCGCCTGTTGCAGAGGCTCCTCTTGTCCAAGGACCAGCACCCCGTCGATATCTCCAAAACGGGCATCACACTCATCAACAACTTTGTGGGCATGCTTCCTGTGGGATTGGCTGCGTACATGAAGGGTGAGATGGAGCAGCTCCCCGCCGTGTATGCCAAGCTGAGCAGCTCGGATAAGTTCTACATCGGAATGACATGTATCATTGGGCTGACCATCAGCTACACGAGCATTTGGGCTCAGAGCTTGATCAGTGCCACGAGCTTCCTGGTCATGATCAACGCCAACAAGTTTGTGATCATTGGCATTGAGGCTTTTGGCATGCACTCCAAGGCACTGAACACGATTCAGATCGTTGGAGCGAGCCTCACCGTCCTTGGTGGCGTGTGCTACGGCAAGTCGCGTCAGGCCATCGAACAAGAGGTGGAGGAGCGAAAAACCTTGCTCCCCAAGGCCTAGATGGCCCGAGACGGGCTGCGCCCGACCAGCATTGCACCGGAAAAGTCGGGATTGGGGTGTTGCATTGGCGTTCTCTGCTTTGCTGCGTGCTGCACAGATTCGGCACGAAAAAGCAAGCAGATGCTGTAGCCCATGAGGCGCATCTCGTATCTGCCAGGACATCCGGGAGCACCTGCTTGAGTTGACCAAGGCCAAGGGGATCCATGTCCACTCAGGCCCGGGCAAATTTGGGAGTATTGGCCACCCAAACGGCAATTCGAAGTCGCTGCTGCTATGATTTGCCGTCGTGAGCCCTGATCTTCGGGTTGCGGGTTTTCGGCAAAAGTAAAGGGGGCGAACTTCAGGGGCGAAGGACGATGCTTACCTGGAACCCCCCACCACACACGGGGCCAACTTTGCCTTGCTTTAGTTCCTGGAATCGTGGGGTCGCCCGCACCTTCCCAGCTGGCTGCCGGTAGGAGTGAAGATGCGGGGGTCTCCCTTTGGGGAGAGGTTTGGGGATCTGCTTCTGTTGGAAGAGAAGCGCGGCAATGCATTGACTCGGCCCTCGTCCAGGTGAGAACCCCCTGTCCATCGAGGCTGGCAGCTATCTTTTAGACGGTGGCGCGGAACGCCGGGCGTTTTTCTGGAGGTTCCGCAAATTTCGGGCATCCTTTTTGGAGAACCCTGTAGTAAGGAATCTCGGGGGGTCCAGGAATATAGGATTCTGGGAGGTAGACGACGTTCCCCTGAAAATGCCCATATCGAATGTTCAAACCGCCCTCATGGCGGGTGGCAAAGAATTTGTCGGTTTGGGGGGTTTGCTGCTCTGTCTGCTATGCGCACCTCCCACCTGGCCTCACAGACCCTGTGTTTCCCATGCATCGCCTTGTTGAGAGTGTGTGGCGTTGTGACTCACACATACGTCTGTGTTCTTGCTTCCTGCGATGTGCCAAGATATGCACATGTTCAACCCGAAGGTATGTCCAACAGAAACCCCTTTTGGGGGTTTCCGAAATCGAGGGTACCTTCTTGGGGTCCTTCCCTATTACAAGGGAATCCTACTATTTGGGGGTCTATTTTAAGGGTACCCTTCTGTTCGTAATCCCCCCCCATGTTTGTTTCGTGCACCCAAACAGCTTGCCGGCTCAAGAGCTCGAGACCAGAATGCCCTCCCCGGTGCCCCTTGGCTCTGAGCAGTCTGGTTCGAGCCCAGTCGTGCCTTCTTTCCCGTTTCGTTAAGCTTCGGATCCCTTATGAACCCAAGTCAGACAAAAGGGGGGGATGCGGCTTTACAAGGGCTTTATAGGGGTGTGGGTCGGTTGAGGGTTAAGAGGGCTTAGAGGGCTGCATGTTGCAAAAAGGGGCTCTTGCAAAGGAAGGTTTCAGACAATTATAAAGACTGGCTACGGCTACGGCACGTAGCTGCATGTAACCTTACTAGGAGGCATGTTGTTGAGGGGGCATCGGTAGGCATGGCCCATTTAAAGGGGGGGATCGATAGAAACGGCCATCTTGGGGCGATGTTGAGGGATGTTGTTGAGGGGGGATCGGTCTGAATGGCGATCTTGGGGCGATGTTGAGGGATGCTGTGGTAGGAATGGCCATCTTGGGGGCTCAACAGCGCCCCCATTTTGTTTCCATTGCGAACTCATCCGAGGCGCCTCCTAAAGACAGACAGCGGCGGCGTCCAAGATCTGGCGAAGCCACGGGCACCCTGGCAGCCATGAGTTTAGGGTTTAGGGTTTAGGGTTTAGTCAAAAGGGTTTAGGGTTTAGGGTTTAGGAATCTGAAACTCCTTTGCCATCCTCCAGGTTTACCACTCTTTGCCTAAGAACTCCCCTGTATTGCCCTTTTTTTGGGGAAGAACATTTGGTTGGGGGGTTCTTATAAGCGAGTAGTAGTAGTTTAGGCTGTAGGCTTTAGGGTTCAAAAGGGTTTAGGCTAAGGGAGTCGGAGCCTTTCGCCTCCGAGCTCAGCTCTTTTCTGTCTGTTGTCGCCGATTTCTGTTGCGTAGTGTTCACATGCAGGGTTTAGGGTTTAGGGTTTAGGGTTTAGGGGCATTCAAAAGGGTCAGAATGCCGGATGCAGGCTGATAACAGAGGGTTGTTGGTACAGCGCCAGCAGAGTGAAACCCGAAGCCCTGCCCTAACATTTCTTCTGCTTTGACGGTCCCCGAAGCCTTGCTTGCCGTGCGTGAGAGGGTTTATAGGGTTTATAGGGTTTATAGGGTTTATAGGGTTTATAGGGTTTATAGGGTTTATCGGGTTTATCGGGTTTATAGGGTTTTGGGTTTAGGGTTTTGGATTCAGGGTGTGGGGTTTAGGGTTTAGGGTTTAGGGTTTAAGCCTTTAAAGGGCATGAAGCTCAGGCGGTGCCTCCCGCATTCACCTCACCGAGAAATTCCGAGAACGCCCACGCCGGCATCCTGGCCACGAGGTTTTATCATTCTGATCCGTATCGTGGTTTAGGGTTTAGGGTTTAGGGTTTTGGGTTTAGGGTTTAGGGCGTGCTCATTTAGCCGACCTGTTTGGGATTGGTGGTCCAGGACATATTCGTAGGTAGTATTGCACGAGAAGTATTGTGGGTGAGAGAGTAACAGCACTGCACTGCAGCAATGTAATTGCAAGAATCGTAAGAATCGTAGTAGTAAAACACAGACAGACGGGAGGACCAGTGCTACCGGAACCTGTATGCCTCTGAGCGGTTCCAGTCAGCATGGCTCAAACTTGGTCGAGACGAAAGAGACAACAGCCTGCTTAATCGAGTATGCTAATTGTCCGATGGAAAACCAGCGGCAACATCGTGGTCTGCCTTGATGCGGAGCAGTACCATGCTCTGGTGCTGCGCGGGGGCAGCAATGTACGAACCCTCAAACGCCACCTATGCAGCGTGACCGGATGCCCTCGCTTCAGGCAACGCCTTTTTGACGAGGCCAGTGGCGCACAGCTCCATGAGCTGCCAGACAGCTGTACCTTCGGCTTTCCTGCGGTTCTTTCCTTTTTGGTCAAGGGCTTTGTCCAAAGCGACAAAGAACGCTATGATGAACTTCTTCATGCAGCAGAGGGCCACCGCCACCGTGACTTAGAGAGATTACTGCAACAGCCACAAAGTCCAGACCTCGTGGATGACACTTGGCTGTGGTCAGCTCTACATGGTGCATGCTACTGGAACAGCTTGGAGTGTATCCGGCTACTGCTTGAAGCCCGGGCTTATATAAATGCAGTCTCCATCTACTCCCCTGAGTTGTTTGACTCGGGAGCCACACCCCTTGTCATAGCTGCCCACAGAGGCCACAACAGAGCTGTGGCGCTTTTGATTAGCGCTGAAGCCGATCTGAACTTAGCTACGGCGAACGGTTGGACGGCTATGTTGATCGCTGCCAGTGATGCAGATCGTGACATCATGCAGCAGCTGCTCCTGGCCAGAGCTGATGTGGACAAACCCACTGCTCAGGGAACATCGCCGCTACTTGCCGCTTCGCAACATGGCCACATGGGCGTCGTGCAGATGATGCTGCAGGCGAAGGCAGATCCGGATCGAGCAGCTCAGGAGGGATCCACACCAGTGCACGTGGCATCCCACATGGGCCACCGTAAAACGGTTCAGCTCTTGGCGCAGGCGCGTGCGGATTTGAATAAGGTTGACACTGACGGTGCCACCGCTTTGTTCTTGGCCGCGCGCGAGGGCCACGTCCGCATTGTACAGTTGCTTATCGAATCCGGTGCAGAGATGAACATAGCCAACGCAAAGTGCCACACTCCTCTTTACGCGGCTTCAGAGTTGGGACAGACAGATGTCGTACAGTGCTTGATCGAGGCAGCAGCAGACCTCAACAAGGCTTCGGTCGACTCTGGGACGCCCTTGAGTGTAGCTTGCCTATTCTTGTCTCTTCCCCATAGCAGTATTCAGAAGAAGTTGCTCCGAGCACGGGCCGATGCGAACGGAGCCGATGGGCTGGGCGTCTGCGCTTTGCACGCTGCAGCGGCTCATGGGCATTGCGAGGCCGCGAGTTTCCTACTTCAAGCCAGGGCTGAGCTGGACCGGCCGACTGCCAACGGGACAACTCCTTTGCTAGCTGCCGCGTCCGCGCCCTTGCACAGCAACGGAGGGGATGTGACAGATTTGCTGATCCAGGCGCGGGCCGATTTCAACCTGCCCAGCCCTAGTGGTGAGACACCCATCTTTGTAGCCTCGAGCCAGGGCAATGAGAGGGTTGTGAATTTCCTGTTGCTGGCGAGAGCTGATATCGAGAAGAGTGGGGACGGAAAGCTAACACCGATCTTCATTGCAGTGCATTTCGGGCACACCAAGATTGTCCAGATGCTGCTCCACGCCAAGGCAAAGCTCGACATCAGACGAGAGAAGCTCACACCACTGATGTTCGCTTCGCTGAGGGGCCACTGTGACGTTGCGAAGCAGCTCATTGATGCCAGTGCCAACCTTGAGCAAAGCGGTGATGGCGGAGAAACAGCACTGTCTTTGGCCGCACGAAAAGGTCACCACCCAGTCGTCCAGCAACTCATCGCGCGACGGGCGCAGCTTGACAAAGAGGCTGAGAACGCCGCCACAGCCCTCTCAATCGCTGCTTGCAGGGGAGATCACAAGATTGTACAGGAGCTGCTGCAGGCCCAAGCGCTCGTCAACAAAACCAACGGCAATGGCGCGACGGCAGTCTTTTTTGCAGCCCAAGAAGGCCATTTAAGAGTTGTGCAGCTGCTAATTCAGGCCCGAGCCACCTTGGACCAGGTGGCTGAGAATGGTGCAACGGCCTTGTCAATCGCCGCCTGTAAGGGCCATCTGAAAATTGTGCATCAGTTGATTCAGGCCGGAGCCAGAGTTGAAAAGCATGTCTGCCTCGCCTTCCTCTCTCCTGGCTTGAAAGGGCTCGCGAAGGCGCAGTGACCTGTGTAGTATAAGCCCCCCAAATGATTTTGGAACCCGGAAAGAGGGAAAGTTCAAACCCAGGGGAGCTCACGTAAGGGACCTCCAGTGCTCGCGGCAGCGGCTATGACCCGAAGAAGGGCAGTATCCATGAGATGCTGAAGGCGGATCGCTGCATGCTGGTTCGTTGTGCATTTGAGACTGGTCATGGGCCACAAAAGGCGTTTGGGAGTGCAGAGGTGTCAGGGCCGGAATCGCCGATGGATGCAGGACCTGAATGACTCCTCCGTGCTGCACCACGCGCTTCTGAAAGAGCTGCGAGACATTTGCGCACACCTCCGCGTGGACATCCAGGCGGACGGAAGTTGGTTCTATAGGGTTTGTGGGGCCCCTGCCTCCGTTCCCTGCCTTCGCCGCCACACCACCGGAGTGCAAAATCCTGAGGCCTCCGCCACAAAGCTCCGAGAGCCTCATCCTTTCCCCAGCTCAGGTGTCCTTGGCATTCGGCTTCGGCAGATGGGGTGGTTCTTGGGAACGATATACCCTACAAGTAGGGGACCAGGAAGCCGAATCTCAATGTCGAAAACTGACCGTTCCATCGGTTTTGAGCTTAGCTCTAAGCAGATGCCTGGGGGGTCTACGCATCGGAAATTGGGGTTTCGGGTTTTAGGGCTTCGGGCTTTACGCTTCTCAAGGCGGACATCGCGAAGCTGCTTTCCAAGACCACGGCTGGTCCGCATGACGGAAAGGAGGAGGACGAGGCCACCGAAACCCTAAACCCTAAACCCTAAACCCTAAACCCTAAATGCACCCTGAGCTCCTGATACTAGCAGTCCTCAGTAGGGATTATAGCACCCCCTTATTATAATACTCCCTAGGAAGGACTGTTAGTGTCAGGGGAAAAAACATCCCAAAGCCAGCCGAGATGTTGAGACGTTGAGACGAGCAAGTTCTTCTTTTTGGGGGGGGGGGGGGGGGCATATATGATGCGGGTGCAGGCTGCCCCCCCATCCCCCCCCATGGTTTAGGGTTTAGGGTTCCTCCCCCCCCCCCCCCCCCCCCCCCTTTTTTGTGGTCTGGTTGTTTTAGGGTTTTAGGGTTTAGGGTTTAGGGGGTTGGGGCGGGGGGGGGGGGGAGATGCAACAAGGTTTTATAGTTTATAGGGCATACAGCTGGCCTGCTCGGGTAGCGGGAGGAAGTAAGGTAGGTCAAAAGCTGTTGTCCGGACATTTCAAGCCGGTTGCAAACGGGAAAATATCCCTTGGCCGCCTAAACTCTTAAAATCCATAATGCTTGCAGGCAACCCAGGCTCCAGCAGATGTGCGCCATGAGACGGAGCGCCTGCGAATGATTCAGATCGTGCCTTTTGCCTTCAGCCCTGCTTCATTCCTTGCATTTCCTTGCCATATTCTGGCGGAAGCACTTGTGGCAATCATTTTCACTTGAGACTCTCGTTTTGTCCGTTAAGGGTCGGAGTGAGAAGAAGTGGCCATGGGGCCTGTGTGTTTCGACTACCTGCGCTGCTCGTGTTAGAAGCATGCTTGGGTTGAATGAAGGCTGGTCGGCTGTGATAATGCACATGCGGCATTCAATATATTCTATTGTGCCGGGGGCAGGTCATAGCCCGCAGCAGCTCGCATCCAAAACCATCTACCCCCACCCTAAACCCTAGACACTAAACCCCAATGTGTGAGAGTCGAAACCCCAATGTGCTTGAGGCTGACGGAGCTTCTGCCCAACGTCCTCCCACTTCAAGGCTCGTCAGAATGGGTTTCGCAATCGGGCGAATACAACCCCTTGGCCTCACACTTATTGTTAAGTAAGCCCAAAGCAACCTTTCGTTTCCTAGCGGCAAGTACATCACTCAGGCGGACAGTTGAGGACCAAAAAGATCCTCCATCACACCCAAAGTACCTGTAGAAAGCTCCAGCATAGGCCAGTAGGGGGGGGGGGGGGGGGGATGTTTCCGAAATTGGGGGGGGTGGGGGGGTACCTTGTTGGGGATCCTTACTATAGGGGGATCCTACATATTAGGGGATCTACATTAAGGTTCCCTAGTTTCCGAAACCCCCCCTGTATCGGGAGGGGGATCGCAACTGCCAGATAGCGTGGGCGAGACCGCTGTGGAGGAGACCGTGGAGGCATCCTCGCAGGGACACCCTGAAGAACCAAAAGCATTTTTTTTTTTTTTTTTTGGGGGGGGGGGGGGGGGGGGTTAGAGTTTATAGAGTTTAGAGGGTTTATAGTGTTTATAGGGTTGATAGGGCTTGTTATGGGTGCATAAGAGAGGAGGAGCTCAGGCTAAGCCTTCAACCCCAGCGCATGAAGCTTGTACTCCTAAGGCTGTGCCCCCTGTGCAGAGTTCCCTTACTATACTCCCCTACATATGGCCCCTCTCAGAAATCCCAGAACTTAATCCGAAAAGGTTCCCGAATACTCGAGCCCCAACCCTCTGCCTTTATTGAAGAAGGCCCACAAAGCCGCAGGGGAGGCTTAACAGTACCTAGGACCCACAGTAGGCCCTCACTTCTGCAGGGCTTAGAGATTCCCTTCTCAGCCCCTTAACACCCAAAAAGGGCACCCTTTCGATTTCCCAGGTTGCTCTTGGGTCTAGGTACTCCCAAACTCTGATGGCCCTCATTGATTCGGGGGCTCTTGTTTCGTTTTTACCCGCGCAGTCTGGCCGTAACAAATCGTGCGGGAGGCTCTTGTTCCTTTGACTCACCCAGTCTCGCCCGTAGTTCACACGCATCCGGTCACCAGTTGACCCCTGCCCATGCACATGCCAGAGTCTGCACTTCGCCGCTATACTTCATGATACCATGGACGAGCTCTTGTGCTTTGGGTTTATAGGGCCTACCCGAAACCACACAGTCTCATGCGCTAAAGGTGCCTGAAGTGAACGCGGACGACGAGGGCCAAGTTGCTGCTTGGCACGGGTTAGACAACTTCTCAGGGGTTTGGTGTCCATGCACCTTGCCCCGGGTTGCTGAAGCAGCCCAGCAGCAAAGGGTCCATGCACCTTAAGAGGCGTTCATCGTAATCACGTAAAATCTTAAAAGGTGTGTGTGGAAGAACTCCTTGTAGGGCTCAGCCTTCAAGGTCACAACGCGTTGATACCCTTCTGAGAAGTCGGATGATAGCAGTCCTGACTCTTTCTTTGCGGAGCTTCGCTGGGCGGGTTGCAAAAACCCAAAGCCCTACTAGACCTTGTGTGGCCTGAGATGTGGCACTTTTGCATAGTAAACCCTAAACCATTGGGCATCGGACAGCCGGACCCTAAACCCCCCCTATGCCTCGGATGTTCCCCCGTACACCAACAGTCCTGAATAGCATGAAGTACCCCCGATTAGAATCCCTACAAAGGGCTCTAAGTATAAGCAGGAACAGCCCAAACTTCAGGCCAGATGTCGGAGTCGTACTGCCTGGCCCGAGAACCGAGATGGCTCGAAGAAGTCGGCGAAATCGCAGCCTCGGGCCTCAACTTTATGTCTTCGGGGTTTCTATAGGCTTCAAGGGCTTAGGGTTCAGGGGTATAGGCTGTATGCTACCTGCCCCTTCGGACTCTCTCGGAAAAGGGTTCCTGCTCATGAACTTCGCCACTTTCGGAGCTTTGCTTTCGGAAATTTGTCTTCGACACGGGTTGAGGAAGAGTTCGTAAAGCCTTATTAACTTACTGTCGCACGCCGCCGCATTCACAGCCGCTTAATCTACAATCTATAGGCTCAAAACCCCATGATAACTAAACCAGACCCCCTGAATTCGAAGCCCGAATCCCTCGAATTCAATCGACGACGCACCGAAGGGCAACCACCAACAAGACCTCCGCGAGCGGCAAGGACTACGGCGCTGGTGTAGGCGGATAGGATGTTATGATTATCCGATGATCTTTGTTTCTGTTATCATGCCCAAATACTGTTGGTTGTGACATTTGAATTATTTGTTTGTGATTATTGGTCGTCATTCTTCTTCTCATTATGTATATATATATATATATATGTATCTGTATTTCATGGGTTTTTATGTATACATTATCATTATGAGTGTTTTCATTGTTGCTGGCATCTGTAGTCAGAGCAAAGGCTAAACTTTTTGCAGGGCTCCCTCAATCGGGGTGCGTGTTTTCTTTTTTTGCGGGGGGGTGTCATGTTATGATGAATCTTTCAGGGTTTAGGGCTGAGGGTTTTGGGTTTGGGGTTCAGGTCTGGGGCTGAAGGCTGTGTCACGCATTGCTAGATGCGTTGGAAGCGAGCCTTATCTGGGCATGTCGGTGCTGATGGCTATCTAAGCTCCTAACTTGAAACCACCCTCAACCCTACGCCCTAGACCCTAAGCCCGGTTCTGTTGAGAGCTTCTGCACTTCCCGCCTGCAGGAGTCTCGGTCAATTTGGTCCAAGGATTCCCGGATGCCACCCTACCCCAGTGGCAGGCGGAAGTACCTGTCCTCGGTGGATCCCTGTCTCAAGAATGGTTGTGTCGCAGAAGTATGTCTTGCAACGAGTTGTTGCTGGATGTTGTAGCATTGTAGCAGGATGTACTAAAAAACTGTCAGAATGCAGACCTTGCGAACATGTCGGCTCACAGGAAGCCTATAGCCCGGACTGCTTAGGAGGAGTCATACCGGAGCAATGCTGACCTTCTTGCACGATGCAGTGTGGAGTTGGTTCCTCTCGTTCCGCCTGGGGTCATTGGAGACAGCCGGTACCCGTGGCGACTGCTTGCTGCACGTGACAGACTCTTGGGCTTCTTGGGGGGTCTCTGATGGTTGTTTTCTGCTAAGTGTGTCAGACACAGGGCCAAGCATGTATGTAAAGAATGCAAGCAGATAATGGCATGTAGGCTCCAGGAACAACCAAGGACTCTGAAGAGAAGGCAGGCGAGTGGAAGTCCGTCTTGCTGCCGCGAGAGGACTTGCCACCGAAGAAGCCTGGAACTGTCCGCTTGGTGTTGGTTTCAGACACGCATGAAAGGCACGCCGGCATCCTACTTCCCCCATGTGATGCGGTCTTACACAGTGGCGACATTCTTGCAAGTAGCCGGTGGGCCCCGCAGACACATGCCACGGACGTCCTGAGGGACTTCGGGGATTGGTTGCGGTCTACGAACTGCTCCGCCAGGTTTGTCATCGCCGGGAACCACGACTACTGGATCGAACATTTGGGACGAGAGGCAGTCCAGGAGCTCTTGGGAGAGGGTGTGCAGTATCTAGAGTTCTCCTCCGGATCGTTCAGCGCACAGCTGGATCCGTCTTCGGAGGACACGGTGGATGTCTCAGTCTTTGGTGCACCGGTGTCGGCGGGCAAGAGCCCGAATCGCGCCTTCCAGCATGCAGAGGCGGTGCAGCAGCTGGAGTCCATTCAGCCCAACAAGTCCGACATTCTCATGACGCATGGGCCTCTACTGACTGGCTCCAGGAAAGGGCTGCCAGCCATAGCCAAGGTGCTTGAACGTTTGCAACCTTCACTGCATGTATGTGGACATCTTCATTGGCGCTGGGGGACCATCGTGCCCATGTCGGACTATGTGCCGGTGAAAGGGGTTTCCATCAACGCGTCCATCATGCGCAGCCTGGGCAAGATCCAAGGCCAACGCCCTCTCAACGCCCCCATTGTGTGCGACCTGCGCCTGGAGCCCAAGGTGGGAAACACCAGCGACACGTGCTCCTAGGTCGCCCTGTAGACCGCATCTTATCCTCGGACGGTTTTTGGCCCAAGGCCACCTCAGTCCGATATGAAGCCAAGAACTCCCCACGAAGCAGCGCGCACTGCTCACCAGACCTGTAGCTCTACGCGGGCCTGGGCCTGTACAGACAGCCTGGCGCGGAGAGTGAACAAACTTGCGCACCATCACCAGGGTTCCCCTTCCCCCCTTTAATTAGGTTCAAGTAGGCCAAAATGGCCTTATTTATGGGAGGAATAAACCCTACATCAGCTTGATGGGGTGAACGGATTGAGTTGGGTTTGCATAGAGTTCAAATGTGGTGAAGGCTTCAGTTCGGGTTAGCTTTTCCATTGCAGTACGGCCTCTAGGGTGCTGCGCGTATCTTGTTCTCATCACGTTTGCGGCTACATGTCTGTCTGGTGATCGTGGTAGTCTTCTGAATCCTTCTGCTCAGCGGGCACTGCAAGAGTCTATAGTCCAAAGCGACCCGAAAACACTGCTGAAGAAACACAGGAGCCTGAATAGATGATTGCCGATAGCTCTCGGTCACAGGCCCTAATGCATTGACACAATCAACTACGACCAGCATGCACGTTTAATCAAATTGGGCGCTGCGCCCTCCACCTTGCTATTGGTGCCGTGAGACTGCTGGTTGTAAATCACCAATAATACTCATAATCCCAATATAGTAAGAATGTCGACTCTGTGGACTCTAAATCCCAAACCCTAAACGCTTTTGGGTCCCTATAGCACAGCAAAGATGAGTAAAGCGTTCTCAGCGCCTTCTGTCCAAGGACCTGTTCCAAGCTCTTCAGGCCGGAGAATCTTGCGACAGGGATTCCCGGGATATTTGACCCGAGGGTTGAGGCTGCTAAGGTTGAGGGATTGAGGCAAAAAGGGGGTGGTAGAGATGGCGATGCTTGCAGCACTTCTTGACAAATTGTCGCCAACAAGGCTCAGGGGTGAGGGACGTTTACCCTAAACCCGAACCCTAACTTGATATCTTGTCCTGCACCTGAGGTGCAAGAAGGTGCGGGCTTGGCCGAGAGGTTCCTGGCTGCAAGGGCCGTGACTCCGACGGGGTTGGGAGTTGGGATGACCAGTCCTTAGACTAAGAGTCCTTAATAGGGATTAGAGGATTAGAGAACCCCCCCCCCCTCCCCCCCCCTAGTATACTCCCGATTATACGAGGGAACATCCTAAGTTGGGAGCCGAAAGGGTGCCATACCTACAAGCCGTAAACCCAGTTGCGAAAAAGGTTTAGGGGGCCATCCTCTGGAAACCCCTGAGATAAAGCGCATCGTGCAGTTCTTAACCAACCGGGTTTAGGGTTGAGGGATGTTTTGTGTCATAGCTATGGGGCAGGACATGTATACGCCTCTTCGTCGAGTATCTTTGTGGCAGTCTTTAGATTGAACCTGAAAGTCATCCTCTGCCCAGGTCCAAGAAAAAGCTTCCTTGTCTCTCTAAACACTAAACCCTAAACCCTAAACCCTGAACCCGAAGTGCTGTGGCTAGCCGGGTGCCAAAAAAACCCTAACCCGAAACCCTAATCTTAGTTCGCTCCATGTGCAGTGAGAACTGTTTGAACAAGCTTTGGTGCAGCACTGGCCTTGTCCGCGACATAGGTTGGTCACACACGACTACTTTGACTACGCCACTGAGCTCATATGAGACCATCCAGTACCGATGGTTGTTGTCTTGGATGCTGTCAGGCTCTAAAACTTTCAACCTAAACCCACAAGCCTTGGTTGCCATTTCCTCGGCACTTTTCGAGAATATGGAGTTCCCGAGAATGGGGGAAACCCTTGTTTGGGGGGTTTCCCAGACTCCTGGACTACAATAATGACTGCAAGATCCCATGTCAGGGAACAAGAAAGAGGTATCCCATCGAATGTTGATGCACAGCCATGGTCCCATCCCTCCCTACGGCTTCGGGGTCGGCGTTCCCTTCATGGAGGGCTTTTTTTTTGGGGCGCAGGGGTTACATAGCATCCCTGATGAATGAATCTTCAACCCAAGCATGTGGGACCCCGAGATCATGGGCATCATCCTGATGATGAACGCCATACTGGTTGGAATCCAGGTTGCCCCTTGAATGCACCGGAGGTTAGGGGGGAGCCAGAGTCGCTGCCGTGAGGGTTTTGGGGTTTAGGGTTTAGGGTTTAGGGTTTAGGGTCCTAACAGAAAGGGCAGCAGTCGAGTCCCTTGTGAAAAAGGGTTTAGGACCCTGAGCCCGAAACCCAAAATCCACTTTTGACCTTCCCAAGCAGAGTGTCCTTGAGTGTCCTTGTGTCCTTGAGGGGTCGTATTACTCTTGGGCCTAGTATAGAAGCGTCTCATATACATGAACCAATTTACTGCTGTTGTACGGCTTGTGGAAAATAGCAGCCCCCTACCCTTTCAGCTTGTTTTTTTTTGGGCTTTGGGGTCCAGGGTGTAGGGCTTCGGATTTAGGACCTCTATCACCCTTCCCTCGATCACCCTTTCTCAGCTTTCGGGTTCCTTCAGCGATGCAGGAGCAACCCTAACTAAACCCCAAAACCCTGGCGGGTGGCAACAAAAAGCACCCTAAACCGCCTAAGCCCTAGACCCTAAACCCTAAAACCCTAAACCCTAAACCCTAAACCCTAAACCCTAAACCCTAAACCCTAAACCCTAAACCCTAAACCCTAACCCCTAACCCCTAAACCCTAAACCCTAACCCCTACCCCCTAAACCCTAAACCCTAACCCCTAACCCCCCCCCCCCCTAACCCCTAACCCCTAACCCCCCCCCCCCCCCCCCCCCCCCCCAAAAAAAAAAAAAAAAAAGCCCTAAGCCCTAAGCCTTAAAAAAACAAGAAGCCTACAGCCTCCGAAGCCGACGGGGACCCGAGAGGACGTGGCCTCCAAGCTGCCCAGCCCGGGGCCCCAAAAGGGAGGACACACGCAGAGCTGCCCCGGGTTAGGGCCGTTTTTGGGTCAAGGATATATAGGGTTTAGGGGTTTATAGGGTTTATAGGGTTTATAGGGTTTATAGGGTTTATAGGGTTTATAGGGTTTATAGGGTTTAGAGGGTTTATAGGGTTTAGGTTTTAGGGTTGAACTTATATAGGGGAAGAAGATGAAGGCTCCCTTCCAGTGGTTCCTCCATATGCCCCTTTCAAGAGGGGCTTCAGGGTTTTGAGGCCAAACCGTAGGCAGGCTTTTTCTTGCCCCCTGCCCAGCTGAACGAAAGTCCACTTCGCAGGGTGCTAGGGTTGGGGGGGGGGCTCAGGCCACATCTGAAGGATTCAGGATGTGAATGCTATTTGGTTGGGTGTTGGGGTAGCATATAGTGCTGCGGCGTCTTCTCTGAGAGGTTCTTTCGCGTGAAGGTTGAGCGAACAGGAAGACTCCCACGTCCGCCACAACCCCGAAATTACCCTTAAACAACCGCAAGCATTCAAGAACACCGCTCTTTGCTAGATACAGTCTTTAAGATACATTGAAATGTTTACTAGGCTTCTGTGCAGCTCCTTTCACTTTCTTAAATGGTCGCAAAGAGCGGCCAGGCCCTCAAGTTGACAGATGAAGCTGCGGGGCACACTTCGGTGCAGCCCCGGGAGGGAGAGAGACTTGTGTATAGGGTTTAGGGTTTAGGGTTTAGGGATATGATGGGACTTTCTGAGGTATGTGACATATAACGTACACTTTATATAGATACCGGTACTATAGATGAGGCGATCCAGCCTGGTCAAGAGCGATAGCTGCAGCCTCGGTCCTTTTCCGTGTGTTGAGCCCGACAAGCCCGAAAGCCCAGAAGCTTGCGGGCCCCCCGGTGGAGAAGGGAAAACCTGAGAGGTGAGTTTGCGCAGTTAGGCCTCTCCGTCCATGAGTCAGACGGGTTAAGGCTTACAGGGTTCAGGGGACTGGTGCGCGCTTTTGACCGGTTGAGTAAGAGGACTCCCAGCCTGCCGCTTTGAGGCCAGATCAAGTTGCCTAGCGTTACCACATATGCATGTGGCATTTTTTTGGGGGGGGGGGGGGGGGTTCCTAAACCTCAAGGGCAGAAAACCAGTACAAATGAAATCTAAACTAGGGGATCGTCTACCCTATGCCACTCCGGTCCCAAACGTATCAACCCCAGGAGCACGAGTACCCCCAAAAGTCTCAAGCCTTTCCTGGCCTGTCTGAGATCTCGCAAGGCTTAGGGTTTAGGGTGTAGGAGCCCCAAACCCTAGACTTTGAACACCGAGGATCTTATCTTTTGCTTCATCTTCGTGATGGAGCTCGTCTTGCGCATATCTGCGTTTGGAAAGAGCTTTCTGAACATGTGTCTCGCCAGCATTTACTTTGGGGACGCCATGAATCCTTTTGGTCCATATGCCCTAGTAGAGGAGTGGGTGGTCGCCGACGCATGTCCTCGGTGTGTTTTGGTTCCGGAGTTTTGTGAGATTGGGTTTAGGGTTTAGGGTTTAGTAATTAGGGTTTAGGTTTTAATTCGAAGTAGGGCTTTTGGTGCGTCGGGTTCAGAGATTGTTCGACGCTGGGGGTTGGATCACGGGTTCGGCCCTTTGATCAACCTCGCACGCGCGCGCAGAACTTTTTAACGGCGGGGGAGCGTTTCGACATCAATGATGTGAGAGGGTCAGCCCTTCACTTGGATTTGTATTTGATTTCAAGACGTGAGAGCCCTTGCCTGCTGGAATAGAGCCTGCTGCTGCAACCGACCCGAGCCCAGGCAGCATGCGGCAGCTTGCGCGTGCTGCGGGTAAATAGATAAATAAATGCATACACATTTATGTGCACACGCGTGCCCCCAATCCCAATGTCCAACAGCCGACACCCAGACGCCACAGGCTCGAGCACGCACGTTCACGAGAACATGCGCACATGCGCACATGCGCACATGCGCACCCACACCCACACCCACGCCCACACCCACACCCACACCCACACCCACACCCCCACCCACCCACCCACACCCACCCACCCACCCACCCCCCACCCGCCCCCACCCCCCCACCCCACCCACCCACCCACCCACCCACCCACCACACCACACCCACACCCACACCCACACCCACACACCACACCCACCCCCACCCACCCACACACACACACACACACCACACACACACACACACACACAGACACACACACACACACACACACACACACACAGACACACACACACACACACACAGTTACACACACACACAGAGACAGTACACACACACACACACACACACACAGTTACACACACACACACAGTTACACACACACACACACACACACACACACAGTTACACACACACACAGTTACACACACACACACAGTTACACACACAGTTACACACACACAGTTACACACACACAGTTACACACACACCAGTACACACACACAGTTACACACACACACAGTTACACACACACACACAACACACACACACACACACAGTTACACAGTTACACACACACACAGTTACACACACACACACACACACACACAGTTACACACACAGTTACACACACACACAGTTACACACACACACACACAGTTACACACACACACACACACACAGTTACACACACACACACACACACAGTTACACACACACACACAGTTACACACACACACACGCACACACACACACACACACACACACACCCGCGCGCGCTCTAAACACTAAAGCCGATGGCAGCAAAGACCCTGAGTCCTAAACCCTAAACCCTGAAGGCCTGACTCCCAGAGCCCCAAGTTGAACTTGTGTGAGTTCGTCCGGGCACTAAAATCTCGTCGCATGCACACGGCCTTGTTTGCGAGCAGGGATGGTTGGCAATGGAACTTGTTTGACCTGCTTATCGTGGGCTTCAGCGTGGCGGATGAGGCAGGAATCTGGGGTTAAGCATCAAGACTACTCCGGACCCTGAAATCCCCCTGACCCGAAAGCGCGTAGCCAACGCCGTGGGCCCATGCCCTGCACGTTAGAAAAATGGAGAAATATGTCGTGTACAGTAGAATAGGAGAGAAAACAAGAGCTGATCTTGTCTACATGAAAGTGTATTGGGGACACGCTTATTTGAGTACCTGCATCTTATTCTTGCTACAGACCTTGCCTCGACCATGTTTGTTGCATCTAGCGTGCGCGCGTCGCTCTTGCCAAGGCCATGCCAGACCCATGGGCCCTCGGGCCACTAGGGTTTTGGTTTTGGGTTTGGTCTAGGGTTCGGAGGTAAAGGTGGTTTAGGGTTTCTTTGACTTGGGCTGCTTGACTTGTGTCTTTTGCCCTCCAGAGCATGCCCCGGGGAGCTTTGGCTGCCGCAAAAAAAGGCCTTAAACCCAACGGAAGAACCTGGGAGCTTCATGCAACCCTGTAGATCACGAAGCTTATCCTCACCGACGGTGACATCCAGGAGGCCACTTGGATCATGTGTCGGCGTGGTTAGGGTTCTAAGGGGGTTGGGAGAGCCCTGGATGCAAAACAGGGCTTTGGGTTTGAGACGCGAGTCGGGTGTAGGGGTTCGGAGCTAGCCTTAATTAGCCCAGGGGCTAGTGAACAGTGTTGCGAGCTGCCTCTTATCAAGTCATCGTCGTGGTCCGCTGGGAAATGCAATGCCACGACGCGCTTGAAGGATTGCAGGGGCGATCGCGAACAAGCGGGGGCCGGAACTTAAAACTACCTCGCAAATCACACCTCAGCTCCGAACCAGATAGGTGCGAAGCATGGGGCCAGCAAAAGTAGCATGCCATTATTGTGCGGCTCCGCCATCATATGTAGGTATGTGTATCAAGCCTATAGGACTCTACACTACCGTACTCCAAATGACAGGTTTTTTGGGACCATTAATTAGGCCCTTCGAGAGCTGCTCTGGCCCCAAGTGCATGAGTAACCTGGGTTACAATCCCCTGCAAGCTCCCTACTATAAACACGGAGCTTTCTTGGTTAGGGTAGCGAAAAATGACGATAGTTGCTGGCAGCTTCAGCCAACACCGTTGGAACCAAACGAACCCCAAACCGGTTTACGGTCCACACACACCTGAGTAGGGGTTACAGTCGTGTAGGCCATGTGATCCCACTTTTGATGTCTTCATCTCGGCCATGCGCGTACTGCTAGGTTTGTTTGTTTCCCTCGCATCTTGGGGTTCATCGTGTCCCCTTTTGGTGAAGCTGGGTTCGTGCTGATGGTGCGAGGAAGCCCGTACGAACCCTCGTTGTGTCTGAACTCTGTGCAACTATACGCCACGGATTTCTCCTGTACACTGTACATAAGTGCCACCGTATGTAGACTTTTACTTTGTTTTCGGGCGCCTGCGGCGATGTCATTCGCACATTGAGCACTCCAAGCAAGCCATCGGCCCTGAACCTTTACCAAAAAGGCATCCAGCACATTCACCTCCTTCCCCCCCCCCCCCCCCCCCCCCCCCCCCGCCGTCCTCCGCCCAAGCGAGGTTTTCGATAGCTTCGGTGTGCTTCGTCTCCTGAGCGCTTCGGCGTGCAGTGGATGTACGTAGTGTTTCTGGTTTCGAGGGCTCATGGCTGAAGATCTACTTAAGATCCTTGTAGGCCCTAGTTATGGAGAAGTGTCAGGCTTCTGAGCATGTCATTTGCTCCTGCTCTTCATGGCAAAATGATCTAGGAGTTCCAGTCGCGCCCTTTCTTTGCGGATTGGGGTTCCCGGTTGTTCCAAGGGCGACAGGGGAGCCCAGTCGTCGGGCAGCGCTCGGTTTTATCAGCATTGCACCGTGAAGGTGTCAGGAGGGCATTTGCGTTAAGGGACATGCCACGCAGACGTGCGACACAGTGTATCACACGGCCTCACGAAGGCACCAAAAAGGCCCTGAAGGATCCTAAAGGTGCTTCCCAAACCCTCGATAAACCCCGCCCAAAATCTCCAGTAAGCAAGCAGCAAAACTATTGTACTTCGAACATGGCAACCCTGCAGGTGCAGAATTTGCGGGCTCACGGCACTCCACGGATTCTCTGGGAACACTCTGGGGTTGAGCACTCCCGGGGTACTCTGGAGCACTGCTGGACACTCGGGATTCTCTGGGGATACTCTGGAGTTTGGCACTCGGATTGCCCGGGGATACTCTTGGGGCTGGGCACTCCAGGGAGATTCTCTAAAGTGCGGGTGATGGGCGAGGAGAAGGCTTTAGTTTAAAATCGACCACCCCACGCCGAGGGTGGGGAACTATGGGGGGTGGGATACCGCTTATTATAAAAAGTTCGGGACTGCAGGAAAAAAAAGTAATGCGCCACCCCAAACGCTACGAAAGCATCCCAAATCCCAAGCACTCAAACAGCGAACTAAAATCCCAAAAACCCTTGCACCCTCAACTCCCCCTACTTGGCCTGTAAACCCACGAGTCCAAAGGGCTTGGGCGCATCGTGCGCCTGGTGCGGATGGTGCGCCTGATACCGGCGCTCAAGTCGATGGTGTACTTGATCCTGGCGCCGGGGCCTCCCAGGATGTTGCAGTCTTGCGTGTTAGGCTCACAGGAGATCGCGAGGACGCTGACTGCGCAGCAGGTCAAAGCATGTTAAAGCCATAGGCTCTGGTAGACATCCAAGTGCGAACCAGGTCTTTGAAGAGCTTCTTGTGGACGGTGGTGCTGCTGCTGCTGGGGCCATCCTTGACAAATCCCTTTTGATTCTTTTGTGGCCCCATCAGTCGGCCAGAATCTTCTGTGCTTCATCCGGGACCCCTAAACCCTCCAGTGAAGGACTTGCCCACCGCTTGTCAGAGTGCACATGTGAGGCATAGAGGGGCGGCAGTGCGTCAACATGTTTTGGGTGTTGGGGTTTGGGCGTGTCGTCGGGTGAGCCACGCGGGAGTGCGAAGAAGTCCCTACGTTTCTGGTGCAGTGCGGTGTCAAGCTGCTGAGTTCCTAAACCCCAAAACTTCTCGTTTTGAGCTCAACCACTAACCACCCTAAGCCCCAAGCCCGAAAACCCGAAAACCCTAACGCGGCGCGAGTGTGACAAAACCCTAAGGCCTTCACCAACCAGCCAAGACCAAGGTTGATCCTGATGTACTGCGTGGCTGCACCTTGGCCTAAACCATCGGCGACTTGAGATCAGGGTTTACCCGTAGGGGCCGCATGACCACCCCGAAAATCGCGTTGCTTTACGCCGTACTGCTGCGGTAGAACCCTTATGAAGGTATATGAACCGAAAAGCCTGCTTTTTCGGGCTCAAGCGCGAAACACAGAAGCCGCAGTGGTTTGCCCTAAACCAAATCCCTTGGATGGGGGTTGGGATGGCTACATGAACTAGAAACTCCTGAGGCTTACGGAGGGTGCAGGGTTTGGGGGTTTAGGGTTCAGGATTCCCTGGTTACCTCGTCGTGCGTTCAAGGTCCAGAGCCCTTCGAACGCTCTCCCAGGTTTACTTCACCGAGCTGGCCTTCGATCTTCAGCACAAGCATCCGGACATCGCCACGTTGGGGCTTAGTTTGGGGTTTATAGGGTTTAAGTCGGTTTAAGGTTTAGGGTAATTAAGGTTGTTGTCATCAACCACAAGGTGATGTGACGTCCTGGAAATCAGAAAGCCGCAAAGTCTGGAATCCTAGAAGGCCTAAACCTGCCCTACAACTCCTCAACCCTCAAGTGTTCTACTGATTGGCAAGCCCTTAAAGCACAGTCTGCCAGGTAGCCGGAAAATCCTATAGATCCCTCTTTGACCAACAAGAAACCCTGCAGAATGAAGGACAAAGACTTCACAAGCGTCCGTCAGAGTTGGGGCTGCTCGGCGCCTTTGGGGCAGCTCGGGTTGCGTTCTGTAGAGAACCAACCTCCCCCCTCCCTTAGGCCTTGGTAAGCTGTGAAGAGGGCTGGGGGTTCGGGAAGGGGTGGGTGGGGTGGGTGCTTTAGAAGGCTTAAGTGTGCTTTTACCCTCAACAGGCTTTACGGGTTCTGAGCTGTACGCTGCACGGGCCCGCATCCTTGGTGGTTCTTCTGCGCCGGGGGGAAACACTCTTTGGGAACACATTTTTTTTGCCAGACGCGATTGCCCTGCGGTAAGGAAAGCCGCACCCTTGATCAAGCCCTTATTAAGCAGAGAACAAAAAGCACGCCCCCCCGTGAGGTTCCATCGGCAGCTCCATCCTATCGCTCTTTCAAGCCATAACTGGAGGTGACGACTGGACACTTGGGCTTTAACTTGCAACCCTAAACTCAAGAAACTCTAAGATGTGCACGTGCAGCAAGACCTGTGGAACTGCATCACAGTTCGTGTTGCAGTCTGGCGCATTGTCATGGAGGGAGGGGGCTTGGGGCAAAGCGAAGTTCAGGCAGAACTTCATCCTCGTCTTCGACATATCTGGGGACGGCAGCGTCGTGATGCTCGGCCTATGAAGCCACACACTCCAGCAAAGCAGCCCCATAAATGTTAGGCGCCCCCCCCCCCCCCCCCCCCCCCCCCCCCCCCCCCCCCCCCCCCCAAAGCAAGTCCTGGATTTCAGGGCAGGGTAGGTTTTAGAGCAGCTTTGGGGTGGAGAAGCTTGAAGAGGAACACCTTGGTCTTCTCCTTGTTCATCGCCTTCGCCACATTGGCCAGCACCTGAGAGACCGAGTCTGGCGGTGGACGTTCGGCTTGTTTTTCATCCCCAAAAACAAGGCTGCACCCCAAAAAGTGCCCTGCAAGAGTGGCGGCTGTCGATCCAAGGTCATGATGAACCTGGTTACTGGCGTCTTCGTGGACGGAGCTCAGCGGATTGCGCGTGAAGAGAAGAACCAGGACTGTCTGCACGGGTGCAACGGGGTCTTTTAGCTGTTGGCGATGGCACTCCAGTGGCGTTGTTGGATCAGATCGGCTTCGGTTGTGCATATGCACGCCAGGTAGGCGCTGAATTAATGCCTGTCAGGCGTCTCCTCCTCAACACCCTGCGCATCCCTGTGTGCCATCCCCCTCTGCGCCCACTACTCGCATGGCAACTTTGGGCGTATGTTTAGGATAGGCAGGCTCTGGGTGCATGCGTGATTCTTTGTCAGACATGAGCCGCACAAGCCAAGCTTTCCAAACATAGCACCTTTCGAAGATCAAGCCGATTTCAGAGATTTCTCCCACCCACACGCCACCCCCATTTGCAAGTCTCAAGGGTCTGCCAAGGCCACAGCCGGCAGTGAGACTCTGCTGTCTAAAGATGAGCACGTCACTACTTGCGGGTTAGTTGTCGTGCCCCTGTTGATCTACGTCCGTGCACAGGAGATACACGGACCGTGCGGGGTTAGAAAGGTGGACTCCGAATTTTGCGGTCTGAAAGTGTCCATCTCGAGCGTGCATCCACCAAAGCACATTTCAGACGTTCACCCGCTGCTTCGACTCCATGAGCTGAGATGTTTCAAAAAGTGTGAGTGCTCCACATCTGGCTGAGTCTCTTCCTCATGAAGCATCTGCCCAAACCCGTCAGGAGCACAAAGGGCCGGATCACGCCGGAACGAAGCATGTTGTTACGTGTAGGTGTGGTCGCAAGAATTGTCCTCTCGCCCCTGCGCCTGAGTTGTCATTTCCACCACCTTATAGTTTTGGGGCGTCCGGAGGCCTCGCAGGGAATCTCCGAAAAAGGCCTTCAGAAGGGGTGCAGGAAAGAACGGATTTCGGATCTCCAGATTGGAAGCTCCAAGGCTGGAGGCTGAAAGGAGAGGGGCTTCCTGGGCTTCTTGTTGTGATGAAAGGCAAAGGCAACCTGATACAAAAAGCAACTCCAATGGAAGATGTGCATTCTTCCTTCCTGCTTCTTCCTGCGGATTCGATGTTGGAGGGGATCTGACTTAAAAAAAGGTTTCCTTGCGTGCCTGTGAGTGGCCCTCGTGGCCACAGCCTCGCCAAGTTTGTGAGCCACACCCCTGGTCCAGATACTCCCTTGTAGTTTGTTCCTGCAGTTGTGAGTGTCGCCCTCTGACACGGCGTTACCCCCCCTCTGTTATCATAAGTATGCAGGGGTACCAACACTAGAGTGTCAACAGCAAGTGGGATAGGTCGCGTGCATATGCGCGCATGAGTGGTCCAAGATTGAAGGCCGCCGGGTAGTTCTGACTGCATCAAATTTTGAAGGAGCGCAAGGGGGAGTTTGCACAGGGGCAAATCGGACTCGGGGCTCAAGCCCTGAATCCCTAGACCTTGAATCCTTTCCGGCGTCAGCTACGCCGTTGGCAACACACCTTGCAAACCCTCACCCCGAAGATGGACTCTCAAGCACGGGGCCGCTGGAGCTTGGGGGAACGGCCTTCAGTTTGTAGAGCTTAGCCGGGTTGTGGGGTTGAGGGTTGGGATGTCTCAAGCACCCGGCAGTCGCTACGAGGCCTGGATGCAAAAAAGGGGTTGGGATGTTGCCTCTTATACTAACAGCCCTGAAAAGGTATGATTATATTTCAGTACCCCCCCCCTATTATTATGATCCTTATATTGAAGACTGTTAGTAGAAAGGGGAACATTCCAAGTGGAGGGCTTTCATTCGAAGACGTGCTCTCCAAGAGCAGAGGCTACAAAAAGGGTTGAGGCTCCTCTGCCCCTCAACCTGCTAAACCCTAAGCCGGTTCAGGGTTTAGGGTTTAGGGTTTAGGGTTGAGGGTAAGCACCTGAGCCAGTACTTTCCCTGCAGTGCCTGAGAGTGGTCACCTGAAACGCACACCTGGCACACCTGAAGCCCTGAACGTGCCAGGAGCTGCTCAAGCACGTGCGCCGGCTTCTTGCACCGCAGGAGGCGAAAAGCAACGGCAACTTGTGGGCAAGTAAAGGATCTGTTTGGGGGGAGAGGGGGGTATCCCTAAACCCCGAAACCTTTGTGAAAAACAGCAAATCCTGGCTAATCCCTAGGAGCTCCCTCAAGCCGGCCCTACACACCCTTGAGCCGAATACCCAAAAAAACCCACATCTGCTACAGCTCTACAAACGTGCTTCAGCCACAAAGCAGCTAAGGAGGTTTTTTGCTACATCCTTCTAAGCCCCCAAAGGGCCGCAAGCCTGTAGCACGGTGGTGAGAGCTCAGGAGAGGTCGGGGCCGATGATGGCACCTTGGCAGAGCTGCCTTAGGGAGTTTTTGGGAGTCGGGAAAGCGATTTAGGAAGTGTAGGGCTTCGTTGGTGAAGATTGAGGGCCTCAGGCTGCCTCAGGCCCCCCTGGCCCTATAGCTCAAGGCCTGAGGGCCCCCAAAAATCTGATTTCAAGCTGTTTTCGAATGAATGACATGACTGTTGCTTCCAAGATACTAAAGTTACCAAATCAAGCACAAGATTAAGCCCAAACCATGTAAGGTAAAGGAGTAGGTCAAGCTGTTGGCCGGAGTGCAGCTCCCACACGGAGCTGATAGGTTGCCGCCCCCATATATCGTGGGCACGCAGAAAGACCCTCCACACCTAAATTTATAAACCCTACTACCTCGGCCCCTGACTTTCTCGCCGCTCTCAGGAGGAGCGCAGAAGAAGTTGCAGATAGGTAGACTTGAGCAAAGCAGCTCGGGAAGAATACCTCGGTGTGCTGGACCCGCCCCGGTCCTACTTGTAAGGCTTCGGGGCACGGGATGCGGCGCCACGAGCAAAACGCGAAGACTAGGTACTGTGTACCTCGTATATGCAAGCCACATCCGCTCCTGAAATCCGAGACTTCGTGACGTGGCTCGACTTCTGCCAGAAGCTGCACAACGAAGAAATGCGCGCCTACCTCATGGCTTTCGAGATGGACACGGGGCAGGCGAAGGAGCCACCGCAGGGACATGCAAAAGAAGCCCTCCACACCTCTCAACATGCTCCTTTCTGCAGGATATCTTCTACATACTTGATCAAGATCGACAAGGGAAGGTGACCATGCGCGAGTTCTTCTCTGCAACTCGGTGAGAGGGCTATCTCAAGGGTGCCTGCAATATCGCCTTTCCCCCCAATTGCATAGTGAGCAAACCTTTCGCGAAGCACAAGACGCCATTCCGACCTCGCAAGCTTTGTAGCGCGCGATTCGGCCGCAGTCTACCCCTGCCATTCGAGTGTTTGATCTCGAAGGAGCTCCCCAGCAGTCAGCTTCAACACTGAAGAACCAGCCAAGGCTTGCGTGAACCTCCACGGCCCACCAAGGCCAGCAGGGTTCATCGTGGGGTTCCCCTACTAATTATGGGGGGGATCCTAGAAGGGTATAGAGGTTCCCCTACTAATTATGGGGGGGATCCTAGGCCCTACTAATTATGGGGGGGATCCTAGGGGGGAGGGGAGGGGGTAGTATAGAGGTTCCCCTACTAATTATGGGGGGGATCCTAGGGGAGGGGGGGGTAGTATAGAGGTTCCTAATTCTGGGGGGGATCCTAGGGGGGGGGAGGGGGGGGGGGTAGTATAGAGGGGTCGTAGGGGAATCAGCCCAGGGCTTTTCAGGGTTTTTGGGCTTCAAGGGCGCTTGTTCGGAGGCTGGCAGACACAGCGATCCTCCGGCACTTGGTGCAGAGAACCTATGCCGCTTGGTCAGGCCAGCAAGCACCAGCTCGAAAGATACCCCTTAAACCCTGAACCCTATAAACCCTGAACCCCAAACCCCAAACCCTAAGTGGGGGAGTTGCGTTGATGCGTGGTGCAGTCGCAAAAATCGCAGAGCAGACCTAGGAAGACCTGGACGGGCACTTGGATCGACTGGAGGCACTTCTTGGAGGACGTGCTGGCTAAGGGTTTCGGCATTGGAGTTTTGTTGGTGGCTACTTACTCTGAAGCCATAGACCCTACCTACGTGAGATTTCCACGCCGAGCCCAGCTGAAGCAACTAATTTGCACTGGGTTCGCCTGCATACGCATGGACAACGTGGTTTACAGCACGTTGCGTGGTTTAGTGTCAGGGCTTAGGGGAAGGATTTCCGACTGTCAATCTCTCATATCGTCACCCCAACTGTTAGGAGAAATCTAACTCGGGTTCAGGGGTTTAGGGAGCACGCGACGAGGAGGTGACGGCGACCTGCTAGTAACTTTCAGACGGGATCAAAGCAGGGGAGGTGACTTCCGCGAACTACCCAGTCCCCAGGAGTGCCAAGCCTGACTTGAGAGGCCTTAGAGTTTCGTAGGCTCTGGGCTTTTTGTGGTTGAGGGCCTTAAAACGGGCTTAGGAAGGGTTAGGGTTTAGCGTTTGGGGTTTTGAGAGAGAGGGTTGAAGAAAAGGTCTAGTGTTTAAGGTTTGGTTTACCAGGATCTCCTATTCGGGATCGAAGGGTATTTCGAGAACGTCAAAGTTCTTAGCCCGAAGCTACTAGCTACTGACAATCCCAAATACTAGATGAGCACGGAGATTCGTAATGCAGACGGCTTGAAATCCTAAACCGTGTACAACCACACCCTAAAACCTCGAATAGTCCCTGCGGAGTGGTGGAGAGCGATCAGCTAGGCGGGTGGCAAAAATCAACCCTAAACCCTAAACCCTAAACCCTAAGCGGTCCTGGCATCCCATGAGAGGAGCGAGCGTTGGCTTCCGCGGTAAGCAAGTGGCGGAGGGGCCGCCTCGATCGAGACTTGTCGGTGTGAGGTTTGGGCTATTGTGAATAAATAATGTGTCTATTTATATATACATAAGCATATATATATATATGCATGCATATGCAAAAACACACACATATGAATCTATAATATATATATATATACATATGTAGTGTACATTATGTGCTTAGTGGTATCTATATTGTTGTGAGTAGAAATCTACGGGGTGTATGTATACAATGTAGTAGAATATACATATATGTTTACAAAGAGTGGTACAGCTTAGCCATGCATAGTAGACGTTGTATCTTACATCGCTTCTGATATGTGCTATATACAGTATACATGTACTATGATAGTACGTCGCATACCTTACATACTTTGTTACATGTATGCATGATGGAACATATCTATACTGTGCAGTGTGCATCTTACACATGGCTCACAACACGCGATATTGAAATTTGAATCTATAGCCTGCTCGATATCCCATACTAGTTAGAACTGATTGCTTAGCTAGATGCTTTAAACGTCTTTGCGACCGAGTTCGTTTTACGACACCCGATTCTTTTACATTTGCTTGTACGGGGCAAATCAGAAGGCACAAACTAATCAGACAACACACATGCCTTTGTCTCGGTATATGGGCAAGTTACCGTACGCCATATATGCGAAGTTGTAGGTCAGAGTTGTAAGGCAGAAAGCCTGCAAGACACGGTCTAGCATAACACAAACACATACACACCTCACACACGCATCTGCATCTGCAAAAGCACATTCACACATTTGTATTTATGTATATATGTTTTCTTATATGTGCACCCCCTTTCAGCTCTGAGTCTTCAGCTCGGTGCGAGTGAGACGCTGAGGTCCCTGCCGAATCTCGCCAACACATGCCCAGCCTTCCACAAGCCAGACTGAGGAGTGACTCGTCAGCAAAGACTTCGCCACGATGCAATAGGGTTTAGGGTTTAGGGTTTAGGGTTTAGGGTTTAGGGTTGGCCTTGTGAGTGTGTGAACGAGAGTAGGCAAAAGATGTGGGGGTTTACGATAGAAACCCCCAAAAAGTGGAGCCAGAGGCCCTGAAGCATAAACCCTAAACCCTAAACCCTAAACCCAGGAGCATCTTTAAGTCCAGGTCTTCTCGCTGGCCTCCGCTTGTGCTTTGCCTGTTTTGGGGGTTTTCGCACCACAAAGTTCCTATATCTTTAATGACAATAATAATACTAATAATCATACGAAGAATAGTGTACTTTTAAAAGTAGTAATAATACTTAGAGAATCATATACTAATCAAAGTAATAAGAATCATAATCATAGGCTACTTACTTTCTGTAACCCACTTCAGGTTCGCGAAGGGCATCTCCCGACCAGCTTCCAGTGGCCGCTCTTGGTGCGGTTTAGGGGTTTAAGTTTAAGGGTTTAGGGTTTAGGGTTTAGGGTTGAGGGTTTAGGGTTTAGGGTTGGCCTTGTGAGTGTGTGAACGAGAGTAGGCAAAAGATGTGGGGGTTTACGATAGAAACCCCCAAAAAGTGGAGCCAGAGGCCCTGAAGCATAAACCCTAAACCCTAAACCCTAAACCCAGGAGCATCTTTAAGTCCAGGTCTTCTCGCTGGCCTCCGCTTGTGCTTTGCCTGTTTTGGGGGTTTTCGCACCACAAAGTTCCTATATCTTTAATGACAATAATAATACTAATAATCATACGAAGAATAGTGTACTTTTAAAAGTAGTAATAATACTTAGAGAATCATATACTAATCAAAGTAATAAGAATCATAATCATAGGCTACTTACTTTCTGTAACCCACTTCAGGTTCGCGAAGGGCATCTCCCGACCAGCTTCCAGTGGCCGCTCTTGGTGCGGTTTAGGGGTTTAAGTTTAAGGGTTTAGGGTTTAGGGTTTAGGGTTTAGGGTTTAGGGTTGAGGGTTTAGGGTTTAGGGTTTGGAGACAGGGCCTGCAATTTTGCCCATTCAAGCCGCGCCTAAGGCACGGTTTGGGCTTGGGCACGTGGTGCACACGCCTGCATGTAGGACTAGTGGATCAGTCGATCTTTCAGATGCCTGCAGTTGAATTACTGTCCGGCACAATTACAGCTTGTTAATATACAACATTCTGAATGTGAAATGCCAAAAAGGCCTTCGAATATCATGTCTCATTTTGCGACATACACGCATCCATGTTGTAGGCGCAGCATTGGAACTCGGTCAGTTGGTCAATTGGGAGACGGGTGCATCTCCTGCCATGCGGGCGAGATATGTGCCAGATGCTGGACCCATGAATGGATAGCACACGAGAGCACCTCGCCATGCGCATCACATGAGAAGGATCCCTCGTGTTGCGAGCTGTGTTGTCCAAGTCTCCTGCCAGAGTCTGCCGGCAGTTTCCCTTCAGCGGGAAGGGTCCAAGGAGTACCGTAGCACTCCTTTTGATCAATTGCGTGCGGCCGTTTTTGGGCTTGAGATCTGAGAGGATGTTGATGCTTGACTGATTCACAATGTTTTTGGAGCATCGATCCTGAGGCAGATTGGGAGATGACTTGTCAGCCAAGCACCTCTTTGCTCAAACCCCGTGCTTCCACGCCACTTAGAGCCGGAGAAGCCCAAGCAAGCCCGTACGACTCGATACATCTACATTGCCTACATAAAGCACCATAACTCTCTAGCTTGAGACGCGTTGCGTTAACTCATAGTCTCAAGCAATCTTCGGTACTTTACTTGCTGTCACAGTGGTACCCCCGTTGCCAACAGTTGACAGTTGTTTGACAATGTTATGGCATGTTGCTTGGACAGCCCCTCCTTCACCCAAAAGAAAAATGCTCAAAATCTACTTAAACCGAACGACCATGCCAAATGCTCGTCATGGTCATTTCTTTAACCAAATGGGCTCTGGAACGGCTTATCGTCCAGAGACCCTAGTCGGAATCGTAGCAGCATGAAGGGGGCTACGTATGATTCCCCTTCTTGGTCTTCAATCACGTGGCCCAAATTGCCAAAGTAGACGAACGGGCGCGCGCCCAGAAGACTGGCTTGGGCTCTCCACCCGGCTCGCGCCCCGCGCTGCGCAAGGGAGTCTTCGGGCTTCAGAGCCTTACTCTGCAAACCGGATGGAACCTGTAGAACACTAAGAACCTTAAGCCCTAAACCCTAAAGAGCCCTACTTAGCAGGTCAGCAGGACAGCTCAAGACCCGTAGCAAAGGCAGTCCCCCCCAGGCAGCTCGGGTTTCGCCTGCCATCGTTTTGTGCTTGCATGGAACATGCCAGCACCTGAATTATGGTCAATAGGCAGGGGCTCAAGGGATCAGCATATTCTGACAGAGAAGACTTGGGAAGAGGCTAAAGAGCGAGCTTCAGAATGGATCACGTGGGTGGTGGGCAAACCTTCAAATAGAGTGCGTGTATGGCTGGGTAGATGTGGGGCGGCCTAAAGGCTATGATAGCATGTTATACAAGTACCACTAACGCAGCATATTTGGAGTTAAAGTATTCTATGGATATATACACATGTATATAGACAGAGATCTCCGGCCACTCAGTACTACGTATAGATACATACATGCATATACATTGTATGCGTTTCTATAGATATAAGTAGAACTGCTCATCAAGAACACTGGGAGCGATGTGTCCTATGGGTTAGTTGTGTGGCACCTCGGCCACTGAGCCCGGTGGGATGGGCCGGGGAAAAAGGTCCTGCCCCCCCCCCCCCCCCCCCCCCAGGGAGTGGGGTTTAGGGTTTAGGGTTAGGGTTTAGGGTTGAGGGTTGGGGGTTTAGGGTTTAGGGTGCAGGGTTCCTAGAGTAGATGGGAGATGGGCCATCTAGGACTTACGTTCTATGGGGATTCTATCTATTTGTAGGATAGGATGATTGTAAGCCCTCATGGGTGCTCTTCTTTGTAACTCCATGAATTGGATGCCGTGGTGTCCCACGTTTGTGAGTGGCTGAACATCTGAACATGTCTCCAAGAAGCTTCGCAGACCCCAATGCAAAGCCGAAAATCTGTGTGGCAGGAGGCCGATGGTGGAAAGCTCCTGTTCAGGACACATGTTTCGAAGCCTGGGTGCCTCATGCAAATGTTGAGACCTGCATTCCAACAAATCGTGGAAAGGCCTTGAATCAGAGTTGAGGTGTGGAGGTATCTGGTGTATGGTCCATAGGCATATGGTGTGTGGTCCATAATATACCTTCAGGGGCATTGTTCTACAACATGTGGAGCTGGCGGCTTGTCTATCCCTCGCCTCAAGCGACGGCCTCCATTTATGACGCAGGCCGACAGGGGTTGAACACAATTCAAGTAACTCACGAGCGTGGCTCAAGGAGAACCAAAATCTGCCGGTAGGTAGAAGGGAAAGTGCCCGCCAAGGCATCCTGGCACGGTAGTTCTCCGATAGTTTTAAAGTTGTTGCTGAATGAAACCTTATTCTGCTTGCGCAAGAAGCTGTATGCTGCTTGAAAGTGTCCGCAGTAGTTGGTAGGGACATGCAAGGGCTCGCTTTTCGACGTGCTGCATCCTAGTATCGGTGTACTGTCGCCATTATTTTCCCCTGGTATTTCGTGAAGGACGGACAAAGGCACGGAGCTTGTGGTCGACAATGCTGCTAGCTCGGCCTTTCTTGAAGAAGCTTTGGAGCCACTTACGAGAACTCAAGGCTTAAAGATTCCGATGCTACAGCCATAGTCAATGCTTGGACAGACGGCGTGGCAGCTGGTTTGCTTAAGTTCCCGTGGGGTTCACGCGCAGCCCTTTTGTCTCGGCAGGCAGAAGTGCACGTTTCACGCTCCTTCCCTCACTATCTGAAGCGAACAGTTTTGCTCCGCCATGGCTTGGTCCTGGTTGCTTGCATGCTCTGCGTGCTTGCTTTGGACTCAGCTCAGCTTCTCCGAGCTGGCGGACGAGATTTTGCCCGCTGAGGCATGCTGCCTTGACATCTTGTGATTGTGTCATTGGCAGCACCTTCGAAGCTTGTCTAGCAAAAAACTCTGAGACCTGCTTCGGCCATAGGATTTGTTGCATGATGGGGGCGTCATGTGCCCTGTCAGGCAGACGACACTTGCCAGGGACGCACCGCATCTCGGCGCAGACGCAGCCTAGGAGGGGTCCCAGAAAGATCCTGCATTGCTACGGAAACTTGGCTCCCCAAAAGTGCCCGGCGAAGTGCAGCAGGCCGGAAGCTTTCAACCCGAACGGTTGAACTGGGTCGAGCACGGTCGAAGGTCAGAGGGTCAACTGCGCGCTCGGATTGCAGTCATCATCATAAGCCGAAGACCCTTATAGCCCTAAAGCCGAATCCCTTGCGCCGCCCTGATTCAGGAAGAGTGTGACCTGTCTTTACGGCAGCTCCGAGCGGACAAGCTTGCGGTACTCACACAAGAGGCGACGAGAACAGAAGCTTTAGGGCCTTAGGAGTTCGTGGCTTGCATAGGATTCCGATGCTAGAGGGCTTTGCACTTGGAAGCCTCGCACGGAGAGCTTCATGTTGTCATACCATGATTCGGGGCGAGTGTGCTGCGGACCGTTGTTTTTTTTGCATGACTTCTTTCCAAAAGAATCAATTCGCGTTAACGCCGAGAACCTATAAAAGTTATAAAGTGCCCATCTGATGGACGGATGGATCAAGACGCCGGCCGGGATGGCAGCGGGTCCTCGAAGTAGATGCGAGCACAGGGGCCAGTATAGTGCGTCTACACATCCCGCATTCTCACTCTGCACCCTTTGCTACGAGGTCGTTTTGATAGGGGCTCGGCCAGGTTGCATCCCAAACCCTGAGTCTGTTGCGCTCCTTTTTGGAGGAGCTCTTAAAGGCCCAAAATGCTAGGATGCCCAGTTGTTTCATTTTTGGAGGTGTTAGGACCCCTTATGAGAGACGGCCGGCACTTGAAGAGAACAAACTATACTATGTGGGGAAGCCGGAGTAAATGAGCCCAACGGAGGACGCGCAAACCTCGGAGCACTCCCTGGTAGCAAACTCCGAAACATCCGAGGCCCCCCTGCTTTTTTTGCTGGGCATGTTTTGGATAGGCTTTGGATTTGCTGGGTCCGGGGTTTTTCAGGGTTTTGGGATGTTAGGGGTCTGGTTTAGGTCTGGTTTAGGAGTTTTGGACTCAAGTTTTTGTTGGGCTTAGTTTCGGGGTTCGGCTCGGTGCTCGGGTGTGCTCGGATTTTAGTACGTGTGTTGGATTTGGGTGAACTGCTGCGATCCTACCGGCCTCCAGCACATCGTTGCGTAGAAGCGTGGCCGTCGAAAATCAACAACAGGAGGCATCCTAAACCCCGTTGACATTGCAACTACTGTATGACTCAGCACATCATGTAGTCGCTCTTTTTTCCGGTGAGTATTTCATGTCATCCTTTCCCCAAAATACGCCTCTTAATGCTGCAACTACTAGCCCACACTGGAGGACCCTCTAATGCTAAATACTTTTCAGGCCGGACCACGTTGGGAGTGTATTTGTGTAGGAGGAAGGGATGATCGAACTCTCGAAGCTTCTCTCAAGCCCTTTCCCCAGTAAACTTCCCCCACCCCTCCTGAAGGTTTGTAGGGGTGTAGGGCCGGATTCTCTCACAAGAAAACCTTAAGCTTGGGATGTTCGCCCTTATACTAGCAGTCCTTCCTAGGGATTCTGGTACCCCCCTCCCCCTTTTACACTCCCGATTCAGGACTGTTCGTTTCAGGGGGAACATCCCAAGCTGAACCCAAGGAAGCCCTTGGCAAGAGCAAGGGCTCGTGGTACTGGGGCCTGGCGCATGGTGGAACCTGGACAGGCGGGGAGGGAGCTGCAGATCAACCCTCCTGGATCGGCTCTTGGGATGTGCAACCTTGCACAATCCTAGCATCGTTGCAAGGGTTCCCTTTTTCTCCGGATTTGAAGCAACGCCTGGTGCCGCAAGCACTGGCATAATTCCGTCGAAGCCCTTAGGCTGATGTCCTGAAAGCAAAAGCCAGAACCTCACGGGTCAGCATGCTGCCCCTTGTCCTTTCGCAATCAGATCAAAAACAGGACCCCAATGTACTCCAACGAAGGTTTGCCTCATGATGCCTAGCCCGCGGTAATGCTGGAGAAGAACTTCCCCCATTCCGGCAAAGTTATGTAGTAGCCAGGGAGTAGGTAGGGCAGGGTAAAGGTACGGTAACGTTGCATGAGTCTCGGGCGCATTTCTGGGGCGTTTTGAAAGGCAATTGTGCCATTGCTCTCAAGTCACGCGTGGAAGTCAGCTCGTCAGTGACAGCACGCTCATGCCCCAAAGACCTGTCTGTAAAGGGGCTGTTGAGACTGGATTCTGGGTTTCCACCTGCAATCTGCTGGCATATGCCAGCTGCATGCACTGCCCGAAATCTTGACTCTCACAGCTTCCACTGCCAAGTGTTGCCCTGCCGCGAAGTAAACCCTAGACCCTATGTTGAAGCCCTTAAGAGATACTCCTCCTCCTTATGTCCACCCCAAGAACAAACAAAGTACAAACATAACGATCCAGATCTAAGCATCCGGGGGTGATCACTCGTATGCACCCCTCCCCCCAAGCACCCTCCCCAAAACCCAAAAGCTCCTGCTCCTTGCAATCGTCATGTGGGGAGGCGGAACTTGCATGTGGAATAACTGCGACGCCAGCCGGGGCAAAACCACCTGCCACCACTTCCGCTGCATTTGCACGGAAGGCCTGGGGCCTCGGGAGCCCAATAAGCTTAAGACCGTCAGCCGGGTTTGTCTTTGAGACTTTGAGAATGCGTGCAAGCGCCTCGTTCTCTGGTTTGGGGAGAGGTCCGCAGTGCGAGCTGTGTTCTAATTAGGCTGCTTGATTCTTGTGGAGCCCTTGGGAAACTTCCACATGCTCTGTAGGCTTCTGAGCCTCGCAAGGTGAGCATGCCATGTAAATGACCACTATACTTCTAACCCTTTGTTATACAAGAAAATGGACCATGAATCATAACTAAGCCCTAGACCCGAGAAAACCTGAGGTAGATCGACAATAAGCTTATAGGCCCTTGTAGGCTTTCTTTTTGGTGCAATCCAGCAGAGGGGAGCAGAGGGAGTTGGGGCAGGCGTGGCGGCTGGCGGCATCTGCGTCGACCCCAAGCCCCTTGGCACCGGGAAGGAGTGTATTGTGGCTCTTTGCTGTCATTTTGGATCCTTCGCATGATTAGGTTTAATGGGTTTCTTACCTACAACTCGAAAGTTTAGCCAGCCAGGTTGGCTTTTGGACCAGTTGAAGCCTGAAAGGTTTTTTGGGTTTAGGTTTGAGTTTTCGTTCGTTTTGGGCAAATGACCCTTTGCATGGGTTTACGGCCCATGCGCCTTAGACGAGATCATAGTAGTTTCGAGTGCATGAACTTAGAGTTTTCGGGTTCATGTGGTCCCAAGGATTATCTTTGCTCGATTCGCCTTTGAACATCCGCACCCTTCAGCGCAGCTTGAGTTTACATCACCCTGAAGTATTGCTGAACTGAGAGGCTTCCCCCCTGCCTTCTTGGCAATGTGGGAGATGAAGTCGGCTCCCACATTGCGCCTCTTGTGGGCCTAGCTTGGCCTAAGTTACTATGGTAGTTCGCATGGGATATGCGCCCTCCAAGCCGACTTCAAGCGTTTAGGGTGAGAGCGGCCGCTCGCGATCGCGAGGCTCGAGCCCAAGACTCACCTTGGTCTCCGGCGCACCGGCGAGGCCTGTAGCGTTCGTGGCTACTGCCTCGATGAGACACTGGGGCGAAGTTAGAGCTGCGGGCTGCCATTTTGTTCCTTTCAGTTTTGGGAGGGTTGGGTTGTTGTCCAGAGTGGAATGGCTGGTTTCTTCGAAAACGTCATGCCATCCGTATTTGGTCCCGACTTCGTCCCCTCAGCTTAGCTTGTGTCAAGGGACGCCAGGTGGGACCTGAACAAAAACAGCGCTGTTGGCCCGCTTTCTTGAACAGATGTAGCGCAGTCGCTTCTGTTACTTCAGGTGCTTCAAAGCACAATCCCTTTACAAAGGTCCCTCTTATGTAAGCCCTGTTGAAGCCCAAAACCCCCTAATTAGTCCCCAAACCCAAGATGATCTCAGGGCGGGCCCGGCCGCCTGCATAGAAGGCTACTGCTTCTGCCCGAAGCTCAAAGAGTCGCGCCTATCCAGCTCCGAGTTCGTCTGGGGTTTTCTGGTTTTAGAGTGTGGGGGGTAGGGCATAGGCATGTTTAGAGGAGTGCCATGGGACGACACAAGCTTAAACGTTCATGAGTCGACGTGCAGTTCCTTGACTTAGAAGCCTGAATGCGGCTTCTCTTGCAGCTTGGCGCCTGTGTTATAGATTGGTGGCCTTGTCGTTGTTGAGAACAAAATTTGAGGTTTCGATTTAGCCTCTGTGCGCCAAGATCGAAGCTCCTGAGGAGTGATTTTGAAGGAAGTTTCGGCGGCAACTTGTGGTTAGGTAATCTTTGTGGTCACATTCTGGTGGTCTCCGTTGAGTGGGCTGATTGGAGCATGTGAGTTTTCAGGGAAAAAGATGTTCAGACGTCCCACGCCGAAGGTCTGGAGGGCTCCGTTTTTGAGAATGGCCGATGTACCGAGCCCAAAATGGAGGGCGTCACCGGACCAAGTGACGGCGCAGGTCCAGGCCATGCTGTACCCTCGAAAACCCTCGTAGGGTGTATGGTTGTATAATGTTTAGGGCTCAGAGTGGAAGGGCTGCAGCATTACAGTGCTTTGAGGGTTCTAGGGCGCAGAATGTTTAGGGATTCAGGGGCGAAGGGCTGCAGCATTCGAGTGTTTTGAGGGTCCGACACCAGAGTCACCGGAACTCCCCAGGCATGGTCAAGCTGCGAATTTGAAAGCCCCAAACGGACGTAATCCTAAGCCCTAAGCCTGTGTGTCTCCTCTCGCTCTGTCCTGGATGCTCAGTTTTCGGGACCTTATGAGCCCAAGACTTGTGATCTTCTATACTACTATACCCTGTGTTACTATTCTGTAATCCCTTTAGAAGGTGTCTGGACAGTAGAGGTTTTCAAGGTTCAGTTGGCTTTCAAGGTTCTCCAGAGAAACCTGGGCGAACCAACGTGCAGGTGAGAAGGACAAGGAGGACGTGCCCCAAGTCGTGGAGGAGGCTACAACTACCACTGAAGAATATGCCATGCACTTAGCGCCCGATCAGATCTCAGGTTTGGGGGCAGCTTCGGGTTTAGGATTCTCGTGGGTATCTTGGGGAAGCCAGATGTACAATTCTCATGAAGGCGTGTCGGACCACAAGCTTGTACAAGCTTTTTTGCTTTTTTGTGCCCTAAGGCCCCCATTCGTTGGAGGATTCTTGGGGAAGTTCGGCCCCCCGAAGCACCGGAGCCAAACCCCAAACCCTAAACCCTAAACCCTAAACCCTAAACCCCAAACCCTGCCGCAGGGCAACGGCAGTTTTGCAAGTTCGTAGAGTCTGTATTCTGCACGCTGCCTGCACCACTCCCCTTCCAACACGGCCTCTGTTCAGAAGCATATTCATAGTTATCGTTACATGCATGTTTAGCTTTGCAGATCGAATTCCTTATGATTACTTTTGCACATTCCCTGCGCCCTCGGTCGTGCGGCTGATCTGCTAGGGAGTCCGGCACGAACAATAGCAGGAGACACCTGCAATCAGGTCCCTCGTTGAGGCCTATAGTCCTTCAAGAACCGCCCCCTACCTGGAAACGCCCCCCCCCCCCCCCCCCCCCCCTAAACCCTAAACCCTAAACCCCAAACCCTCAAGCCGTCCTTCGTTCTATCAGATCAGCCCGGAAATCCCGGCCGAGGTCGAGCCGGAGGACCCGACTGAGGATCCGGACTGCAGCGACCAGATTGCGGGCACCGAGTGCCTCGAGGGCAGAGTTTGGCTGTTTTATTTAGGGTTTAGGGTTTAGGGTTCAGGGTTTAGGGTTTAGGGTGTATGGTGTATTCCATGAGTGCAAAAAGTGGTTTCGAGCATAAGACGGTAGCATTTCGCCCTTTAGTTACGGGGGTACTACAGACCCTCGAATACCTAAAGGTCAAACCCCTTCCTTTTAGAAAGCTCAGGCAAGAATGTCATATGCCCCGGCCCTTTCACTGCAAGCTTGAGCAGGCTTAAGCATTTCGATAAACCTTGTCATTCAAGGAGCCGAAACCCTAAACCCTAAACCCTAAACCCTAAACCCTAAACCCTAAACCCTAAACCCTAAACAAGACTTTCTCTCGAGGTGCTTCAAGAAGGTGAGGTGGGCCATGAGCGACGGGACCCATGGATGTTCGATGAAGTGAATTAGGCTTTTAGAGTGTCAGGGTTTAGGGTTTCGGGTTTCGGGTTTAGGGTTTTTGTGGCTGCCTCTTAAACCCTAAACCCTAACCCTAGAGGGGGCTGGGCCCCGAGTTCAACAGCTGTCAAAGACAGGTTCAGGGCTATTGGCACTTAGAATGCAGGCCGGGTTTGGAACAGCAAAGCCTTAGACCCATCAAACTCTAACACCCTCAGCCTTAAGGGTTTGAGGACTTGCGGGGGTAGCGTTTTGCGGCCAGAACCCTGACCCCTGTAAACCCTAAACCCCACAAGTCCCTGCAGAGTGGTAGCAGCAGAGTGGGTGGCAAAAACCCACTCAGCCCCAAATTCCCGCACGAGAACACCGATATCTAAGCTTTTCGGTTTCTGGCCCATCGGTGTATGTTATGTTCGCTAAACCCCACAAACCCATTTAAAGCCCTAAACACCCCTTAATGCCCTGCTGACATGAAACTGAGACGAACTCTTCCGAATGAATCCTTGCCTGCTTGTGCGAGTGCGAGCGTCGAAAGAACCCTAAGCAATTTTTCCTGTAGTCGTTTCTCTGATTGATCACGGCTGATGGACGTTTGCATCTCTGCAGTGTGGTTCCGAGGCTGCTAGCCAGGCGGCCAAAAAACCCCAAAACTCTTCCAGTGCTTTGGTTTGGCGGGCAGTACACAACAAATCCCTAAACCCTAAACCCTAAACCCTAAACCCCACTGCGAAGTCAGGATCTACGGGAACCCCGAGTGGTACAAGGGGCTGACGCCGCAGTCTCCTCCAAGCATGTTCCAGGAGCCTCTTAGTGGGCTGGTGGGTTCATAGGGTTGAAGGTTTGTTGGGGTTTATTTAGGCTTATTACTGTAGGGATTAAAAGGGTGTAGGTGAAAGCCTATGGCCTTCTTCGTTGCATGGGAGAGTTGCTTGGCGGTGTGAAGCGATGTTGCAACATGGGCTGTGGAGTTGCAAAGGCAAGCTCCACGCCGTGGTGCAACAGTCTTAGCGTTTGCGCATGTTCAGCGGAGCAGGTAGCGTGTCAGTGGCGGTAAGCACTTCGCCGCAAAGGAGCCATATGGTCGAGAAATTTTCCTAGGTAGGATAAGGGGGACCCTTAAAAGGGAACCCCTTCTTTACCCTCTTCTGGCTCTCTTAAACAGGGACCTTATTCAGAGGGTCTATATCCCCAAGGGTCCCCCCCAATCCTATCCCCTAGAACTAGTTCTGTAGAGAGTCGGAGATACGTTTGGCCGTCTTGCATGCAGGACAACTTGTACCGAGCAGGGGAGGGCGGCTGTCCCCGGCCTTGCACAGGCAGGCGAGGGCGGCGAGGGGCAGGTTAAGTTGCAGATGCGGCGGCGAGTACTGCAGTTCACCGTTCTGGTTTCTGCGGTCTCTAGGGGGTACTATATCCCCCCTGAGGAATTTCTTTGTTGTTTTGTTTTCATAAAACCCAAGAGGACATTAATAATGTTATTCGTTTTTAAGGTTCTAAGGAGTATAGTGTAGTGGCAGGGCAGGATTCGAGTTCGGGGTTCGGAAGGCCCCTGAACACCGCAGTCAGCAACCTTTCGCTTACAAGCAGCCCTGACATTGCCACAATACAGATTAATTACCCTAACAACAACGCTCGTTTGCATCACTCTCATCATTTGATTCCCAATGTTGTGCTTGCATTGCTCTGGGAGGTGGACTTCCCGAAGATCCGTTCCCTGGCTTGGAGTTCTGGGTTGAGGATTCCCAGGCTCAGATAACTTACATAGCGTCGTCTTGAGGGAGTCTTCTGAGCATTTGGGTGGCATTGGATTGAGGGTGCAGAAAGACCAGTCTCCGTCGTCTGCTGACATGGCGATCGTAACTGCTCGACGAAGGCTGTGCATCAGACCGATTCTGACCGCGCATGTTCATCTGGCAGTTAGCTTCTTTTGTGTACGGAACCCTGTAAACCCCTAACAAACACACCCCTGAAAATCCTAGACCCTACAATTACCCTTAAAAGCCCTAAAACAACCTTAAATCCTAACACGAAGTGCCCCCTTGCTCCGACAGGCTCCACTTCCCCCACTCTGTCCTGACCAGAACGACGAGGGGCATCCGCCCTCCCAAGCATCCCTTTGAGTACAACGGGATCGAGTGGCCCACCATGAAGATCAAAGGCGCTTGAGCCAGGATTCCTAGGTTTCATGTGATCCCGTTTGGCCTTATGCTGGGTTTGAGAGATGACCTTGCAGGATCTTTACCTAGGAACCTGTTTTTGACGGCTGAAAGGGCCAGTGCAGCTCTTGTGAAATCTTGTAAAGAGAGCAGTCTCGTGTGTTGGACAGAACAGCCTTGTCCAACCCCCTCTCCGCAATGACAGGAATGAATACGCATGTCTTCGTAGTTGGCGACTGGGGCGGCCTGGCGGGTACCCTCCCGCACAACAGCCAGATCATCCAGCACCTGAGCCGAGTTGTGTTTTTTTGCGGCTATTGTCCTACAACCCCTCAAGTCGACCTGTTTTTGACCTGTTCAGGACTATTCCTTCTTATGCTATGCTAGGAAGGTTATGAAGACCGAGGTACAAGGGCGGACAGACGATGGGTCCTCACGTCATGGGCCGATATCGCACCGATGCCAAGACACACGACCTCTCTTGCTCCACCCCGGAACCTTGGTAATGTACTAGTCAGTAGGGGGTCGGATTAAATAGAAATGGTATTCCCTTAGGGTCCCTTTTCGAATTATGCTACAATAACCCCCCAATAGTTCTTGAGGCCCCTATAGTATTCTTGTTTTTGCCCTCCGTGCAAAGTGCCGACTAGTGCAGTTTCTCCGTGGTCACTTCGACACTTGTCCTGTGAAGGAGATGTCGGACTGCTTTGCCACGAACGGTACAAAATGCCCGGCACGATGTGGATGGATCGAAGAGATTGACACCAGAGCGCAGCACCTGGTGGCAGAGCAAATGATCAAGCGTGCTAAGGCCCGGGGCTGTTCCAAGCTGGGCCAGCTTCGACATGCACTTGGGGGCGGGGGTAGTTAACCTTTACGTAACCACTTTTGGTTATATATTGTAATCCGATTAGAAATAACAGGTTATTTTTTTTGGGCTGGGGTGTTCTTCAGCCCCCAAGTTGCAGAGGGGAGCGGGACAGTCTGTTGAGCGCCGTGCTTTGTTTTTGGCCCTTGAGCACTCCAGATGAACAACCCCGACTACCTTCTGAACGTCGGGGACAACTTCTACTGGGGCGGCCTCTTTGGCAAATGTGGGGAAACACCCATGTCAAAAATCAACGACATCACCCGCGCGCAGTTCAACTGGATTTTTGAGAATGTCTACAAAGGGCCTGGACTGGATGGAAAGTCGGCTGCCCAGCTAGGTGCATGTCCCAACGATCCTCCGTCCTTAATAGGGAGCCCGGATATTTTGGGACTCGGAACTGGGGATGTTCCACCTTTTTACTAACAGTCCTTGATAGGGATTAGAATAGGGGGTACGATAGTCCCTGTTACTATGAGGGGGGAGCATCCCAACTCGGAACCCTCAGTCCCTCAACTTCCCTTAGTTGCTCCTCGTGTTTGCTGTCGCCATTTTCCGAGGTTGCTAGAGGTTTCTATTTTCTGGGAGTTGTGTGCCATAGCTGCTGGCACCTCCGCAGGCCAAATTGAACCCTGCAGGTGTAGCTACAGCTCCAATACCTATGAAGGCCTATATAGACCACAAGCCCCCCAAAAAAACCTAAGTCCTATCTACCTCCCTAGGCGGCCGAAAGCTTCGTTGGCTTTGGGATCCGCATATACCCTAACCTACATACCCTGAAGCCCTCAAGCTTTAACCCCCTTTTTCTGGCTCGCTTTCTTGATATGTGCCGGCGTTCCAGTACCTTCCGCGTGGTTGTGCCTGCTGAGGCCATGGCTCAGCGTGCTTGGCAATCACGACTGGGGAGGCACGGACTCTCTTCTTGTGGGGTTTTTAGGGACTAGGGCAGAAAGGGGGATTTAGGACTTCAGGGCAGGGCTTCAGGTATGTCGTCGGAGAGGGGCCCCCGCTGCTAAATGAGGGATCTCCTCGTGGTACTGGGACAGGTTCCCTCAGATATCAGAGGCAGGCATTTAAGGCAATCAGTTGCAGCACCTACGAAATGGAGACTTGAAACCGAAAAGAAACTTGAGAGGAAGGGGGTAGGTTTTCGTATTCGTGCTGCCCAGGTGTGCCCCCACCTGGCCCTCTCTGCAAGTTGCAGAGGGATGGAGCTTGACTGATACGTATATGGTATGCACGCTTATGCACACATATGTAGCAGAGATAGATCTTATGGATCAATACATAAACACCCAAATATGAACATACACACACATCATACATTTAAGTATGTATATATATATATATACATATGGATGTACATGTAGTTTATATATACATATATATATATGTATATGTCTCTGGCCGACATGGGCCCCTAACTTAGAACAGCCTGCCGGCGCGCATGCCCCACGGTAGGCCGTGAGATGGATGCTGCGTGGGATCAGTCACTCCTTTGCACCTGACGTGGACTTGGAGGGGGGGGGGGGGCTTGGGGGCACTAAAGCATAGGGCTAGAGCCACGGAAAGTGTGTCACGCTCATTGCTTCAGGGTTTGCTGCCCAGGTCCTGGTACATCGTGCTGAAAGTTAGGATGCTGCCGCTGTATGCCAGCGTCGGGGTGAACTGGGTAGGTGAACTGGGTAGCTCAGCACTCACTAGGCTAGCTGTCAAGTCTGCTGGTGTCTGAGGCAAATCGCATACACCTGGGCCAGCAAGCGCTGGGTCCTTCCAGCCTCTCCGCACAGACTTGGTCTTAATCCTCACTGGTCAGGACAAAGAAGACCAGCTGTCTGCTAGTGGAATGTGTTTCCCAGTGTTTCCCACAAGAAAGGCATTTCGTAAGAGGGAAACACTCTGCTACTGTACCTCTAGAGGCCTGAGAAATGTGGGCCTTGCAGCCACAGGCTTGGGAAAACTCCCCTGACTAACGGCTTTCATAGCAAGCCGCAAGCCTGGGTGAGGGCCTTCCAGGTGCTCCTGAGGCAAGGTGCTTCTGAGGCAGGGGGGGGTTATCCAAGGGACTATCCAAGCGCCTTTTTCTCTCCAGGTGCATGCACTATAGATCCCCAAGCAACTCGAAAGCCGTTAGGGACATCCTCAGCGCAGGCTGCATCTCGTGGTCGAGCAACTAAGGCTCCTTACTGGATGCAGAAGGTCGAATATGTAGACCAGGGCTACACCGTCGACATCTTCATGATCGACTCCAACATTGAGGATGCTGATGAGGATGTGACGCTGAGCCCAACATGGGCATATGTGCAACATTCTAGCATGCTTCATGATTCGTCTATGCTCGTACTGGCTCGTACCGCCCGTCTTTCAGCTCACAGCAGATCTGTACCCAAAGCCCTGACTCAGGAATTCCAACCCAGAGCACAACATCTGCGGTGCTGCGCACAACCCTCCAGGCTCTACGTGCTCCAAGGTCGGCGGGCCTTCCAGACGCCCGGCGCACGGAGTTTCTTCGATGGCCTACCACCCTTTCCGTAGATTAAGCCCGAAAACCTGTTTGGGGTCCAGGGCTTTACGAATTTCGGTTCACATGACATGAGGGAGAATCGCGAGGTGATGGGGTTTAAGAGACACCAGGCGAGGAAGCTAAGCTTGCGCGTTCAGGGAGACTGTCCGCTGAAACTCTTGGGGGCCTCAGAGCCCTAACCTTGAACCACGACGAATCCCTTGAAGACCCTAAACCCTAAACCCTAAACCCAGGATTGATCCTTTTTCCCCCTGGGGTTCTCCAACACAAGCTACCACTCATGCAGCCCAAAGCTATTCCAATCCTTGCATGTAGAAGTACCCCTGATGTTCGGAGGCCCCCCGACTTGAAAAAGAGGGGCCCGGCCCGTAACAAAATGTCAGCCAGAAGCCGGGCCCCGAACCTGAGCATGAACTGCAAAGTTGGGTTCATCGACCCCATGTGCGACTTGTACCATAAAGGGCTTAGGGTTTAGGGTTTAGGGTGCAGGTTGGTTTCGGGGGTGCAATGTGGCTATGTCCAGGACAGGAGGCCAAGTAATCATGTAGGGCAAGACAGAGACTCAGAAATGGACAGAGGACAGAGATAACATACGATTGCATACACATACACATATCATGTACAAAAACATATATGCAAATATGCATGATGGTTATATTGTGATACATGTTTTTTGTATTATGACACGGAGAGTGTGAGAGAGCGAGCAAGAGGGAAAGAGAGACAGAAAGGATAAAAGTAAATAATAACATGAAAAAGAAGGAAATAAATACAAACGAAAGAAAATAAAAAAATCAAAGAAAGAAGAATAAAGAGAAACACATGTTTAACAATAACAACCAAGCGACTTTGACTTTTTGACTTTGAAGTCGCAGAACCGTCCCCTGGTCCCATGCGCGGCGACGACAAGTCCCATATGGACGCGGCTGACTGGAGCTGTGGCAAGCCACATCGCCAAAGGTGACAAACTGAAAGCCATGCTATCAACTGAAAAGAACTAGGAGCAGATCCGGCGACGCTTACTACACTAAAAAAAGTGCGAAAGAGAGAGAGAGAGAGAGAGACAGTGAGAGCGACAGTGAAAGAGAGAGTGAGCTTGAAATGCTGGGCCGGGTTCCTGCCCATCACGCGCCCTCCGACACCAGCGGGAGATTCAAACTCCCGCGGGAAAGCATCGGTCCGTAGATGTGTTTCATGAGATCCGAGCACTCGACATCACATTCCTTCTCTCAGGCATCCACGAGTGCCACAACTGGTTCCAGAAGCTTTGGGACGAGGGAGCCGAGTGGGACGCTTTGAGGAACTCAGGGGTAGAAGTGGGGAGTAGATATGAGTAGGCACTCGGAACATAAATAAAAATACCTGTGAGAAGAGTCCTTCACAGAGGGGTCGCAAGCTTCGGAGAGTTGAGGAAGCTCGTGAACTAAAGTTCTTGTGAAGCATCACTGCCGGGCCATGTCGCACAACGATGCACATTGTAGTGGTGCAGCATGGATGTGTGATTTCCTGATCATTCGCGACATGGTTGTTGCAGGGCAGTAGTCGTGGCAAGGTACAGTTAGTATTTGCAGTCCCTGCCACCATGGGTAGTCCAAGGCAACGGAGAAGCTAAAGAACTCCGACGCGCAGTGGCAAATCATGGCCTCTTGGATTTGAGGAGGATTGGGCCTCCCGCGCAGTGCAGGTGAGAAGTGCAGGGGTATCCGGGCGCCCTAAACCCTGAACCCGAAACCCCAAAGAGTGTGTGCCTTGCAATGGCTTGTCCGAGCGTGAGCGATTAAACCCTGAGTGCTGAAAGAGAGCAGCTCTTCTTGTCCACACACCCGAGGTCACACATTTTCCATGCGGGCATAAGGCCAAGTACTACAAGGAGCAGCTGTGAACTCACTCAAAACTCATTCCCTTTCAGAGGCATAAGAAGAACAGCGATGAGTAAATGTTAGCGATGATGGTCAGTGTTTCATTCTCCCTCTCTCTCTCTCATATATATTTATATTTATATGAATTTGATTGCAATAAGATTCCTATATTTAGTTATAAATAGATTTGTATGCAATGTACTTCTAGCCGAGCATCAGTCGAGGATAGTAATCCGGCCTTAGATCCAGGAGCTGCACTTGAAGTACGGGCTTGATATGCTTCTTGGAAAACGAAGTGCTCTGGGGTGTACAATGAGCCCTAAACCCTAAACCCTAAACCCTAAACCCTAAACCCTAAACCCTAAACCCTAAACCCTAAACCCTAAACCCTAAACCCTAAACCCTAAACTAAACCCTAACAATGTGATTCGTCCAAGAAGTCTCCGAAGTCCCGGAGTGAGGAGGTTGTAGAGGGTCCTAGAATAAACTATATCCCCCTTGGGAATCATTTTGTGTTTTTCTTTATATAGAACCCAAGAGGGCATTAAACATATGATTTTTGTTAAGGTTCTAAGGGGAGTATAGTAAAAGGTTTCTCTACCTTGTGGTCATTAGTGATGGAAAGGGGTGCCTCGGCCAAGACACGGCGACCAAGAGTGAACAGCCAGCTTTCCACAGCTGAGGCTGGTGACCGGCCACGCTCACTATCAGATGATGTACTGGTCTCCGGCACTTCGTCCCAGCTTACGGGATTTGCGGTTCGACGTTGGGTGTCATGTTTTTCGTGGACACGAAAACCATGCGGAAGTCGACGGCAAAAGAGCGCACGGTTGGAAATGACCAGTCCTGCTTTTCGCATGCAATGCAGGCATCTCCATCTGTCAATTTCTCTCGACGTCTGTCTGCCTATCTTGCTAGGATTTATGAGAAATTAATCCTCTTTGTATAAACATGTTTTATGCGTCTGTAGCTGTGCATGTGTATGTACACATAGGTGCATGTGTGTATATGTACAAGTTATTTGCATATGGAAATGCATACGTTTTACATGGTCAATGCGCGGCTTGCAGCTGCCATCGGGATAAATGTAGTCGTTGGGCCAGCATGGGTCAAAGGAAACACGGCCATACTTTGTTGACCTGCAACCCCATTACGAATAGGGTTTCTGGTTGTTTAGCCTATGCCTTCAAGCCGTACTAAAGCCTGAAGTGCAAGGCTTGACAGACGCGGGCAGTCGTCTTGTCATGGGGTGGTACACATGACGCCCTGCCCCTACTAAGGCTCACACACCCCAACCCTTCAGCTCGTGAGAGCTTGCGCCGGTTGTGAGAGTCGAATTTTCAACATTCCTTTCTCTTCAACAAGTCAGTGCGCCCGTTTTTTGGGAGGAACTTTACGCCCTAAGCCCTATACACCACAGTGCTCGACCAAGCTTCCGATGGCTACTTGGAGTGCAAACTCCGAAAGCCCTGAATTCTGAAACCGTAAGAGGTCGTGAACTTGGGGCTTAGGCTGCAAATCTTCAAGGACCTGATGTTGGGGCACCTGTAGCCCTTTCAAAAGCCCACCGAAGAACCATTTTCGCCCTCGGCAACTCATCCAGAATCTTAACGGTGAAATCTCTACCTGCGCATTCAAGCGATGCGCCTTGAACTCAGGAGAAGCACAAAAAAAACTTATTAAAAAGCAATACCCCTAAACCCTAAACCCTAAACCCTAAACCCTAAACCCAAAAAGCAGTGCAGTCTGCCTTGAACCGAACTCAGGAGAAGATCGGCGGGCTCACCTGCTTCATCAGTGGCGGAGGGGGCGGCATCACGTCGGAGAACAACGTTGAGCCGGACAACGACAATGACCACCAGCACCTTCGCTTTAGTCAGTATATATATATATATATATATTGAAATCAACCAATCTATATGTATATATATACAAAAGTGTAAGTATATATATATTTATTTATTTATTTATTTATTTATTTATTTATTTATATATGTATTTATTTATACATAGATGTGTGTGTGTGTGTGTTTGTGTGTGTCTCTGCGTGCTTCTAGAGATGATTCATATTCATGTTCCATCCAGTAATTAGGGGGAGCAATGTTTAAAGTCCCGATGGGTAGCTGCAAAGATCACTCTGGGCTTCGTAGCTTTGTTCAGCAAGCCTTCCCCCCCAACCCAAGCACATTCTTACAACGGCGTAGAACAGTGCAAGAGCACTTTCCAAGAGTTGTAAATCTGGGAATCGGCTTCGAGCAAAACAAGGCACCCTTGCCCGACTTCAACTCAGTTTGTGAATTCCATGCCGCTGTAGACCTCAAGCCCTACAGCCTCTAGCACTACAGAGAGTAGTACTGGTACCTCGCTTGCTGCAGGTACGGCTTCTTCGACCTCTCCATGTCCAAGGAGGGGCGGAGGGTTCCAGGCCATTTGCGTTGCGCATGCGGTGACTCCTATTCAGTCCTTCGAAAAGCCTTGTCGCTCTCACAGTGCAGATGCTCTCCACAGTGGATTAAGGCAAACATGATCGAGTAGGGACCAAAGGCAATGCCGTGCTTCAACACGCGGTGTCATCTGAGTGTGGCCACTGTAGCATCGTGCCCCCCAGGACGAGATCAAGCTTGAGTCGATCAATTGGAAGGGAAATGTCATCCACACTGAGATCGTGGAGCCGTATGACGGCGTTGACACAAAGAAGGCCCTGATCATGTTCTTGAAGATTCTTGAGCCCTCATGAAGGCATGTGGCTGTTTTAGGGATTGCAGCGTGAGCCCGTCAGGATTCGAATGTGGAGTATCAATCCTTGTTGTAAACATGAAGAGTGTCTATAAGCAGCAGGGCCCTGAAGCAATGTTCAGAATGTGGAGTATCTACAATAGGGGCGCCCAACCATGGCCCTGATGTTTCGCTGGAGCAGCAGCCTAAACCATTGAAGCAGTCCCCGCACGCAGTGTGCGTGTGCGAAGGCCATAGACTTTCAGAGCTAGGCGGTTGGCAAAAACAACGCCCTAGACCCTCACGACCCATGAACTGGCATCCCCAAACCTGACTGCCGTCAGCTAGGCGGGTGGCAAAAAGAAACCGGACCGCCAAGTCCTGAAAACATGACAAACTGCCATCCCAACAACACACTCCGATTTCGACTCCCAAGCCTGACCCCCCACTCTCAAGCCACTCTCAAGCCTGCAGACCCGAAGCTGGCCCTAGGCATCCTGAAGCACTTTGATGTGTAGGGTATATCCTAAACCCGAACTAAACCCCCAAACCTTAATTATGCAAGGGCACCCGATAACCCTAAAACCCCCAGACCTCTCTCCCTAAACCCTAGCCCCTAAACCCTAAACCCTAAACCCTAAACCCTAAACCCTAAACCCTAAACCCTAAACCCTAAACCCTAAACCTACCAGTCTTTGAGAGGCCGAGCTGGCGCCTTGCGAGGTTCCGAAGCCGGGGTCTCCCTGCTTCAAAGTTGTCAAGTGGCTCGGCTCAGGTTTTGGGGTTTAGGGTTTAGGGTTTAGGGTTTAGGGTTTAGGGTTTAGGGTTAACCCCTAAACCCTGAACCCTATAAAGTCTAGAGTTCAGAGGCTCGAGCCGAATGAGACCGGAAGCAAGACCAAGGGAGCTAAGGGAGAATGGCGATGAACAAAGAAGAACAAGAGTAAGAGGGCTGAGTTTTTTTTTGTTTCAGGGCTTGCGGGTCTCGGAGTTTAGGGTTAAGTGTTCACTTGTTGTTCCGATGTCTGTGCGCCTGGGACCAGCACCCGTGCCTCAAAAAGGGCGCCGGGCTTGGGGTTTAGGCTTAAGAGCTTGGGGGTTTGGGGCTTGTAAGCTTGCTTGCTAGGGTGCTGAGCGCTTGCCGTCATGTCACTTTGGTGGAGCTCATGGGCTAGTGAGGGGGGCCATCGGGACGGTTGCCTTGCCATTGACCTAGGTGGGCCATGCAGGATGGCATTCACTCGAATCCAGATTGGTTTCCTGGCCTTACTCCGCTTCCTAGCTGCAAGGAGGCTTACGAGGGTTTTTTTTGATTGTCTGGGAAACCATAATTTTGCTTGTCTGGGAAACCATAAACCCACCACGTCAAGATGATGATGCCCAATCCACGTTTGCGTCAACAGGGGGTTATAGTTTCCTCGTATGGCATAGGGCGCAAGATCCCACTACTGGTGGTTGATTGGGTCCTTCCGGTGGTGGTTTCCTGGCTTCCCAGGTCTTCACCCATGTCCAAGTTCCAGGACAAGTTCTACCGAGAACACAAGAATGGCTGTGGCAAGCCATGCTGACCGACTAGCTAGCACGAATCAGATGCCTGCATGTGCAGAAGGCCACATGCTGAACCATCCCGGGAAGCTTCAAATATGCAAGCTGCCATCTGTGTCTTTTGCAGGTCGTGCTTATGATGGAGATGCGGGGGGGAGTAGTCGGATGTGAGGGGCAGGCAGGCTTCTGCATTCAAAGTTGACCCGTGGAACATCTATACTGCCAGTGCCCCTTCACAGTCTACATTCAGCAGGCTTGAGCCGAAGCATGATGGAAATAATGCGGTCGCCAAGGGCCCAACGCTAACCCATGCGTCAATGCTTCATTTCTGGCGAAAGCCTCCGTCAACAGCGCCATGAAACCTCCCATAACCGACCTTAAGACCCTTGAAAACTCCAGAGGTCCTCACCCACTCAGCCTGTAGATCCCTAAACCCTTCCCCCTGCCCCCTGTTGGCCCAAAAAAGCCCCAAACCCTTTAACGCCTCCCTCCGCCCCCCGCCCCACCACCCCAAAGCCTCGAGCCCCATGGTCTGCCCAAGCGTGTGGCGAGCCGCAGCCTGGCCACTGCGGCGCCATGGCTGCCAGGCGATGCCATGGCCCGGGCCTTAAGGGTGCGAAATCCTTGCCTTCACTGGGGTTCTTGTTCCGGTGTTCATGAGCGGTTGGGATGTTTCCCCTCCTGAAACTCACAGTCCTTCGTATAGGGATGAGAATAGGGGGTACTATAAACCCGATGAAGGACTGTTGGTACAAGGGTATAAGGGGGAACGCCCCAAATTATAGGGTTTGATGGCCAAAGGAACCGTGTCCCTGTGGCGGTAGCTCATTTCAAGATCCTTCAGCACGACCCAGGTTTGCGTTTCGGGTTTGGGATTAGGGCCTACCTTGTTCTTTTTGTCAAGATCTTTGAGTTACAATTGCCAGGAACCAATTTTTACTATCACTATATCCATATCATGGCAACCGTTTCGAGTTTGTAGGGCTTCAATTGGTGCTCCCTTGTCGCAGCAAGCGCCCTTAAACTGAAACCCACAACCTATAGCAGTGCCCTGCAGTGCGTCTGACGTGTCAGCTAGGCAGGTAGCCAAAGCAACCCAAACCAGGGCATAGGGTCCATAGGGTTAGGGTGTAGGACAACAAACCGGTGTTTGTGAAGTAGCCTTGGGCGGTAGGGGAGTAGTGCTTGCTCGATTCGGTAATGCGCAAGCTCCCTGATAGCACCTGGTATTGTGATGCGCTGCGAATATGCCCCCGCGTTTTGCTGTGGGCCTTGGTGGTGCATATGGGCGTATAGTGAGTCAGTGTCAGAACAGCGTTGGCCCATACGTGAGTTTGCAGCGAGGTGTTGGGTCCCTAACATGGTTGTGGCCTTAGGGCTTTCGGTGGTAGGGGTGAGTGTGTCAGGGTTTGCCCAAAGTGGTGCCGTGGAATCTGCGTGCCAGAGTGGATTGAGCCCGAGAGCAAGCCACGAAACTTCAAACAGGTGGCAGGCGACCACTTTGCAGCTCCGGTGGCGCTCGATGATGTCACGGCGTTTGAAGCAGAGCCCAGACACGAAACCCAAAAAGGCATGGGGGTGAAAGGCTCAGGGACTCTCACTAAATGAACCCTTAGACAGTGAGTACATATGGTTTTTGTAGGGTCTCGGGAGCTCAGCGCTTAGCAACGAATACTAGAATGCTTGATTTGTTGGATTTGCATCGTGCATTCCATTCTTCCGTTGCGTTTGCGTGTCTTTGACCTGCACTTTCTTGTGACCATCATAAGCTGCAGTGCAGTGTTCTTGAGCGAAAGCTTGCATGAAGCGGTTGTTCGTTCCTTTCACAGAAGCTTTTCTGGCCGATGTGCCACCCCTGGATGCGGATGGGTTGAAGTTACAAGTTACAGGTAGGTGTAGGGCATGCGAACCTATAGTTCATGGTTCGTTTGGACTCCAATGACGAGCTCGTGTGCTGCGCTCCGTCGCCTGCGTTTTGCCCAGGAAGCTGAATACCGGCTCCGGCATCTCCTTCGACTCATTTGCAGCTTGGCATAGCCTCATACCACAAGGGTCGGTACGACTTCATTCAGGGGCGACTTGGAGGATGGGTGCTGGGGTAGTAGGGATGCGCGAATGGCGCATAGATGCTGATTGGTTCATGGCCACGCAGTCTTGCCGTCGCACAATCAAACTCCCCTCAACCCGAAAGAGGCGTTCAACGGCTGCAGCACAGGCAGCTTGCAGCAAGACTTAAGAGTAGCTTGTCTGAGCTGCCCACACATCCCTATAAAAGCCTTAAGAAGACAAGAGCACGCTGGACGAAATGCCTATCATCTGCAAGCCCCCCCATCCCCCTCAAGCCTCCCAGACCCTGGCTTTGGAAACCCTAACCCCCAAAACAGACCTTAAACCTAAAAGTTCGAAGCCCTATGCCTCATCCCCAAAGGGCCTTAGGCCTCGAGCTCTTACCCAGGATCTCCATCCGGACACCCTGCGCGGGCTGCAGGAAGCTTTCCGATTTGCAGAGGCCACGTCCGTGCAGGCTGAGGCCTGGCATCTCGGGGCTGAAAAAGGTTAGCAGGTGGTCTGGGGGTAATTTCGGGATATTTCGGGTTGAAAGAGGGGGTTTGAGGGGTCTGAAGGTAGGGTGTCTACAAGGGGTGTAGTTGGGATTAAAGGGGTTTAGGGGCTGCTATTCATTTTGGGAACTCCTCAAGTTTGACCTTCCGCTTGAATCGCCTATTATGGAGCCTGTGGCCAGAAGACTTGTTCGGGGCTCATTCCCCGCTTTACAGCTTGAAGGGTAAGTTGTGCCCACCTCTGCCAGTGGCAGTGGTTGTGTCTGTTCATGGCCGAGGCACTGTGGCCAAATCACGACAAGCTTCACAGAGCACAGCTCACAGTAGGAATCAGGGTCCGAATTCGTAGTGATGCCCGTCGCAGGTTGCTAGCAATCGTGCCAGTTCTTGAACATTAAGCTGGGCCTAGCCTCGGGGGAAGCCAAAAAGGGTTTACGGTCCTTAAATAGGGTTTGGGGTTTATTCAGGCTTGAGGGTTTGTGGTCTACAGTCTATATAGGTGAGCGGGGATGATGGTCGCATAGGCATATGATCCCAATGTTAGGGTTAGAAAGATCACAGTGACAGCCCCCACAAACAAGTCTTTTCCCACTTTTCTACTAACAGCGTGAAGACAAGTCCAGGTGCTCCCAGAACTGCTTGCTGCAGATGCCAGAGGAGTTGCACACATGCTCCGGTTTAGGGTTTGCATTCATGCGCTTTTGAGAGAGGATCAGACGGCCGTTGCACTTTAATTTGTCCTGTACATATTGGACATGATTGTTCCGAGCGGTTTGTTGTTGATATGTTTGATCCGTGCATGGCTCTGGATAGGAACTGACTTCGTCCTCAACGCTCGCACAGGCGCGGCGCATGTCTGCCACAGCACTATGGTCGTAGTCGTAGCGGGTTCGAATTGAGGAGGCTAGGGTGTATGATCCCACTGGGTGGGCGAAATTCTTGTCAACCTTCAATCGAAGCCCAGGTACTGGCAAGACCCTCGCCTACCTGATTCCTGCTGTGGAGCATGTGCTGAAGAACCCACCCCCGGGAATCGGGGTACTCATTGCCGCGCCTTCGCGTAACTGGGCGGGCAGCTGACGTGAAGTGCCCTCCCCGCCAAAGAAAGGAGAGGCAAAGCCCTACCGACCCTAAACCCTAACAAGGGCCTCTGCATCTCCAACACTGCATGCAGTCTACACTACACATTTCCTTGGGAGCCAAGTGACCCCCTACTCCCCAAATGCTACAATCCTCCGAAAAAAAACAAAAAAGGGTACCCGGCAACCCCACTTACTTCTCACGGTTTCGGCATCCCAGAAGCCACTAAGGTGAGCTTGTGATACAGATCACCCGAGATGCCGAGACGCTGTGCTCCTATCACAACTTGCAACCTGGCAGGCGACCGGAGTTCAAAGATGTTCAAAGGTCAGGGGTATTGCTCTACTTTAAGTGTCGACACATACTTAGAACAGTATTAGTATTTAGGCGGGTGCCGGGGGAGCGAAAGAGTTTAGGCCTTAGGGTTTTGGACAGGTTCGGCAGGTTCGGGCCGTGTCTCCCTTCCCTTCAATGTAAAAGAGGATGGAGTGGTCTTCTTTCACGAGGTGGAGACCCGCTGTGTCTGCATGTTGCCACACCGCCCCGGTCTGAACCGACTCCTTACATGTATGGGGGGTCAGCTGAGCCCGCCAAGGGCTATCTCTTGGATTCGGGATTAGGGTAGCTTAGGGCAGATGATCCCCATTTTTCCGGGGTTATAAGGTGGTCCCTGCAGCTTCCTGAATCCTTCGGCTCTGTCATGCTCATGGTGCCGAGGCAAGTGGTGCCTATCATCGGTGGGGTGGCCCGATCCAAGGCCTTCCTTTTCGGAGGTTCTAGGGCAAAACCCCAAAAAACATCCCAAACGAACAGCATCGCTAGGTTTCGGGACTCTCTGACCCCTCGAATCCTTGAGGTTTTAGGATTTTGTCCGCTTTAGCTTGAGAGTCAAGCCCTTCTTTGAAGGATGAGTCGAACATCCGACGCCGCCGGCCCGCCATCCTAGTGGGCACCCTGGTGCCCCCAGCCTTGTTTCAAGGGACTAAGGGAGGAACCCTTATAAGGGAGCCTTAGCGGCTACCTAGGTATGTAGGGGCTATAGTATATTTCGATATATAGATGGGTTATATAGGGGTACATTGGCACAGGCCCAAGTGTGATAAAAGGCTGGCACTTGCGCATTCGATTCTGCCAGGCGGTTCGACTCCATAGTAGACACTGTTTCACCCCTCTGTCGGATGCTTTAGGGGTGCAGCGGCTACTCGAACCCCCTGATGTGATGATTTCCACGCAGGCTTCCTTGATTTCGTACGTTTCCACGATGTGCGCTCGAAACCCCAGAGTTTACCGGCCTGCAGTCCTTTGCTGTCCAGCTTGGAGATGTTGTTTCTTTTCTGCCAGCATCGTTTCGGCCACGACTGCTGCTTCTACGTTCGGCATGATTCCCAAATCCTAGTCGATATGTTGAGCACCTTTGGGGACTAATGAAACCCTAAGCCCTACAGTTCATGCTCCGTACACTGAGGATGAAAGCAGCATGGTCCCTATTTTCATGGGTTCCAAAGGCAGTCAGTCAGTTGATGCCAGGCGAAGCTCGTGGAGCATTTCGAGGCCACCTCACGCACTTCAGCTGCAGCACTTAGGTGACAGAGACACTGTGACTGTGGAGTTCAGGGCTTATAGATCTCCGTAGGGTGTGTGTGGGGGCTACAGGGTTTAAGCTTCTACCGCTTGTAGGGTTCCTAGGGCTGTGCGCTTGAAGTCCGCCCGCCGTCCACATTTCCCCCAAAAAAATTGTAGAATAATGAAGGCATCAGCTCGTCCGGGGTATGTGCGTGCCGACTTTATATGAGCCCAAGATGCCTTTTTCGGGATTTTTGGGGGGGTTTGTTTGCTGAGTTTAGGGCTCCCCGGCAAGGTATGCGTCCAGGGGTGGCATTTAAAGGATTGCCGGAGAAGGGCAGAGGTTGCTGAACTTCCCAATATTCAGCGCAAGTGAACACGATTCCCTGTTGGGGGGAGGAGGAGAGCCGGGGGGGAGGGCATCCCGTCAGCCAGGATTCAACATTAAGAAGGTTCTATCATGCCAAGACGGGTGTCGGAGTGGCCGTTGAACCTTAGCCAGTGGTCCGGGCCGGGGCTTTCCCCCTGCAGGCTTAAGCATGTATTTAGAGGCTCTCTAGGGCGCCTCACCCGTCTTGCATGGCCCGCTCTCAGAAGCGCCGCCGGGAGTTGCATCGACTCTCATGTGGAGTAGCACATATCACGGTTTTGGTGGCGGTACATAGGGCTCCCAATATTGCTGAGTGCACGTGTGTATATGTCTATTATGTGTATATACTTGGGGAATACTACAAATTACCCAACATCACCTCTCCATAGGTCTTGGGCCGAAAGCCACTTGCCGAGGCTTTGAGACTCTCTTCGAGGCCTTGTCCATACTGGTGCTGGATGAGTGCGACCGGCTCCTGCATGAAGCCACCCGGCACGGCATATGTGCGTTCCCTTAAAGGTGGGGGGGGGGGGGATACCCCGTCATGGGATACGTAAGCCCTGTCATACGGATCCCCAGAAGGGGAGCCCTAATTTTGGGGCACATGTTAGTTCTTCAGGAGGTTGGGTTTGGTGCCGGTTGGGGCTCGTGTGCGTTCAACACCTGCGTGGAGGGTGTAAAGTCGTCGCAACTTCAAGTCTAAGCTGGATCCGGGCCTCGCTGATGAGTTTGGGGTGGGGACGGGGAGGGTTGGGCCTTCTGCTACACACAGTCCTACATCTCAAGCTTTTGCAAGTGCTGGAGCATTCGGCCGCCACTCTCAGGAAAGCTTGCCGGCATTTCTGGCATACTTGCCAAGGCAGCCACAGCGCCAAGCAATGCTGGTGTCAGCGACCATATCTGACGAGGTATGGGTTTAGTCACTTTTCCTGGCTGGGCTTCTGCGTGATCTCTCCATAGCAAGATGCGTTCGGGCCACGACGTAGGCTCATACCTGAGCAGGTGAAGCAACTCTACGCGAACTTCTGCCGGCCTGGCTTTCGTCAGCTAAACTGCATACGCGGTGTGCCCACACACGAGGCCTGATGCATCCTAGTTGTTCCTAAACCCTATATAAACCCTGAACCCTAGACCAGGAGGGAGGAAACCCTAAACCCTAAAGATGCATCCTAGTTTGGCGTATTGGATGCTGACCACTGCAGACTTCATGTGTGGTGTGTTGCCAAACAGTTAAGGGATCCCAAATGCCTGCCTTTCAATGTCACAAGGCAGTCGAGCAATCTGTTGCCTTTGCTCCGCCTCTCTTGCTTGGCACAGCTCTGCGGCGCCTAACCTGCACCTGTGGTATGCCTTTCGTATTCACAAAATTGGTAAATGACACCTTATCATAAGTGTAGATGCATATGTACATGTGTACATATTTGTTTGTTTACTCAGGTTTATAATGTTAATGACACTCATGCAAACATACATAGCGTGTTATAGGTAGGCAGATACTTAGGCCGTGCTTGCATGTGATTCCATGATGATTTCAGATCTCACGACTTACCGTAGGTTCAGGGTTTGCGCTGAGGTCAAAGGTGTGGGTGATTGGCTGACTGTTACTTTGTGCTCGGTGCGCAGTGCTTGATTTGCGTAGGCCCCACCCCACTTTGCATGCCTCTCTTCTTCTGGTGCATCCGAGCACCCTAACCGCTCAGTTCCCTTGCTGAGGAATGCGCTGGACCAAGAGATCCGCGACAACCCACTGTCGCACAAGGTTCAATAGAAAGCAACCGAAACCCTGAAGCTTCCCAGGTTTCAGAACTTAGTAGCAGAGTGGGTAACCTTTAACCTTTTTGCTTTTTGGATATATACATATATATATATATACTGTATATATATATATATATTCAAACCCCTAGGTACTGGACAACTAAGAGGAAGGGCGTTGGGAGCAGGTCCTGGTGTTCTTCCCGACATCGCGATTCGCAACGTTTGCAGCCAAGCTCTTCCAGGAGCAGCTGAGCATGAGGACCGGGTAAGATTTCAGGCTTTGGGTTTAGGCTTTAGGGTTTAGGGTTTAGGGTTTATATTTAGGGTTTAGGGTTTAGGGTCAGGGCTTCTAGCGGTTTAGGGTTGGGCAGCATTGGGAAGGTTCCGATCCCTGTTTCAAGTACACCTTCTCCCTGCAGTGCGGAGAGACATGAGCGACCCGACACAAACGAGTGACCAAATGGACTAACAGAGCGTCTTTTTTCCGTAGTACGGGTTGTGGTAGTTAGTTTAGAGGTACGAAGCAGCATCTCACCGTGTGCCCAAACTGCAACAAATCCTTGAAACCCGTAATTCTAACATATTCGAGCTCAAAACCCTCTAAGTTGCGAAATTGTCTGCTGATTCTTGGCTAGGGATGTTTCTCAATGGGCTCGATGTAACGAGTGGTTCGCAGACATCAGACTAGGCACCTCGCCTGTCTGCGTGCGCTAGCGCAAGCGTCGAAGCCCCGCATCCTGCGCCCTTTATCCCTAAACCTCGCGAACACCACCCACCCCCCCGAAGAATCTAGGAATCTAAGACCCTGAGCCCGAGACCCTAACCCCTAAACCCTAAACCCCAAACCCTCAACCCTAAACCCTAAAACCCTAAAACCCTAAACCCAAAACCCCAAACCCTCAACCCTAAACCCTAAAACCCTAGGCCCTAAACCCTAAACTCAATAGGATCCTGGAGCTTCACCAGCGTGTCAACCCCAATGCCCGCCTGATGGCTCACGAGGCGCCAAGGGAGCTTTAATTTCTGGGCCCGACTGATAAGGTTTTTGGGGCTTATATAGGTTGCAAAAGGGCTTATATAAGTTTAGGGTTTAGGGTCTATAGGGCTTAGGGGATGACGCAACTCGTAGATTCTTGTGATGTAGCGCATGCACACAAATCGCCATACATACCAATGTATATGCATGTGCATTTGCATGTGTATGTCGGTCTGTCGGTTGAACTATGTGTCAAAAAAGTGGAAAACTGTACTTAAGAGGGTAAGGTGTGGCCAAGACCCCCCGAGAGCCTTGAGGAGTTCAACAAGAGCCGTGCTGCAGTGCTCTTCACCACCATGGCCTCCGAGAGGGGCATGGACTACCCCGATGCCTCTCGGAAGCACTTCGGGCCCTACTAGAGCCTGAAGACCCATGCTTGCTCAACGAGTCTTACACTTGCAGCATCCTTCAGCGTGCAGCTGGGGGGGGCACTTCCGGCCACAGCTTGCATGAGTACTTTCGCCCGCTTTCGCCGTGAAGTCCGAGGGCAGCATGGGTTGTTTGAGGTCTCCCTGGTGTTGAACGTCATGGCCCCAGGAGACCGTGATCAGCGCCCTGCCATGCAGGAGGTGTTCTAAGCTTGTCCCCAACCCTTCTGTTTTGAGTATCTCTCGTGTGACTCTGAGACGCCGTCCCCAATTTCCCCAATGAGGTCCCGCATAGGCTTTGGTGATACAAGGATGCCCTGAAACAGAAGCACCTCTATGGTAGCCGCCACAACCCCTACCCTCTGCCTACAAAGCCCGCCCTGGTGTGATCCTTGGGGATCAAAGAAACCCCAAATTGGGGATCATTTGCTACTATGCTCCTTACTTGGGCATGGGCCATAAGCCCTTTTAAAGTTCATCTTGGTCCCAAATGTGAGCCCAGGATGGCTTTAAGTAGGGTTTGAAGTAGGGTGCACATGAGCAGATCGACCCGTGCAGATTGCAAAACCACATCTAATTATGCACATTCAAAGCATGAAAGCATCGTTATTAATCAAGTTTTTTATGTGCTAGATCCAAGTCAAACCGTGCTGCCGCAGTGGCAAAATGCTTACTTGTATAAGAGACGCACGATGGTAAAAGACCCGTGCGGTTGGTTGTCGATCTTCGCCTATAGAAAACGCTGGAGGGTTGCAGTTGCTGCGGGGGACGTGGGTTTTTAATGACACGGGCTACGCGTATGCAGTCCCTGAACCCCCAGAAAGCCCTCCGAACCCTGAACCTTGAGCCTTGAACCCCTCCCCCCCCCAACCCCCCCTACCCCCTGCCACCCCCCCGACACCCGAGCCTCAGGTACATCCACCGGGTTGGACGCACAGCGCGGCAGGGCAAGGAGGGCAAAGCCCTGACGCTGCTTTTGGACCAGGAAGACGGGCCCCCTGGTCGCATGCCAGGGTTTACAGGTTTGGGGCCTAGGCGGCCCCTGGAGTCTTAGAGGTCCTAGAGTTTGCGGGTTTAAAGTTCTGGGGCACTTATGGGTTTTAGGCAGTTTTGGGGGTCCAATTTTTATAATTATCAATAGAGATGAATTAAGGCAGCTGAGAAGCCGGGCTGATCTGCAGCGACCTTGTTGGCAAGCCTGTTGGCACAGGCGAAAGCCCTGTTTTCGCATTGGAGCGGGCACCTCTGCCTGAATGGCACCCTGAATGGCAGCGATGACGCCTGACGGAAAGGGCATTTTTGCGGGCACGCGCAACAACCTAAGCCATGCCTTGGAAGGCGAAGTGTGGCTTGGCCCCCGTGTCCCTGTCCCCTCTCTGATGTGTTGTGGAAGCACAGGCCAGACCGGCCAGGTCCGGTGTTATGGAACTCAGACGGCCCGACGGCGCCTCTAGCAGCTAGCTGAGGCTCAGGAGGTTTGCCCTCAATGTGAGCTTCTGATGCCTGCTTCTGCCTTAGATCGCTACAAACCCTAGACCCCTAAACCCCACAAACCCTACAAAAACATCTCTTCTTCTTGCCCACATGTTAAACCCTAAACCCTAACCCGATACTGTAAAGGTTCTTGGCCCTGGTCGACGACCTTCCCATTGCCAAGTGCCTCTGGGCGGGATGCGTTTCAGGGGTATGTTATGGTCAGGGTTTGGGGTCCCTTGAGGACTGGGGTTCCTTGAGGACTAAATATGCACCTTAAACTGGCTGGAGTTTCGGCAATCATCGGGGTTGACATCCGTGTGGACGCAGGTCCCAATGTTTCTTGTACCCTAAACCCTAAACCCTAAACCCTAAACCCTAAACCCTAAACCCATTCGGATCGTAACCCCTTCGACAGCCCTCTGTTTCGGAGTGTGCCTCAGAGAATGGCGCCACTCTCGCCTGCACAAAATGGTGGACAACATGATTTCCGACCCGATGGGTTCACTATGCCTGAGTAGTATGAGTCCACTATGCCTGCGCAGGGATTGGAGTGGCGCAGGGTGCATGGTCCCAGTTTTTGGGGTCCTCAAATCTGAAGCAATTGCCAGGTCCACCTCATCAGGCGCGTTCTTGAATGACGAGGGCCTCTTCACAGCGCAGGCACGTGGGCTTTTGGAGAAGATGCCCAAGGCTTTAAGGATATGGGTTAGGGGAATAGGTAGGGTTTTCGGAGCTACTTTGGTACAGGTATCAGTGGTAGCGTTGACAAGGGGAGACATTGTGTTACAGCTACGAGCCAGGCACGGGTCGCATCACAGCGCGGCAGACGTAAGTTACCCTAATAAGGAACCCATGTTCGATCCGTCATTAGTATACGTATATTTGGTTTTTTCTATATACATATATATATATATGTATTCATGTGTGTATTTGTTTGTATTTATAATACTTCTATAGCCACGGGGCCACAAGTTTCGTAGGTACGATATGCCCAAGAAGGCTGCACCACAAGGGTTTGGAACAAGCCGCCACGACAAGGCCTTTTCAACAAGGGTGCGGCAGGGTGGGGGGGAGGGGCCGCGAAAAAGGGTCAATTTTTGAACAATCAGCCTACCTTGTGGGAGTCAATCTGAAACATTCTGCGCCCTGATGAGGTCTATATTGTCGCGCTTTTTGCTTGCAATTTAGGGCACAAGACAGCCTCGTTTGCAACAACTGAAGCCCCAAAACCCCTCAGGTCAAACCGTCCAGCACGTTTACGGCTCTCCGTTTTTCTCTGAAACTGACTCTCGTGGACATCCCTACGATGTGGAATTCGCCCCAGCTGCGCAGGAGGGAGAAACAAAACACTCCAACACATGAAGCACAGGCGCTCTCCGCTGCGAAGTGGGCGCGGCGCTCAGCGGGGCCTGAGGTTTGCCTGGCAGTCCTTGGAGTTTAGGGATTTCGGGGTTGGTGCCGTGAGTGCCATGCAAAAAAGGGGTGGTTTCGGGCCTCAGCCAGTAGGGTGGCAGACCCAGGGGTCGGCAACCCGAAACAAAATTCATCTGCTGGAAAAGTGTGCTTTATGGAGCCTTTTCTGCTCTTCTCAGCAGGGGCCCCGAATGTTTAAACCCTCAGCTTCCCAGTCGGCGGCACCCAAGCCAGGCCGTCCAAATCATTCCAAGACCTCACCCCCGCCCCCGTCAGAATCAGACAGGGTTTCGGGTTTAGGGTTTAGGGTTTAGGGACCCTGATTGGCAAGCATCCATGACCGAATGATTGATCTGTGGAGATCCCCGAGGCCAAGAGCAGCTCCCTTCCCACGATGGCAGCTGCGTGCTTCGCCTCGCTTCTGCAGCACTTCAGGCCCCGATTTCCAGAGTTTGGTTCGGGAGAGCCCAGCGTTTTTTCAGCTTGCGCTTCAGAGTTCGCGGAACCTGAGGAGCATGGTTGGGGCACGGGGTCTAGAGTTAGGGCCCATGTTGTGGAGGGCAGTCTGTCAGTGTGATTGGTGGCTTGGGATAGACAGAGTCTCAGAGAGACATAGCCCCAGAGCCCCTGGTGAAGAAGAAGAAGAAGGAGAGGAGTGGAAGAAAGAGAGAGGGCAAGGGGATGGAGACGGCATGAATTTCTTCTGTATCCCTTGCATCAAACATGTTTGGAGCGATGCTATTCAGTAGGGTCATGGTGAGGACCAGGCAGGAGCACATTCAGATGGAGAAGGAAGAAATAGCGCGGGCCCCAGGCCAAAAGGAGCTCAGCACGCTAATTCCATACAAGCACGACCTCGGCGTTCATCGAAGCTTGACACATCACCACCTTTGTCTTGGCGATTCGTCGCAAAAAGCACTCGAGTTGGGTCGCGATGCCAGGTCCTTCGGGACGGAGACCTGGCGAATCCTACATATTAGGACAAACTTCTCTGCACAAGGCTTGACCCGCATTGTATTGGGACTCGTCATGCTCCCGTACAGAGAACACATTCACGGACCTTGCTGGGACTCACATCACTCAGGGCATTTCGGAACTGAAGCTGCTGGCTCTTTGTTGTTCTTGGGCGTAGAACACATTGCTGGTGAGCCATCCTGAACAAGGGTGAACGAATTTTGCCTGAAGGGCTTGCCAGGTTTGGAGAGTGATACAAGATGGGCCGTCTTTCACTACAGCAGGCTGCTGAATGATCTGTGATACATCCGGAAATAACTTCGCACGGCCTGACAATCACTGTCAACTGAGGGTGTACAAGTAATTTGCTGTAGATGCAAGCGCACGGTTCCGCCGAAACCTAGCAAAACGGCTGTTCAGCACGTTCTCGACCTGAATCTCGAAACCCGCACAGTCTGCCAACAAACCTCCTTCAATCATCGTAGACACCGAGCTCCAGCTTCTGCAGCTGCAACTCCAAGATCCTCATGGACGCGTAGGCCACAAATACTGAGGTGATGCAGGGCCAGCGTCGGCTGATGCTCATGATGCTCGGGCCAGCGCCAGCTGATGCTCATGATGCTCGGGGGTTTGGGTCTGAAAGCCCGGGCAAGCGCCAGGGCCAGCTGCTCATGATGCTCGGGGGTTTGGGTATGAAAGCCTGGGCCAGCGCCAGCTGATGCTCATGATGCTCGGGGGTTTGGGTCTGAAAGCCCGGGCCAGCGCCAGCTGATGCTCATGATGCTCGGGGGTTTGGGTCTGAAAGGCCAGGCCAGCGCGAGCTGATGCTCATGATGCTCGGGGGTTTAGGTCTGAAAGCCCGGGCCAGCGCCAGCTGGTGCTCATGATGCTCGGGGGATTTCGAGGGCTTGGGTCTGAAAGCCCGGGCCAGCGCCAGCCGATGCTCATGATGCTCGGGGGTTTGGGTCTGCAAGCCCGGACCAGCGCCAGCTGATGCTCATAATGCTCGAGTGTTTGGGTTTGAAAGCCCGGGCAGCGCCAGCTGATGGTCATGATGCTCGAGGGTTTGGGTCTGCAAGCCCGGGCCATCGCCAGCTGATGCCCGGGCCAGCGCCAGCTGATGCTCATGATGCTCGGGGGTTTGGGTCTGAAAGCTCGGGCCAGTGCCAGCTGATGCTCATGATGCTCGGGGATTTGGGTCTGAACGCCCGGGGTTTTGGGTCTGAAGTCTGAAAGCCCGGGCCAGCGCCAGCTGATGCCCATGATGCTCGGGGGTTTGGGTCTGAAAGCCCGGGCCAGCGCCAGCTGATGCTACTGATGCTCGGGGGTTTAGGTCTGAAAGCCCGGGCCAGCGCCAGCTGATGCTCATGATGCTCGGGGGTTTGGGTCTGAAAGCACGGGCGCCAGCTGATGCTCATGATGCTCGGGGGTTTGCCAGCTGATTCTCATGATGCTCGAGGGTTTGGGTCTGCAAGCCCGGGCAAGCGCCAGCTGATGCTCATAATGCTCGAGGGTTTGGGAGCTGATGCTCATGATGCTCCTGATGCTCATGATGCTCGGGGGTTTGGGTTTTTAAGCCCGGGCCAGCGCCAGCCGATGCCCTTTCTGCTCGAGGGTTTGGGTCTGAAAGCCCGGGCACGGGCCAGGTGATGCGCATGATGCTCGAGGGTTTGGGTCTGCAAGCCCTGGCCAGCGCCAGCTGATGCTCATAATCCGAGCACCTGGTTAATTGGGCCCCCCCCCCCCCCCCCCCGCCACAATAAGGAAGGTAGGGTTCCGCAATAGTTGGACCATGGCCCTGTATTGATTCTCTATTAAAAACAATAAGAATGTATTGAAAACAGTAGGAATGTATAGAATAGGCCCTCATCCAGAAAACCCAAGCCCCGGCTTCCTTCAAGCTTTTCCTTTTAAGCTCCGGCTTCTTTGAAGACTACAGGACCAGGCCTCCCCACGGGCCAGGGCCTCCCACAATTCTGGTCCCATTCTATAAATGTGCTGCGGCCTTTCCCGGGCAGAGCCCGTAAGGGGTAGCTCAGGAAAGAATGAAAACTTCTCTCAAAACCCGGGCAAGCGCCAGCAGATGCTCATGATGCTCGAGGGTTTGGGTCTGAAAGCCGGGCAAGCGCCAGCTGATGCTCATGATGCTCGAGGGTTTGGGTCTGAAAGCCCGGGCAAGCGCCAGCTGATGCTCATGATGCTCGAGGGTTTGGGTCTGCAAGCCTGGGCCAGCGCCAGCTGATGCTCATAATGCTCGAGCGCCAGCTGATGCTCATGATGCTCGAGGGTTTGGGTCCGGGCCAGCGCCAGCTGATGCTCGTAATGCTCGAGGGCTTGGGTCTGAAAGCCCGGGCGCCAGCTGATGTTCATGATGCTCGAGGGTTTGGGTCTGCAAGCCCGGGCCAGCGCCAGCTGATGCTCATAATGCTCGAGGGTTTGGGTCTGAAAGACCGGGCAAGCGCCAGGGCCAGCTGCTCATGAGGCTCGAGGGTTTGGGTCTGCAAGCCCGGGCCAGCGCCAGCTGATGCTCGTAATGCTCGTAATGCTCGAGGGTTTGGGTCTGAAAGCCCGGGCAAGCGCCAGCTGATGCTCATGATGCTCGAGGGTTTGGGTCTGAAAGCCCGGGCCAGCGCCAGCTGATGCTCATAATGCTCGAGGGTTTGGGTCTGAAAGCCCGGGCAAGCTCCAGCTGATGCTCGTGATGCTCGAGGGTTTGGGCCTGAAAGCCCGGGCCAGCGCCAGCTGATGCTCATAATGCTCGAGGGTTTGGGTCTGAAAGCCCGGGCAAGCGCCAGGCGATGCTCATGATGCTCGAGGGTTTGGGTCTGCAAGCCCGGGCCAGCGCCAGCTGATGCTCATAATGCTCGAGGGTTTGGGTCTGAAAGCCCGGGCAAGAGCCAGCTGATGCTCATAATGCTCGAGGGTTTGGGTCTGCAAGCCCGGGCCAGTGCCAGCTGATGCTCATAATGCTCGAGGGTTTGGGTTTGAAAGCCCGGGCAAGCGCCAGCTGATGCTCATGATGCTCGAGGGTTTGGGTCTGCAAGCCCGGGCCATCGCCAGCTGATGCTCATGATGCTCGAGGGTTTGTCTGAAAGCCCGGGCAAGTGCCAGCTGATGCTCATGATGCTCGAGGGTTTGGGTCTGCAAGTCCGGGCCAGCGCCAGCTGATGCTCATAATGCTCGAGGGTTTCGCGGGCAAGCGCCAGCTGATGCTCATGATGCTCGAGTGTTTGGGTGTGAAAGCCCGGGCCAGCGCCAGCTGATGCTCATGATGCTCGAGGGTTTGGGTCTGCAAGCCCGGGCCAGCGCCAGCTGATGCTCATAATGCTGGAGGGTTTGGGTCTGAAAGCCCGGGCAAGCGACAGCTGATGCTCATGATGCTCGAGGGTTTGGGTCTGAAAGCCCGGGCATGCGCCAGCTGATGTTCATGATGCTCGAGGGTTTGGGTCTGCAAGCCCGGGCCAGCACCAGCTGATGCTCATAATGCTCGAGGGTTTGGGTCTGAAAGCCCGGGCAAGCGCCAGCTGATGCTCATGATGCTCGAGGGTTTGGGTCTGCAAGCCCGGGCCAGCGCCAGCTGATGCTCATGATGTTACAGGGTTTGGGTCTGAAAGCCCGGGCAAGCGCCAGCTGATGCTCGTGATGCTCGAGGGTTTGGCCGGGCCAGCGCCAGCTGATGCTCATAATGCTCGAGGGTTTGGGTCTGAATGCCCGGGCAAGTGCCAGCTGATGCTCATGATGCTCGAGGGTTTGGGCCTGAAAGCCCGGGCCAGCGCCAGCTGATGCTCATAATGCTCGAGGGTTTGGGTCTGCAAGCCCGGGCCAGCGCCAGCTGATGCTCATAATGCTCGAGGGTTTGGGTCTGCAAGCCCGGGCCAGCGCCAGCTGATGCTCATGATGCTCGAGGGTTTGGGTCTGGGGCAAGCGCCAGCTGATGCTCGTGATGCTCGAGGGTTTGGGCCGAAAGCCCGGGCCAGCGCCAGCTGATGCTCATAATGCTCGAGGGTTTGGGTCTGAAAGCCCGGGCAAGTGCCAGCTGATGCTCATGATGCTCGAGGGTTTGGGCCTGAAAGCCCGGGCAAGTGCCAGCTGATGCTCATGATGCTCGAGGGTTTGGGTCTGAAAGCCCGGGCCAGCGCCAGCTGATGCTCATAATGCTCGAGGGTTTGGGTCTGCAAGCCCGGGCCAGCGCCAGCTGATGCTCATGATGCTCGAGGGTTTGGGTCTGAAAGCCCGGGCCAGCACCAGCTGATGCTCATGATGCTCGAGGGTTTGGGTATGAAAGCCCGGGCCAGCGCCAGCTGATGCTCATAATGCTCGAGGGTTTGGGTCTGCAAGCCCGGGCCAGCGCCAGCTGATGCTCATGATGCTCGAGGGTTTGGGTCTGAAAGCCCGGGCAAGCGCCAGCTGATGCTCATGATGCTCGAGGGTTTGGGTCAGCGCCAGCACCAGGTGTTGGGTCAGAAAGCCCGGGCCAGCTCCAGCCGATGCTCATGATGCTCAGGGGGTTTTGGGGCTGAAAGCCGGGGCCAGCGCCAGCTGATGCTCATGATGCTTGGGGTTTTCCAGCTGATGCTCATGCGGCGAAGTGACAAGAAGAAATGTTTTCTGACTGATAGTGTTTTGCTCCAGTCGCTTTGCACTGCTTGGGACCATATTTTTGCAACGCCCAGTTGGGGATCAAAGGAATCCTCGTCTCTTGATTATGTGTATATATATATATGGCCATATCCACGTTGTTGTGGACCATACTATCTATAGACTGAGGTGAACTTGTGAGTAAGCAATGCACTCAACAATACCATGTGTGCATAGCTTCACCGAGAAGAGGCATGTCTGAATCGTGA